TCAGATGTGGAAGTTGTGGACAAACCTGTCTAAGCATTGTGAGACTCCTGTAGCACAAGAAGCAACAGCAAAAATAGTAAGTAGATCAATCAAAAAATTAAGCCGACATAAAGCAAAACTTTCAACTATTCGTCTAACCTCAATTTCATATTATTTATTCACAGGACAACTAGCAGAGGAGAGATATCAGAAGTCTGGCGACATATCAGTGACAGTGTGATTCCAAGGAATATAATTAGAGTACTCCATAAATGTTTGCAATAGAAGAACAACCTATAGAGGCATGCAAACACATTTGACCCTCCGGTAGAGTTGTGTATGGCCCCCATATCTTGCAGGGCTTGAGGAAATAACTAAAAATTCCAAAGCGTAAGATTCCATAAGCGGTTTTGTTTGTAAAAGGGCACAAAACACGTCAGACATACTTAAAACAGCTTTGGAAAATGAGGATTACGGGTCACTCACTACACCTGTGTTATATTTGGTTCATCAACTTTTGGTAGTACTATAGAAGAAATTAAGGAAAAGGTATAGTCATGATACACGATAAAATACTGTTATATATTTTAGCCAACTTTAATCTAGACCAGGGATGTCAAACTCGCGGCCCCAGAGAACTCCCAGTGCGGCCCTCGAACGCCTAACAATAATTCTAATAGTATTTTGGAAGTTTTTTTTATCTAAATGTAATAGATTTTTCAAACCTTTTAAAGTGAAATTGATTATTCACACAGAAAACAATTTACTGAAAGTATCAATTTTTTTTGTTCACATTTTGACCCAATTAAGAATACACATCAAGCTAGCAAAAGAATACTTGAATAAAACACTTGAGTGAATAAATTAAACGCAAGTACATGAAGAAGGTGGCATTTTCGAAGAAAATAGGAGTTGCAATATTTCTGCATTTCAAAAAATTCTGAAGCAAAGAAGAATTCTGTTTAATTTGTCATATTTCCATCAGTACAATGAAAAAACACAATAAGCTCAGCAGTCAATATGACAAATTCGAAGAGCAACTTCGAACAGAAAGTTTCCATGTGTTTGTATATTAATATAATTATACAACGACTTAGTTATTAAAAATCAATAATAATTCAAGCAATCATATGCCACGCAATGTGGCGCGAAATGTCTTGTCGAAAAAATCTGTCATTTGTTTTTTTACTGATCTATACATGAAATGATAAAAGTAACTTTTTTTGCATTACTGGAATTATTTAACCATTCGCAAAGATCCAGATTAACCCATGATCATGTGACCTCGTGAGTTAGAGTTGGTACTATAAAATCATTTCAGCCTGGCCTTAGTATGCTGGTGACACATAAAAGATGCCAAACGTCAGGAAAAATGTAATTAAAAAGACATTGAGTTTATACTGTAGTATTTTTGTCAATTTTAGGTCCATATATTTCGATTAAGTGTATGTATTATTCTTTCCTTATCCAAAGCTTGTTCAAAAATGATTTTGATGGTTGTACATAGAATTTTATGATCTTTTGTAAAAAATACAGTAACTTGCAATAATAGTGGAATGCAAATATTAATATGTAATTGCATTTGATATTGAAGAAAATAATAAAACTTAATTCAACTGTTTAGTTGCATCACAATGTATGTCACAAACTGAAACTATCTTTCAAGTATACATTATCAAAAACTGTTTGCGGCCCTTTATACAATTTTCAAAATGCAATGCGGCTCTCGAAAACCCATGTGTTTGACACCACTAATCTACTCTACACGATTCAAGCATTGCTTTGGGAAATAATATCACTTTAAATAAATTGAAAAAAATCTCGCTATATTAAATACAAAATCGTTGCTATCATAAAGGTAAACCAATTCACCCACTCGGAATATATTGGCCCTCACAAAGCAATGGGGTAAAATTGGGAGTTTATGAGCTATGAACTTTTGTTCTTTTCTTTGTCTTGAACTTTCCATACTCCACAGCCCCTATTATTTTTTTTTTAATTTTAATTACCATGTGATGGTCATATACATCTTTAACTTGTATTTTCTGTCATGGTGTATTATCTCAATGTGTCAAACTTTTAATTAGTGTGCATATTCTGCTTCCAGATGACATAAATGTATTGTCTTGTTTATTACCTCATCTTCGAGTATTGACAGGGAAAAGGTGCCAGTAAATTACGTAAAAATTTTTTTAACTCTTTGTTATAATCAGATTTCACAATTAATATAAATTATAAACAGCCAACAATCAATGAGAATTATATGCGAAATCCCTCAGAATAAATTTTCTCCTAAAATCGGAGGAAGGCAAAACATATAGGGAGTTCCCATTCACACAAGTCTTTCAAGAGGACTTGCTCGAGCCAAACTAAATGAGCATTGTCAGGTGATCGGTAAGGCTGAAAGTTGAATTTAGCCCTGCAACCTCCTGCATCGAAGATAATATTAATTAGTGAGCTATGAGCTAAATTTAGACACGAACCTATCTACGGGGCATTATGTACCAGAAATGTTATCTACGATTAGCTGAATATGTAATATGTCTAAGAAATTCACCTACTAAAACAAGCAGTTCGATAGGTGCAAACATTGTGTTATGGAATTGTATCACAGCACCGTAAAAAGAAGTAAAAACAGTTTTGCTGTTTTGTATGACACCCTCTTTAAATGAAATTTCAATGTTCAAGCGCAAACATTAAAATTATTAACTTTGAACTTTGTCATTATCTGCAAAATGTTCCAAACATATCTTTACGCTATCGCGTTTGTAATCTTCTCTGATAAAAAAAAACGTCTATGATGTGCAGAATTACTCTTCGCAGCTTGTCTGCAATTCCAGCTTTCCAAGTGAGCAAAACTTCTTAGATATAAGGATTATTTTCTTTTGTTACAGGCGCAAAAAGGCAGGTACTACACGTAAAGAAAACGCCGAGTAGCAAAAGCGAGTGGAAAACGGTCGCGAAAGGCGACGAGAAATATGTGCATTGGAGCGTATCATGAAATACAATCTTTTGCCTGTAGCCTTATGGAGTGACGTCAGAGTTGCCTATCATGTTGTTTAATGTCATTGCACAGACAAACTATATTACGTAAGAATGTAGCCAAGTGAATACTGCGCACTTCTCAACAAAATTTCGCGAGAGCTCATTTGTTACGTCATAATATATTACTTTGTAGCCATAAATAAATAACAGATTGTTAACAAACGATAATGAATAAACGATCATCTAGTTTCATCCGATAACTCTGAGGCTTAAAACATTTTATCTGAAGGAGAATGATCGCGTTCCAGAGGCCTCGCTCGCGTGCCAAATGAATAGTTGGCACGCGTGCCAGGGGTTGCCCAACCCTGTCCTAGGCACTTGGGAATTTGATGCCCTCTTTAGAAATCAAGTCACAACAATCCATTATGGCGTCATCATTGACTTTAAACAATTATGTAAAGATGTGGTACCGGGTCATGAATAAAATTTTAAATTGCGTGAAATAAGAATTTTTAACCACAGGTAAGATACGTACGCTAATCACCATGGGTAGGATAGTAAGTTGAAACTCAAGCTGCAATAAAATATTTATGGCATCAGAAATTAGACGTCATAATACCCGTTATCTGTCCCGAAAGTGGGGACACGGCTCCACAAAATAGATCCAAAAATAGCAAAATATATAATATTTTTTAGATTATTATAATCTAAACTTTTCAATCAGTAATTTATTTCTTTATCATGCTGAAAATACGAACTATACATACACCGTAAATATATACTGTACTAGCCACACATTAAATACATACAAATTAGATATACATCAATTAATTTCAATCTATATTTTGTTTTCCAAGTTAAGGATGGAGAGTTAACATCAAACTTAAACCTATTCAGTTGTTCAATGTCTCATTTCAATGTCTCAACTTTTTAAAAGGAACATATTTGGGGCAAGAAATATTAACCTGATCATCAGTTTATTATCATCATTTTATAAAGAAAATATCAGTATGTATATAAATTCCCAATTTTTTTTACATTTTAAACCGGTTAGACTCTGTAACACGCCTTTAAAAATTAATTTAAAATAAATAATAGTTCAACAATAATTGTCAAGATTAAAAGGTCCGTGCTCATTGGCTTAATACTTGCACATAGCAAAACCGGCCCTGGACTTGAGTCCTGAGTGCAAGATTCATCATTTTCGAAGTCAATATAGATGGATCCAATGCACTGATTATCACTATCTCTCTAAATTAAGTTTAAATAAGTGTACTATGTCAATTTTATTACGGAATGCGATGATGGGGCATGTTTTGTGAGTAATTTTAATTTGAAGACCATGATCGTCCCGTCGATAGAAAGGATGAAATTTTCGGAAGGTGGCGCCGATGTGCAATGTTTTTGTTGACAAACGGTTGCAAAGGGCAAAGACAAAGCGGGACTGTTTCGAAACACAAGGCGACTGGGCGGGAGCGCTGTGGCCCGCAGCTCCTACTTTCGACAATTTTAGCAGTTGGAGCCTGGAATTTTTGATATCTATATAGTTTGAATAAATTCGATTCGAACCTGGCAATCTATACAGGTTGTAAATGCACCTTTAGCACGATGCGCTGACCGCCGAGCTATTCAGGCGTTGCCGGTAGGCGGTAGCTGGCCGCTAGGTCGGGCATTTGTTTTATTTTCTGTGTATACAGGTATAATTACTAAAATATGTAGCTTATCTAGGCAGGTATCTGATCATTGAATCTTGTGTGAAACTCATAATACGGTGCCGGTATTAATCCAGTACCGTGATAGGTTATAGACTATTATCAATGTCAGAGTGTAACCGTAATGTACCGGTACCATACGGGTACCGTACGGTAATACCGTAACTTATGTAGGTACCGGTACGGTTTTTTGACGCTGTGATACTCCCCACATATACAATTACTATGGAGCAACACATCAATGCAAAAATAAAATACACAATCAAATTTACTGAAAAATAAAGCAGTGATTTGTAGATTTTTGATGAAAAAACGCACGACCTGAGAATATTTTTTGGGGAAACAATTTTCGGCCCCAGCCCCTAGGATCTCCAGACTGGATTCCATGGCAGGTGCACACCTGAGGGTGCTAGTGCTCTGCAAAAATGCACGTGAGCGAATTCAATTTTGCACGCTGAAAATTTGCAATTGCTCACCGATGAAAATCGGTTCAAATGGTTTTCAAATCAATAATCCAGTAGTATAAAGATGCCAACAAATTGTAGCTCCACAATTGTCGACTACATACTAGCTTGAAAGATTTGACCTGATCGAAAAATGCGAAGCAAAAAAGATCATATTTCATAATTGCTTGGCGGTATTGCGCATCGTGTTGAATGACAGGAATCCCGTGAGAATAGTTACGTGTGAAAAGATCGCCAGACTCCTTGCCGACGCTGGTCAGTTACTTCCCTGATTCAGCGTATTTTTATCCAATAATTCTACGTAAAAACACTCCCAAAACTAATGACAAAGTATAGAAATAATATTTGGGGGTCAAAGGGCAAACGTCCATTTTGCTCTGATTCATCGTATTTTTTTATCCAATAATTTTTCGCGGATGTACCGAACAGTACCTGTATCCATAGTCGCACAAACACTCTTGAAATTAATGTCATAGTATAGAAATAATGTAAAGGTCAAATGTCCGTTTTTGCTCCGATTCCACAATTTTTTATCCCATACCTGTAATTTTACGTGGATGTATTGTATCCAAAGTCAAAGTCAGTTGAATGTGGGCGCAGTTGTTTTACACGCTGGGAATTCTGATTTGCACACAGGAAATTCCTGATTGCACGCCCAATTTCTCGTTCATGAAATCCAGACCGGAGGCTGGGAAACACTGCAATTGGTTCATTTTTGCACAAATTCATATTTCGCAGACTACATAAATTTAAAAAATTCATATTTCGCAGACTACATAAATTTAAAACACTGGCAATTGAAAATTTAGACTTGAAGTTATATTTAAAGGCTTGTTTATTGAAGTATAATGTATTCTAAAAGCAGTGACCAAAGTTGCACCAGCTTAAGTGAATCTGAAAAAGCACAAGTGGAGTTTATTAAGATGGCAAAAGTTGCTGTCGCAACTGCAATCATCAGATCAAAACCAGATACCATGACTGGTGAACAATACGCTTCGTTCTTGCATCAAAAAATTCAATTGGATAGAGATAAATGGGAACAAAAATGTAAAAATCTTGAACAAGAGTTATTGGAAATGAAAATAAAACTTTTGTCAAAGAAAACTGAAGTTGTTGGTACTAATGATGATGTGCCATCATGTTTTTCTACTACTCCGCCATGCTCCTCAGAAAATGTTGAAACACACAAGAGTGTATGTTCTGATGAGAAAATATTACATACTCATGCTGAGTTTCTTGAGTGTGTTTCAAAACTCAAGTTTTCCGCGAATTTTTTGGATCAAGTTGCGGATGCATTTGGAGATATAAATGTTGCAAGTGGTCATACGGATGTTAGTGAAGATATGTTGCAAAGAAATATTGTCAATAAGCAAACATTACATAGCGTTGAAGAAATTTTTAAATTTGTAAAGAGGAAAATCACATCAGGGAATAAATCTTTGATTTCTAATAATGCTATTTCATTTTCTATATCATGTCTGATTAAGCTGCTTTCATCATTTGAAAATTATCTAATATCATCTAGAAATGAAGATAGTTATATTCTAGAAATCGCAACAAACATTGTTGAAAAGAGTTGCAATTTTTCTTTAGAATTACAAGCACATATTATGAGTTGCACTGATATAGAATCGTATAAAATCCAAAAATCTTGTTGTGAAGTAATTGTTCATCTCGCAAATTATCCAAGCCTTTGTAATGCTATTGTAAAACAATTAGTTCAAGGAATAGTTGCAGTAGGATTGAATTTAAAATCGTCATTGAATAGTGAAGTAGATGTAAATCAACAAGGACCACCTGATTATATATTATGTGAAAACGTTGCATATTTGTTTAAGATGTTGGAATCAATTTTATCGTACTTGCTTGAAAGTATTCACGAAGAGAAGGTTTCTCACTCAAAGAGAGGAGCAAATTCTTGTGCTAGTAATAAATCCACTGTGCCGGACGATAGAGAGGTCACTGCCAAAGAGGTAAATTCAAATATAAATCAAAATTGCGAAAAGGAGACCAAAGAGAGCACAACATCGCGGAAACAAAAACGAAAGAAAAGCTCATCCCAACCTCAAAATAAAAAAACAAAAACCAGTGCTGATAATGTTTCTACAAATATAATAGACTTTTTCAATTCAATGAAAAACTCACAACAATTGAAAAGTCAGAATCAACTTTCTGAAACTGAATTTACTCAAACAGAAAACAATTCTTCGGAGAAAGAAGAATCTGCTCCGAAAAACCTGCCAAATTCTAATAGTAAGACAAGAGAGGAAAAAGTCAGCAGTATTAGATCAATCGTAACTCCGGATTTTTTGATTTATATTCAAGAAGCAATGGATAATTCACTGATACATATTTGTGATGATTTTCCTCTGTTTTCATTCTATGTTTGGAAAATAAGTAGTTTAGCTGAAAGAATTATGAGAGCATTAGAAAACTGAATTGTTTGTAATGTTCTGAAATTTCAGCGTGGGAAACCGAAACCTCATTTCAATTGTCGGGCTATTTGGGATTCAGAAATAACAGTTTATAATAGTTTATGCTCAATAATACTCTGAGCTGCAGTTCCTTATCAGCAATTTCAATATTCCAATTAATTTTTTTTTTCATGTAGTTCAGTAACACATGGAGATGATAAAGGTATGAATCTCGCCCTTAAATTAGCATTCATGCCAATTACACCTGAATATATATGTCTAAATAGAAATTTCAATTGGGTGCTGTGACCGAGCGTTAATATGTTAGATTCAGCTGTGTTTGGTAGGCAATTTTGGTATGGGAAATTAAATTTAGTAGCCAATGCAGAATTCAGAGGATTTTAGTCCTCCTTTCATATTATCAGATATTGGTGGCTTATTGTACAAAGTCTGGTATGGAGCAAAAGGCAGAACAAAGCGTCATACAAAAAAAAAATTTATGTATAAAAATTGAAACAGTATAGAACTATTGTGAAAAAGATCTCATTTGGTAACTTTAATGCATTGGTTCTCAAATGGTGGGGCACGTCCCACAAGGGGCTCGAGCGTAGACAATTTTTTGAGGAGTGCGTGAAGCTAATGAAAATAAAAATATTTGTTAGAGTTGATCTTGTCTGCCTTATTTTATTTACATTTCAAAACTTTGTCAAAGATTTTTTCTTTGTAGCTTATTGTTAGCTAGATATTTTTGAGGTGGGGTGCGAGACTTGACAAATTCAAAAAAGGTTATGCAGTTTAAAAATGGAAAAATGCTTTAATGAAAATGTTCATTTACCGGTAATTATTGTTTTGATGCAAAATTATGTCGTATTTTTTACCACTGTGAATTTTTGAACTGCTCATTAAAACTGCTTCAACATGGTCTTTTTACTGTATTAGACTATTACTCTGTTTTTTAAATTTACAGCAGCTTTATTACGGAAAATATTATTGTATTAGTAGTGTTTAAATTAAGAATGGCTCTTCCAACTTTGCCTTCAAGGTGGAGACACAATGATATTGAAAAACAGTTGCAGAAAATGCATGAACAACAAAATAATTTTCGAAACTGTTGGAATGAAACTGTAAAATATTATAATGGAAACTCAGTGCGATCAAGTATTCAACAAAATTGGACATCTGACCATTCTTTTAGAAAAAGTATGGAAGCTTACTCTTCACGAGATGAAAAGAATAAAAAAATTGAAAATCTTCATAAACGTAGACAAAAATTAGCTAAATTTTTACAAGATGAAAGGGATCAATTAGAAGCAGAATTGCGCGGACTTTCTGTTGGAAATTACTCAAGAATTAGAGAAATGAAAGAAAAAGCTGAAGGTTTGAAATCCGCAAGAGAAGAAAAAAATCGACAAATTGCTCAGGAAAAACTCTACGAACATTGGCAACGTAATAATCCTGAGTTACGAGCGGTTGATTCGGAGTTACATCGGGAACATGTGAAAGAAGCTTGGAAATATCAATTGAGTGAAAGAGTCGAACAAAAGAATGAGGAAATAGAGAATGAAATTCAGTTTGCTAACGAATATGAACAGGCTCGTGCTGAGGCCATTGAAAACATGCGCAGAATAGAAGAGGAGAGAAAACTTGCTGAAAAAGAAAGAGCAGAGGTACTAAAACAACAAATGAGAGATTTAAAGGAACGTGAAGAAGAAGGCGAATCACTCAAAATGGAGGAAGCAAAGTTTTTAAATGACCAAATCAAGATCGAAAAAATTGAGGAGGAACGAAAAAAAATGGAAAAGAGAGTAAAGCAGAGAGAATTAGGTCGATTTCTTCATCGTCAATATAAAGCTCAGTTGAGAAGTCGAGCGCAACAAATTCAAGAAGAATTAGAACTTGATCGACAAATTCTTCAACGACTTCTAGAAGAGGAATTAAGTCAAAGAGAAGTTCAAAGCGCCCGTCAAGAGAAAGCAAGACAAGATGTCGCCTGGATGAAACAAGTTTTAGAAGATCAAATCAAATTGGAAAAAGAACGAGAAGCTGAACTTGATCTTCTATATCGAGAAGAAGCGAGACAAGTTTGGGAAAAGAGAGAGGAAGAGTGGAGGAGAGAAAGAGAAGCTCGTGAGAGACTAATGAGAGATGTACTCGACGAGAGGTCCGATCAACTCGCTTATAATATGGAAGAAAATCGACGCAAACAAAAAAGATTATTGGAAGAGAGAGAAGAATTGATTGCTCATTTAGAGGATGTGCAAAAAACATCGAGACAGGAAAAGAGAGAGCAAGAGAAAATAAAACTTGAACGTAAAGACGAACTCGAGCAACAAGCGACATCAAGAAGAGAGAAAATAAAAACCGCACGACAAAAAGAAATGGATGAATTGAGAGAGCAAGAGGAAGCAGAACGAGAATATAATAAATTTGTCGTACAAGAAACAGAGAGGAAGCGTCAAATCGGATATCAACAAGGTCAACATGCAAGAAGACGAACTGCATGGCAGTGATTACATTATTTTGATTCATCATCCACGCCTCATGGTGCTTCTATAATGCAGTTCTGAAACATCTTTGAAATCGGCATCTCACCTAATAATTGTTTAGATGGAAATATATATGAGGGACAGTTTGGAACATGGTAATGGAATTGCCAGAATGACAATAATTATAATAATAACCTGTTGAATTTAGCATTCACTGATTACTGGTAACCAGAAATGATATAGGTAAATTTTGAAATCTGTTTAAAATTTTGTTGTAATTTAATGTTATGAATTCGTTATTTTTATGTTTTGTTGTATCCCAAATGAATATTTTTACATGCAAAATTGGGGCTGTCTATTTGTTAAAACCTTCCAAGCTTTCCTATCCAATGAATATTAGTTAGTTTCAAAATATTAGTCTGAATTCAACTGAGCAATTGCCTCTTCTCGATACTGTACTAGGCGAAATGCATTTAAAATACCAGATAACTGTTTTCATACTGTGTGTGGATCACAATCTGAACAGGAATAGTAGTCAAAATAGGTGAACACTGAACAGGCATATATTTATTGTTTATTTTTTTTTTCCAAATTTCAACATTCTATTTTTTTTTATAAGTACTGTGCTGTGTTATTGCATTTGACCATTGTGCGAAAAATAATGCATAATGAGTTTTCATGGACATCTTTTAAGTAGGCACTGAGCTCAAATTTTCGAGACACTGAAATATTTTATTAATTAGAGATAACTGGATTGAATGTTGATTGTTGAGTAATACAGGTATTGATTTTGTGTAAATTTTTTTAACCATGTACAAGTGTCATGGACATCTAAATTATTTGAAATTTGAAAAAATCATTTTTATTCTTTGCTGTTGTGTATTCATGCTTTACGTACATGAGCCCACCAGTTTGAAAGAATATGTGATATACTCAGTGGTGGGGCCATGATGAACCAGCGAGCCTGGTGTTGTTTTTTAGAGCTATAACCTATAAGTTTGGCAAAGGAATGAAAAAACCTGTTCACTGAATATACCGTGTATCCTCGCATATAAGACGATTTTGAAACTCAAAAAAAGTTGCCAAACCAAGGTTGGGGGAGGTCGGCTTATACGTGCATTTCTCTGATATTACTCAAAAAAAATGACATTATGCTAACTTAATTCCCACAGCTACAACTCGAACCATGCTGAGTTCTAACGATAAGAGCGTATGACTTGTTAGGTCGGCTTATATGCAAATTTTTACAAGTTCACCGTTTTGGGGGGTTGGCTCATTTGTGAGATTGGCTTATTTTGTAAGGATATACGCAATCCCAAGTATTTTGAATCTGCAACGATCTATACTCCTTTTTTTACCTAGGTTCAAAATTAGTATTGTTTCTAGTTGTTGACTGTTGTAACTATCATTTTTTATTATATTTTATTGTGGTATGACACAAGCACAACAGTTCACGATATTTGTTGTGGTGTGTACCTAGTTCAATCCAGAGTTCTATAGGGCATATCATATCATTGAATGATTTTTTCCTACGGTATCTTCAAATCTGTTGGTCCAACAATAGATTTTCTGCAAAATGACATTCCCCCCTCTATGTCAGCCTTTGCTCATACTATTCAATACTTTCGTTTTAAGAATAGTTATTACTCAATAGTGAATATTCATTCATTTACTGGAAATTTGTAAAGCAAGTTTATTTTCCTTGGTGCATTAGATGTTTATGTTTTATGTAGTGACTACCTTTGGTTATTATTGTATCGTATGTCCACTTTCACGTTTGAACATTTTTAAAGGTCATAAAATATGTGTTTTCACTTTATCATAATTGTGTTGTTCAAATTTTACTTGTGCTGTGCAGATGATCTTTGACTTCCATCGGTAATATTAATCTTCATTTTGGTTGCGTTAAACTGTAGGCTATGTAACTTTTCGTGTTTAGGAAAATCATAATTTAAAGTATTAGCATTTTGAGCTATTTGCATTCAATTTTACTAAAATTGAAAATGACTTATCTAAATCAGGTCTTCTCAAACTGGACCCTTGGGGCCATGGAGCGGTTCTTTTGGGGCCACAACCAAAGCCCTTCACTCAGTACCATTCGCCATGGCTAAATTAATTTAAAATAAATTGATTGTGATTTGTGTAATTCGTTGATTGCATGCATTTCATTTAATGCTTCGCTTTCGTTTGTTGGATTTTTATTAGTACCGGTAAGTGCTGGATATTGTTATAGAAAAGCAGGGGACCAGAGTCTTTGGAAGGAACCACAGATCATGATTATTTGGGGACCACTGATTTAAATCATTTTTCAGATATTCAAAATAACTTTTCATGAAGTTCATCTTACAAAATACTTCCAGTCAAACTGTAATAGTAGCCAGTATAGAAAGTATGAAGAATTTCTATCTTGTTCTAACATGGTAAATGTATATCTTAATTGCTGCTATAATTCACGTGGTAAAGGATTGTATGTATTTGTAAATTGTATTTTATATTGCATTGTAATATACATGTTGTAACAAAAATATAAAACTATTTTGATCCTAAATTTTCTCTATGCTTTGTCAATGTTATGTAGTTTCACATTGTGATATTTTTCAGGTTTTATTCAGATTTTAGTTTGGAAATAAACATAATCTAGGTATAATGTTAACATAGGTTTTGAACAGCAGCATTGCCATTTCCCATCATTTTCTTTCTCTCTCCTTACTAAATTAGCTTTTGGTAAGTGCTTCAATTGTATTGGTGTCTCTTTTTGTTAGATTTCAATCACTCATCTAATTCGTTTTGGAGATTTATCTCTGTGCATTACTATACTAATATGACGCACAATTTGTTTACAGTACGATTTCCATTTTGACGACAAAACTCAAATGCTGATAGTTTTGGTTCAGAACTGTTATTGTATGCTATATTGTTGTTATACGTAACTATATTCTAAACCCGAAAAATAGAATTTTTGCATCAAATGCTTTGGGTAGTATTTGCAAAGTGTTAAAATTAATACAATCAATTGAAGCTCAAATGCTTCAGTAGTTTCTTGGGTACTACCGAAGTATGTGGACTAAGATGGCGGACAGTGTACCAGGTTTGGGTTGGGCCATAATTTCAGGTGCAAATACTACGGGAGTCACTTGGCTAGTCACCGAACTCGTAATAGAACAAAAATAAGGGAAATTGGTACAAAATTATGGCCTGACCCTAATCTGGTACACATACTACGTTCTAGTGTCCGCCATCTTGGTTCACATGCTTCGGGAGTACCTTATCTTGTACCATTGCTAAATTTTTCATTTTGTTCAAGATACATAAATTCTGCCCTTCAATCTAACAAACTGTCACTAATGTCTAATAAATATATGATGTTCAGTAGCTTCCTTATACCTGCCTCACAACATACATAGTTGGGATTTAATACTCTTTTTGCTCAATTTTTCCAGTTGAAAATAAGAGCAAAATGCTGAGATTTCGAGGAGCTGGTGATCCAGGAGGTCCTTCCAATATTGTTGGAGATGCAGAAGAAAGCAATCGCAACAATGAAATCAGAGATCTGAAAGAAAAACTGATGAATGATTTGCGATCATATGAAACTGTCATCCATTATTTTCAACAGCTGTTAGTCTGGGAGAAGCCTGTTCATAGTGTTGTGTTCGTTCTTGCACTTCATGCTGTGTTTTGGTAGGAATTATTTTCATTCTTCATTATATTATACCTGATATACATTGAATGGATAACAGAAAATGTTTTGTTGTTTGTGATTCAATTCATGTAATTATCTTTTTTAAATATAATTATTACCTCAAATACAAATGGGCTTATTCCAGTGACTGGGAATGAGCGAAACGTCCTCGTAGCCTGATTGTATTGCCTTGATCTGCATTATGTCAGCCACAATGTGCTGGTTCCTAATGCACTAACATAAATCTGAAGTTTATTAAGAACCTCTGGGTCTGGGCATTTTAGTGGTTTCAACCGTGCATTTGAGATAAGTCTTCTTCACTTGTGTGTGGAACTTCCTTTGATCAATTGATTTTGAATAAACTTTTTGTATTTAAATGGGAATTGAGGTAGAGTTTAGAGCAGGGCTTCTCAAACTGGGTTCGTGGTCCCTCTATGGTCGGCAAGCAAAGGGTTCGCTCAGTACCATAAATGTGATTTGTTTAATTCTTTAACTGTACAGTATTTATTATTTTGCTTTCATTTGTTGGCTTATCTCATTTACCTATTTAATACCTGATGGCAAACTGTTGAAAATAGAAGTAGGTTTTTATTACCACAGATTATGAAAGATTGCGTACTTTAGTGCAAGTTCGTTTAATCTAAGTGCCTTATTCCTGGAATACATCTTCCTATTTTAGTGCTATCCATTTCTCTCTTTTGCTCTTACATTCTTAATAATACTATGCTATGATGCTACATATTAATTACTTATTCATAATATTGATTATCAATAATATATAATTATATCATAACTCATTTTCAGGTACTTGAAAATTTGGAGCACTCATGCTGTTGGTCTGATATCAACAATAATACTAATATTAGTATGGCTGGACATGTGGAAACATAGAATATGGCCAGAGATAAGAGGTATCAAGAAGTATATGTAAATAATTTACTTTTCCTGTGCCTGAAGAATGTGAAAGAAAAATACATTGAACAAAGTTTTTAATTTAATAATTTTTATAGACGGGTTCATCATGAAGAATATAATATATTGATATATTCTATTCAATAATGAGCTTTTTATAGTGAAATCATGATTTATGTCAATTTGATTTTTTGAGAGCAACAAATAATTAAAATTCACTTTTTGTTGATGATATGATCACCGCCATGAAAATTGATTTGCATTTAATGAATTTTATTATGTGCACTGGTATTTTCATAGATTTGCATATCACTGTCTTTTTTTTCATAGTTTTCAAACAAAATCCATATATTTCATTCCTTTTCAGCTCGGGATCCTGACCCTGAAGCCGATGAGTAAGTCTTATGATTTATTTATTTAATCAGAAAATCAAAGTGCATTGTTAATATACAGGCTTAAAAATGTGTCCTCGTTATATATAGCATTGCCCATGGGTGGTCCATTTTTGGCAAAGATTGTTTCTCATTGTTTAGACATCCTCGTAATATTTTCAATCAAATTCTTAATTTCATTAAAATTTATAATCTCATATTTTATAAACTTTACAATGTTATTTTGATATCTTAGTAATATCTTTTGATAATACACAGACCAAAGCTTTCGTTAGAGTGAACACCAAATACATATATTCAATTTTGTAGTGCATTGATATTTATGACCAACATAACAAGTTGAATATGCAAGTGGTTTCAGTCTTAACTTTACTGAATTTTATGCCACACCCAGCAAAAATGGTGTCGCTGACTCGATGACTTTAATAGTCTTTCGCGACCCCTCGTTCATCGCAGTTTAAATAATCTTTTTTTTTTAAATGAATTTGTGAAGTTTTCATATTTTGTTCAAATGTACAATGTTTTTCGCACGACGAGAATAGATATCTGAATCTGAAAATTCACATATTTTGAATCCATATTTATTCTTTCAGATGGGGAGAGCTTCATCCACACTTGCTCACTTTTCCTGAAGTCTGCTTGGCACTGGCAGAAATTTTTGTAACTTTAAAATATCATCTCATAACTATACGTGATGTTAGAAGAAATACTCCAGGAAAGGTACTCGACACTTTATGTCTGTGTTATAACTTCTAAATTATACGGAATATAGCCTATATATGAAATTTCAGCCGCACCACATTTTCAGTAAAAGAGATTAGTTTGGCTTTGTTTTCAAGAATAAGATGTTAAAAAAATGTAATTTTTTGTAATAAATTATTAGTATTTAAAAAGATTCTACGAAATCGGAGTAATTGGTCCTTATGTCGCGAAATCATGATTCATACAAAATGATAAAATAGTAAACACTTGAGTTAAAGCATGTCATTATTGGCGCTCCAGAAGTGTGTGCACCAATATGGAGGTAATTAATTTTGTTCGCCTATTTTACATCAAGTTGTGTAAAGGGACTGAAGGTTATGGAAAGGGGGTACATTCACTTGGCTAACACAGACAGTCCCCGAACTCGTAATCGAACTAAAATAAAGATAATCGGAATAAAATTTTGGCCTAAATCTATCCTGGTACACACACTAAGGGAGAACCTCGTTATTTTTGTACATACAGGAAAATTATGAAGCACTTTGTAATTACAATACAACTGAGGATTCGAGTTTGATTATTAAGAACAGTAGAAATCGAACTTGTTTAATAACAAAATTATGAAAGTAAAAAAAATATAAGTTGAATGAAAATTCTCTTTTATAGTTTGTAACATTATCTACTGTTACTTGCCTGATGATCATTTTCTTGGGTCGATCCATTCCTGGAACTCTTCTTGCATATATTATAAGTAAGTTTATTTATATGCATGGTGATTTTACAAATCGTTTTCTCTTTTATTTAAAATAAAATTTCTATAGATTCAATATGTAAAGGTATTCAAATAATTAGACAGATTTCACAGTGAGATGCATTTTTATTTTGAGCTTTTTGAGATGGTCGTGTTCGTGTTCACTAGTTAGCCTGTTAATGCTGCCATTATGTGGTATAGGGTGGTACAAGACACATCTGAAAGCTTCTTTTGGTTTAGTGATCAACTTCTGACCACTAGTTCTTTATCAAAGATGTAATATATCGATTCTATTCAGTGTAAAAAATTGATGTTTTGCCGTAATTATTCCCCCATATTTTATTTCTTCTCGACCATGTAGAGAAGCTGAGATGCAAGTAAACAGCTCTTATATATGAAAACGAACAAACTTTTCATGTTATTAATTACCAGCATGCCATTATATGTAATTTGATTATTGATTATCAGTTTTTTCGTGTTTGTGGACTACTCTCGTATACTAAATTTATTTTCTTTAGTGATGTGTGGTTTACTGTGGCCATTGATTTGGTATCGTCGATGGGTGGAGAGAGCATATGCACATATGGAACCTTTCCTAATGCAACTACAGTATTCATTAAAACCTAGAATGAGAAGAAATGGTATGTTTAAAATATTGAATTTTATAGCTAACAATATTTGGGATTTATCATAAGAAAAGGTTTTAATTTTGTTCTCTTGAGGAGAATGACTGAGTGGGTTATGGTAAAGCACAATGTACATATTCATTTATTGGTGCTCCCGAAGTATGCTAACCAAGATGGCGGACATCGGAACGTAACATGGGTAACAGGTTAGGGTTAGGTGATAATTTTTCCTTATTTTAGTCCTATTATCAGTTCGAAGACTAGCCAAGAGCTTCCAGTAGTATTTATACCTAAAATTATGGCCTAACCCTAACCTAGTACACATATTACATTCCGATGTCCGCCATCTTGGTTCGCATACTTCGGAAGCCCCCATTTATTTCTGTATTGTACCTCTTGTCACAATGACTAGATTCATTTTTATTTCTAAAAATCAATCTAGTCACTGAATCAGGTTTTTGTTTTGTCAACAACGAATTAAATCTCTCTCTGAAACACTAGCAACATCAAGGATCGAATTCGATGATTTAAAAAATAAATGTATTCTTAGCTGAGTTGGGCATTGCACAGTTTGATGATTTTTTGGCTAGGTTTCATAATTGTTTAAATTTTAAATACTTAAATGGAATTAAAGAGCTTCTCCTTTCTATTTTTCATTATTCCATGATTAAAGACCCAAAAAGCTTTAATACTTGTATTTCCATCTCATATTCTTGTTAGGTAAGAAAGGCTCCCACATCACTAAAGAAATTGACGGTACCAGTGTTGAGGTTCATACAGACACATCTTCGGATGATGACGGTAAGCACAAAAATATTTTTTTTTTGGAACAGTAATAAGTACAGCAGTTATCAATAACTGGTATCTGGAACTACCTATCTGATATATGTTATGTTGTAAATATTTTTCTCAATATTCATCTATTCCAAATTCAAAAAACGGTTTTAAGAATATTATGTGTTCTGTGAAATATTATATACCATGTCCATATATCCTCACATTTGAGTGACCCCCTAAAATGTTGAATTTATAAAAATCCACATATAAGCTGACCCTACAAATCGTAACACGCCGAGCGGATGTTGAATTTATAAAAATCCACATATAAGCTGACCCTACAAATCGTAACACGCCGAGCGGCACCTATCACAACAACTGGTTTCAGAGGAGAATTAATGAAAATGAAAACCATTATTGTTATGTTTTACTTTTATTGATAACGGTAAGAAGTGTCTCAAAATACTGCACGATTGCGTGAATGACAGCCAAACCCAGACTGTTATCGCTGTCATAGCGTACCAAGCGCTGCTTCGGATGTGTGCATGCACACACTTATCGTGAGGACTTAGCGTGTATAAGCCGTCCCTTTAGTGCAATAACAGTTATGCGCATATAAGTCAAGCCCTTAGTTCGGCAACTTTTTTTGAGTTTCAAACTCTACTTATATCAGAGGATAAAGCATAATTACTTTGTACAGAGTTTATCATGAAACACAGCTTTGCTTCACGTTACATTCGTTAGAGATGTTCAAATTCGAAATTTCAGATATGAACATGCCCACCCTCCCCACCTTTTTTCATTGCTTCAAAATCTTTGATTTGATTCAATTTGAGTATTATGTAATTGTTAACTGATAATCTGATTGTTTAGATATTTCTGAATTTATGAAGCCACTCGATGCAGTGACAGCAGAAGTATTAGCTCGAGCACTCACAGACGACGATGAATTATCAGAAAGTGATGAATCCTTACTAGCTCATGAATTACCATCATTTTCTCATCCTGCATTAGATTCAAATAAAGGTCGGGTTTTGTGATTTATATGTAATAAGTAATTAACTGTGGTACACATTGAATCTCAGAGGAGCTGCTTTAGCTGGGCTCTACAGCCAAGTGTTTTCTGATCTCTCACATGGAAATCTCAATGGGCCCTTTTTCTTTTTACCAAAAACACACAAGTTATTGGTACTATTTTCCAGGAAAATATTTTGTTCATTTTGTAATTATTACTGAATCAATGAATAATAATGGTATTGCGGGAAGATTCATGGATAAAATAAAGCTATGTCATATTTGAAAATCTCGCTGATGGCAAACCAAGCGCAGTCTTTTTATTAGTGCAACTATGAGATAATTTATGCTAAAAACAATGCTATGTAAAAATCGATGTATTTTATAATAATTTACGTAAAAGGCCATAAAAGTATTACAAACCGTTTAGCAAGTGAGCATGTTTGTGGGTCGCAAGTTTCAGAAAATGTATCATTTAAAAACTTGAGTGCCTCAAAAAAATGATTGCGAACCACTGCTATAGCCGAAACATCAGTCCAAATGCGGTTTTGCGACAGGTGGACACTAAACTTGTGACTGAGCTATAGTATCTATCAACAGATAACTGCAGGTTTAAGTTTTTAGCATTGAATGGAATTATAAATATGGAATGTGTATAAATCAAGAAAATTACAAATCCAAAATAATAATCATTTGGTTTAGAGTTGGAGCTACTGCTCTGGCTCCATGATTATCCAGCCTTGTTACCAGCTTAAACTGCCTTCAAGGCTTGTGTTATCTATCATTTACTAGAATAATGCACCATTATTCTATATGGTTTCAGTTTCTTCTAGTATGTAATCGTTAGCCAATAACTTTGCTCAGAGATTAGTCTTTTTCACTTTAAAATGCATTTATCAAGATTTGAACAAATTTTATTAAAAAAAAATTTTTTGGGGTAGAAAGTAAATATGATATCTTGAAAGCATCATCAATAAATATCTAAACCAAATTTCTTCTCAACTTCAGTCTTTCTAACAGGTTCCAGAGACATACCTGAAGTGCCTTTACCATCCAATCTTCCACGTTACGACGACCCACAGTTTCGCAAAGAAATATTGAATGAATCTGATGACGAAACATTAGGATTTGTAGGAAGTCAACAACAGCAACAACAATTGCCTGATCTTGCCCGACAAATTGCTGTATCTGCTACTGCTGATGCCATGAAAACAGCTATGAAAAATATAATGTCTGGTGCAACAAGCCATACCTCGGAACCAACTGAAAAGACTTCTAGTACCAACAGCAGAGGTTCGACTCCCAGCGATGATGGCTTCGTCATATTAGATAAAGATAATTAAAATCTGCTTAGTTATTATTTCCAAATTCAGTAAATTTGTCCGCTTTTAAACTAAAGTAATCAAAGTCTTGTTATCTGCAAGTAGAAAGTACAAGTTTCATTTTTGAATATCATATTAGACAGGCAAGGATTATCCCGACTTTGTAAATTTGCTGGACTTATTATTTTAGTGAAGCGAATTTTAAAGCATTATTTTGAATTCACCGGTTATCTGTAGCAAAACAGAATGGCAATGGCATAGTGGCAAATTCCGAATGTTACACTTATTACACACTACAATTATAATTGTCTAATCAGCAGTACTTCTACAAAAAATGATGACGAATTTGTCAAAAAAGGGGATAAACAAAACAATTGATATGTCAAGAAATTTGAATCAAAAAATTTAGACTCTCATCGGTGATGTTCATTGCACTATTCAATTCATTTTAGGTTTTAGTGACATGCAATTGAATTGTATTTGACTTAGGGAGATGAAGTTATGTTTACTGGCATATGGCTAAATCTGACATAGGCAAACTACAGCCCGCGGGCCAAATACGGCCAGTTGGTCAATTCAATCCTGCCTGCCTGATGCAGACACAATCAAACGGAACCCAAATTTTGATGTTTTAGCTAAAGATAACGCAAGGAATTTGTTGAGATTGCGATTGAATTTATCACTGGCACGAGGCTTATTGTTTTCCACTTTTTTTTTGTAACACTGCAAATATTGTTCTTGAAATGTAACTTTTTACATCACCCTTACACGGCCCGCAACATTTCTGGCCCCTGGTTCAAAAACCTTGCCCACCAGTGGGCTAGATAGTCGCTGTTCTGGCCTTGTTTTTGAACATGAATGACCCAGTGCACTTTGTAATATAATAGTTTTATTTTATTGAAGGTATATGGCATTGTAACTTACTTGCTAAGGAAGATTCATTGCTCAATCTTTTTCTTGGCATCTTCTGCCGTTGCTCTGCTTTTGTTGTGTTGTATTTTGATGTGATATAAATCCTTTATTTGGTGCCACTCTTGTACAATCTAAATATAATTCATTGTTTCAAATTTCTGACAATCATTTACATTGCTCAAGGAATAGGAATATACTATCCATCACTACTAGCACAGGGGTGTGCAACCTGCAGCCCGCGGGCCAGATGAGACCCACAGGGAAAAATTGTATGATCCGTTGAGAAGTGCCAATTTTGAAAGGCATGCTGGCCCGCGAAACGAGTTTTTCAATTAGCTTAATCTAGTATGTGAGAGTAATTCCATTCTCTTTGAGTTGCAAACATGTACCTGACTCCAATTTGTAAACTATTCCTAATATGTTGCAATGCGCTACAGCTAGCTTCTGCGTGTCATAATATCAATAACCAAAAATTTAGTGTCTGCAACTACTAGTAAGCCTGTGTTCCTGTTATTTGTATCTGGCCCTCCTGTATTAAAGGTTGCACACCCCTGATCTAAGAAATGACAATTGCTAGACTCCACCATTGCGTTTGGCTATATCTTTACCATCAACATTTGTGGAACTAACCTGGACTGATAAACATACAAGAGGATGCCTGATACTTAATAGTTTGGGCAAGTTTGTATTAGAAATACATACCATATCTATAATGGTATCTAGGATACTTATATATGCTTGCTTCGATGAACCAGTTTTGCTCAGCATATTGTGAAGTAAACGAAATCAGAGATGGTCATTTGTCACCAATGTGAAACCAACATATTTTATTCCTAACTGTTTGCTATTTCAAACTTTCTCTCTCAGGCTCTCAGGGTTAAGGTTCACCAATAATTCTGGTTGAATTCTGGAGTCATAAACCAAATCCGGTCTTGATCAACTGCAACCCATATTGCACACTTATTTTAATGTGCTGTCTATGTATTTTACTTTTCAATCCTGCACCAAAACCATACAAATTAGAGTTTCTCAGGTCTAAATCGAAGACACTTATGACATGTACCTGGTAAATTGCCCAACTTAAAACGGCAATCCTTAGCTTCTTCCTTTCATTAATATAAACTGTTTATTTCACTGTAAAAAAGTAAAATCATTTTGCAGGGGCAAGAAAACCCGTTCTTATAGATTGAAAAAGCAAGAATACAGAATTTAATTAAGCCCTTGAAAAATTGAACCAGTAGAAAATTGGAAAATATTTAACTTTTCATCGTTTGTTACAAGACTGATGAAATTAGGATAAAGTACGACGAACATGCACATGAGTTCAATAGTAGTTAAGGAATGTTACAGCACAAATTTATTAACGCTTCCAGTATTCGTTCACTCTGAATAAATTATATAAATACGACACCATAAAAACATTAACACTCAGGTTTGCGGGTTTAAAAAATGCCAGGAAAGCGACAATGTATAAAATAGTGCAATCATTTCAAACATAAATTAGTTTCTGCTAGAACTAGATCGTGACACTCTCTCGTCTAAATAAGTACATGAACAAGCTCCGATTTTGACTTGATATATAAAAAAATGTGGCCGTTAGTAATTAAAACTTGGAAATAAAATCACTGTCACCAAATACAAATTTCAAAATACTAATAATTTTACTATTATTTACTTAATTTATTGTTACGATAGAGACTAATTAATTTTCACAAATTCCATCTAAATTTAAAAAAAATATTTTGTTTGCCCAAAAAAATATCAATATTTCGAAATATTATGCCAAATTATAATAGTACGTAAATAGTGCCTTGAACCTAATTTGGAGAGAGGACATGAAACTGGTAATGAAAAAGAGAAGAATGTTTCCACTGCCAGCTAAAATATCAAAAATTATTTTTAATGATAATAATTTGAAAATACTTAGATTAAGTTATAGCAGTAATATCATTTCCGAATAATATAAAATTCTAAGATGATAATATTATCAAGTTGGACAATAAAATACAATGAAGTAAAATTGATATGAACGGACATTAAACACATGAAATATAATTATGCTGCTCTGAAACTCATTTTCACAAAGGATAGACGAAAAACACAACTGATAAATTAAAGCCTTCCAATTATCAAATAGCGACTATGATTATTCAAATTCAGCATTCAGATGTGATCCAGTCTTCATTTGAAAACATATCAGTTTTTGGTGAATTTTGGCAACAATTCTACCGCCTGTTTAGAGACCAATTGTCACCAATTTGTGGACGAGGTGGCCTGCTATTGGTTAAAGCGAGTGTGTGCAACCTTTAATACAGGAGGGCCAGATACAAATGACCTGGTGAAACTGCGGGCCACACCTGTATTCAACAGGCTTTCTAGTAGTTGCATGCACAAAACTTTTGGTTATTGATCTTCAGACATGCGTTGTTCGCATCGCACAAGCTAGCTGTTGGGCCATTGTAACGTCATTAGCTTAGATTATAAATTGTTTTCAGGTATAGGCTTTGCAATGCAAATGGATAGGAATTACTCGAGTCGCACCTACCAGATTAAACTAAATTAAAAACTCATTTCGTGGGCAGCACACCATTCAAAATTGGCACTTCTCCGTGGGCCGCACAATTTGTTCTTGCAGGCCGCACACCTCTGGGTTAAAGCATTAACCTTAACATGTTGGCATAATAGATTCAAATCCCACACCCATGGTGTAATAAATTGGGTGAGAAATCCTGGAACTTCCCATCCTTTCAAATAAAAACTGCTCGCATATCAATATTTGCTTATACGAGGGCTTGTTCTGACTGAGGGGCATAAATAAGCGCCCGAAAACCTCTGATATCCAAAAATTCTTTTCGAGTGGAAATCTAGTTAGATGAATATCTGGTTACTGCAATTTAAGAAGAGATCATAAATCTAGAACCATTTTTTATAATCGATGAAATTGGAAAACATATTTAGTTTGACACCCACAAATGTCACATTTTAGTACATCAATAATAATTTATAAAAAAAATATGACAGCTATTAATAGGAGGTAATACTAGGATTCCTTGTTTTCCATAGCAAACGTTTGTCAAACTTATATGTTTATCGATAACACAGCTGAATTGCATTCACTTGGCTATGTTTTAAAATGTGAAAAACTCAAGCTCTGCCTTTTGACAACTGTGAAACCTTTTTTAATAAATCTTGATTTTTAGTCTGCAATTGTTCCAATGTTTCGGAATGCTTCGAAATCAAATCTTTCATTTTTGCTCTCAAATCTCTTTGCTCTTGTAAATGTCCTACTTTGATGCATGAAATCTAAAAGTAAGATAAGTTTCTATATTGACTAAGAGGTTAACTAACAAAATTGAAAATTTCGATATATGGGCATTCTTTGGTACCCAAATCTTAGATAAAAAAATATTAGTAAATTTATCATTTCTAATTAGTGTACAAAATGGTACTCCCGTAGTGTATGTACCAGGTTAGGGTTAGGGTGATTTTATCCCATTTTTTCTATGTTTAATTTCTACCACCAGAAAAATTAAGACAATGTATTCAGCACTTACCTGTTTATCTTTTTCAAGCAGTTCTTTATCTTTTTGTGATACTTGCTTTTTCAAAGAACTGATTTCTGCTCGAAGTTGTGTTACAATAACTATATTACCATCATTGACTGTAGGTAACGGACCTGAGGAAAAAGTTATTATGATTAGGAATAATGTATATCATGCGCATAGGTTCTCCAGGATATTGGAAGTAATACTGAAGTATGGCAAATAACATTTTACCAGTCTGACAATTAAAAAATTCATCTGCTCATGGGTGAAGAGAAGATTCATATAAAGTAAATAGTATACCATATCACTACTTAATAAACTTCATAAAACTCGAAGAAAGGAAATCTGACAATACAGCTTGATCTCGTGAAGTAAGGCTGCTAGATATCAGATTCCCAACAATTTCAACATTTAGAAGTGTGTGTGCCAATACGGAGGTAACTAATTTTGTTCACCTACTTTACATCAAGTTGTGTAACAGGAATGAAACCTATGGGCAGGGGGTATATTCATTTGGCTAACAAAGACAGTCCCCAAACTCGTAATAGAAATAAAATAAGGGCAATCGGAATAAAATTATATCCGAACGCTAACCTGGTACACACACTACGGGAGTACCGGAAAAAGTAGAAGCCTTATAACAAATTTAATATAATTATAGTTGAAATGAAACACTGATTAACATACTAGATGAGCCAGAGTCAGTAGTCCGGAATCTTTCAAGTTTAGAGGTTCCATCTGAGGTTTTCAACATTGGCAAAGAAGTCAAAGAACGAGACGTTTTATCCAAATTTGAGTCATCATTTTTATCAACATCAATAATTATTGTTGGCGTCGATTCTGCCATTTCGATGGATTTTTCATTAATATCTCGTTTATGTGACAATTTTTTCTGTAAATGCATAATTTTGGCATCCAACATATTCGCTGCGGTATCGGACTGTTTTATATTATTAGTTTCCTTTTTGTGTAGTCCATGTCTTGATCGCCTCTCATGTTTATGTTTCGTTACGTTCATAGCTGCAGGTGCACTGCGTCTTGCTTCTTTTACTTTAAGTCTGTTCTTTTTCACTTTGGCAATTAAGTCCGCTGGCAATGTGTCAGAAGTTGTAAATTTTTCTTCAGTCTTTGTTGTTAATTTTTTGCTTTTATTTGATTTATGAGATTTTTCTTTATGGGAAGACAAAGTACGACATTTATCATGGTTATTAGACTTTGTTGCGGAATTTGATGTCAATTGTAAATTGTTTTTATTATCCTCAGATTTTGTTTCCGACTTTATAGATTCAACTGGAAGACGATAATCCATATCTTGTGAAGAATATTCATCCCAACTTGTTTGATCTGATATATCTTTTTCATGTATCATAACTTCCTCTTCGATAACAATCTCTGTGGGAGAACTTTCACTTTCTGCGGAAACTGTCCACATTTTAGTCTGAAAATAAGGTGGAATATTGAGAATATTGTTTTAAACAAAATTTCAAAGCAATTTTTTGGATACTCCCACCAGAGTGTATGTACCAGGTTAGGGTTAGGCGATGATTTTATTCAGATTTCCCTTTTTTTAGTTCTATTACGTGTTTGGGGACTGTCTGTGTTATCCAAGTGAATATACCCTTTGCCCATAGGCTCCAGTCTCTTTACACACAACGTAATGTGAAGCGGGTGAACAAAATTAGCCAAACCTTCTTTATTCCTTGTGACATTGCTTCTTCTGAAGCCCTTCGTTTTACTTTCTTCATTGCCTTCTGTGCAGTTGAAGTACATAGCCAGCATAGTAGATTATTCTTGTCCTATTAATGCGATACAATGGTATTAAAACAGTCCATTATTAAAACAGAAATCAATGGTACCTAAATTTGAGTAAAATGATATTCACAAATTGCCTCATTGGCAAGTTGATAACTCACTTTTTACTTTTTATGTTGTATAAAAATCTAAATCACACTTGAATTTCATAAAAATGAGGATTTTCCAACACAGTATTCTTATTACCAGAGCCTTTGGATGATTGAATGCAGCTTTTAATTTACATTGTGAACATATTTGAGGTGGCCCATACTTCTTCATACTACTTGCACATCGTCTGCATTTTGATCCAATGAAAGCAGCATGGAGATGACAGAAGGAGCAACTGCGAGGCTAAATAGATAAGAAAAAAAACAAGAAGATGAATTCACAGACCTGAATTTGCAAAACTTCCTCTTAAAATTTGATAAGAAAAAAACACAGGTGTGGCGCACCTCTGATTACCCTGCGGCCTGCATGGGTTCGCAGGTTCAAATCTTGTGTGGAATATTTATGTGTGGATTGATTGCTGGACTCCTCACCGCCATAGGGTGGTTCATGGAAACGCTTGTAGGTTATACCTTTTTCCACTATCAAGTCCATCATCTGAAACAATGACTGGCTAACTAATCCCATACCCGACATGGACTGGTAACTGGACGAGAGGACGTGGTTATTAAGCCGTCTTGTCGACTTTCCTCTCTTGATGAATATGTGAATCCTGTAAATCCTATCAATCAAATAGAGAAGATATAAAACAAATGGGTAACATATTAACTCCGACAAACCTCTCCATATTCAGCTTTATTTTTAACACATCGCTCACAGATGTGACTCTTTGTTTTACTTTGATTTTGAGCTTCTGTTCTGCAAAACTTGCATCGACTTTTTCCTCCCTCGATGGCCTTTTTCTTATTCTTGACATGACCGTTCAAAGAGGCATCAGAATTATTCTTGTTGTTTAGACATTCCTGTGAACCAAAAGAACAATCGTACTAATAACCAAAAAAGAAGATTTAAAGACAATTGTTAGAGACAGCATTTACTAATGGCTGAGAAGGGTTTTGCTTGTTGTGTGATAAGTTGACTACTAAAAGAGCATTATCAAGCTCAATTCTATTTAGATTGTGCCTTTGTTTCCTTCTGACAGTCCGAACTGTCTTGAACTTCTCAAAACTTCAGCATTTATGTGAGTGATGACAAACGAAGTCATATTTGACAGTATCTCGCTTGTGATCAGTAAAAAATGGACAAATACTTCATGCAATGAAATTTTCTGAGTAATTACACCACATAATGTGCATTAACTTTAATTTTTCTAAACTAAGGCTCAAGTCATTGGCTAAATAAATAGATAAGTCAGTAAGTAAGTTCAGAAGTTAGTTGTATTCTTATGTTAGTATGTTGTATCTTGCTTGCTAAGATGCAAATGTCAACGCAAAAGTTGTTTTGTTACTGCATCACCCTGTCACTAGCAATATACAAAACAGGTCTCCATGACTTATAGCTGTATAGCATACCAGTACGGTATTAGATAAAACTATGAAAGAAAATTACAGAATTATCAAAGTTTTTAGCACAGGCAGAACTGCAGGAAACAGCTACTATTTTGCAACATTTTTACTATTCCTGTATTTTGAAATCTCACTTCAATCATTAATCATAATACCATGAATAGATAGACCCCAATATTCAATTATATCTAACGTTATAAACTTACTCAAAATTAGTTACCTTACCTTACATAGTTGAGAATCTTCAGCTAAATCTTCGAACTGAAACCAGTTGAAACAATTTGTACACGCGTATTGACGTGATCCGGCCATTCGTCGTCCAAAGATAGAACAGTATAATAGTCTAGAATCTAGATGAGCTCACAAATCCCCTATCAAAATGGAATTTCTGAATTTGGGAAACTTGATTGAAACAAATTCAAGAGCCGATAGTCTGATAGTGCAGTAGTGTGCAGGTGATAGAAATTTCCGTCTCTCCCTTTCTAAATTTCCCCTAAATTTATAGATTGGACAAGTCGCTCACTAGGGGGCAAACACGAGTCACTCACGACCCCAGCTGCAGGACACACAGTAATAGCAATGAGCATTCATTGGTAACAGTAAACTATACCAGCAAGGGATTTTTGCAATTACTTTGAATTTTTGAAAATTAGCACAACTTCGCTTTGTTATGTGATTCAGTGTATAAATCAAGCCTTAAAATAGACAATAAATCCAAGACGCCACGGAAAATCAGCCACACCCAATTCACCAATACCAAGTCAGAAAAAATTATTGATAAATTAATTACCAATCGGCAAAGACGTGCGGTATCAATTTAAGATCATTTCATTTCATATACCTCTAAAATAACAATACATACAATCGTAAATATATACTACTACATAGGCTACAATGAATATTTCAAAAAGTTTATATCTTCCAATTGGTAAAAATTAATTGTACTCAATATCGAGAAAAGGGCCACGAGTTCTCACTTCGACTGAATTGTGATAGGCCGGAGTCACCATGCGAATCTGAGACGCGTATTGCTAATATGAACCTCTTATTAAGTAGACTAGACTTTCGATACCTTGAGTAGAATGTTGCAAAACGCAACGTTATAATGGCCCAGATATTATGACTAATTCATGTGTTTCTTTAATTTTGTCTGATTTTAATGACCATCCTTGTCCTTGTATGATCACTATACAGTGTGATAGGTTTTTGCTTAATGTTGGTAAATTGCCGCTTGTAATTAATAAAAAGTATTGTATTATATATATATATATATATGTATATATATATAAATTAATTACCAATCGGCAAAGACGTGCGGTATCAATTTAAGGTCATTTCATTTCATATACCTCTAAAATAACAATACATATATATATATGTATATATATATATATATCGATAGACCCGTGTTCTCCACTCCACTTAATGAAGATAAGAAAATTGTGCAATTCTATAAAATGTATCGTCTGTTTCTTCGAATAACGATTCGAAACATTTTTCTTACGAATCAGGTATTAATCGTACACTATTTCTCGTATAAATGAAAAATAAGGAAAAAATTCCTACAAAGATTGTTCAGAACCCTAACCTGAAATGTAAGATTCTACATAGTGATTTGTATTGTGAAGAGATGCATAACTCATCCATGTAGCATGTAACCCTCTGTATGTGAATATACATCTTATCTATGATAAATTACCTGAATCAATATTATTGCGTTATACACGGTATGTTAGTCGTTGGTTATACATTATCAATATATTGCGTTTGGTACTGACCACCTCTGCTTGAATCTCTACAGGGATATTGAGTTGACATTCATGTTGATCACTATAATATACCGTTCTTTTCGACTTCTATTTTTGATTTACCTTGTTGTTCTAATTGTTTTTGTTTGCGAGGTGGGAGACATCGCTCATTAGCATTTAAATTTCGCTCGATGTTTTTTTTTTATGGAAAATCCCAGCAACCAAATTACACCTACTTACTTTTTTCGAATGTACCAGTAAGCTTTCTTGGATGTGTGGCCAGCGTGTTTTGTGAACTTTCGATGACTACAAGTGAATCATTTGAAATGATTCAAATACAAATTACCAAATGAGATCAATTCGAATGCGACCGATGATTCTGTTTGATCTAGTCATACTGATCGATCCAGTCTATGGTATTCACGCAGACACATTTTCAATACACAACAATACATTATTTAACTTTTTTTGACGGAAACAAACAGTGAATAAATAATAAAAGGTAAAATATAATGAATAATACTGCATAAAAATACGCGTTGCATCAAATTACAATAGTGAGCAAATTTTCTTGGGTTTTTCTGAATTTGCTGGATACAAAATTGCCGAAGCAGTCTCTACAAACAATTCCCTGATATTCTCTTGCGTCTTAGCTGAACATTCTCTGTAAAAAAGTACTCCCAACTTCTCCGCTAATGCAGATCCTTCTTCATACCTAGAATTCCATTTTAAAAAATACATCCTAAATTTATTCATCGTGAATGGCCTGAATAATTAGATGAGCATAAATCAGTTTACATTGTAAAATTGTTGAGTCACTTTAGAATTCTAAGAAGTATGAACAGTCATATCCAATACCATTACATTTTTTTAGGCTCACACCATACAGACAGCACAATTTCCACAACCTTCACATAAAAACAGAGCACTTTTGACCATAGTATGCACCGGCCTACCCGCCTACGTACGAGCAACTTAATTATTATTGAAGCAAATCTTTATTTTTTCAAATTTTTGCAAAACATGTCAACCAAATGCTATGCGTTATTAAGTATATTATCCTGTTACTACATATGGTTATAGATAATATATTATGGATTGTCACGACAGGTTTTTTTTTCAGTAAATTGAGACTGATAAAGAAGAGTGTTCGATTTCTATAAGACTTGTGCGAATTTACCTATACGAATGATTACTCACGTGACAGGACGTTTTCCTTGTTTTTTCAACTCTTCCGCCACCGCTTCCGAATTTCGTAAATCTATTTTTGTACCGACTAATATCGTTTTTGCTCTCGGTACGTGATGAGTTACTTCGGGAAACCATTTTTCGACAATATTGTCCATTGACGTTGGAGATGTTACAGAAAAACAAAGTAAGAAAACGTCTGTTTTTGGATATGACAGAGGACGAAGTCTGAAACATAGATTCATATTTTTCTACCATTTATAAATAACAGTAACTAGAATATACACATCCTTCATTTATGATCAAATGCACCACCATTAAAATCAATGATACCCAATAAGGGTTATGATGCATTAAATTTGATAACATCTTTGTACGTAGGAAGAGATTTCTCATCCGGCTTCTGACTATGGGACTTTGTCACAGCCATGTTCAGTCTTGTTTTTGATATCCAGTGGTGATATAATGTTTTACGATGTACCTGTCATAATCTTCTTGACCCGCCGTGTCCCATAGTCCCATATTTACAAGAATGTCATTGACCATAACATTTGCTGAAAAATTGTCGAAAACTGTTGGGATATATTCTTCTTCAGGGAAAGCATTGTTGGTAAAACTTTGTAGAACGCATGTTTTTCCGACGCCTCCATCTCCAACTATCACACATTTAACGGCCTTGTAAAATGAATCAAGAAAGTAAATCCATTCATATGAGAATAAGTTTTATTGGTAAGTCTACTTGTCACTGGGTATCTATATGTAAATAGTTTTGTTTATACAATTGGTTTTTGCTATACCAATGTATGGATATGGCAATACTAGTGAATGACAAAACCATTCAGAAATATTTCAATCACTTCGATGTTTTGGGTTTTATAATTAGGCATAGTTGCATAACTGAAATATATGAGCACAAAGGCGGTAGTATCGAGCATCAGGAATCCCAACTGAAGAAATATAGTAGTTTGGGCAGAAACGTCTGGGGTTAAATAAAAATGTAAGAGCCTTCGATCCAGCAAGAAAAAAGAGAAGTGATCACTGGTGCACTATATATTCAAAATTAAAACCAACATTTTCATCAAAATATAACTTCGTGTTATCAACATTAAGAACCGAACACATAAGCCGCCAAATACGCAAATTATTGAATGATCTATTATTCTATTACATTTGGCAAACCTTTACCTTCAAATTAAAAATTTTGCATTCGGAATTTTGTTTTTGAGTCAGACTCTATTTCACTTTCTTAAATTCGTTTACAAAGTTGTATGACAACTCATAATCCAATAACCAATATATATCTTAGTACTAGTAAAATAGTGATATATATATATTCAGATTCCACAGCTAATCATTCATAATTATATACATAAAATTATAATAATAAATAGGATTTATGTATGTAACATACTTGCTGCACGGACATCTCTCTTTAAGAATTGGATGAGAACTTGATATCAGCGAACAAAATTTTGTATCCAAACGGCAATTTATTTATTGGTAGCTAGTGACTCTTTATGTCTGTTTATCAAGACAGTCCACCTAAGGTATATAATAAGCTTCCGCCACATAATGAATTGCATTTGCGTGGTGGACGTTCTCAATCTATTACATTGTTGTTTTATCGGTTTCATTTGAGTATTTCAAGCATAGTATGATGTGGAATTTGTGCGGCCCACGATTAACTGGTATTTGAATAGTGATCACAGGTGCTCTCTTGGACTATTTTAAATAAATACACAATATAAAAAATGTGTTTCAAATGAGAAATTTATTGTAATCATTATTATACAGTCAGAAATTTCTGGTGGGTCAATATGTATTCAATTTAGCCGTGAATTAAATTTGTTAGAATTAGACTTGTACATAACGCTACTCGAATTGTATTTATTGTATTCACATTAAAGTACTATGAAATTCTATACAACATTGCTTGCTATTTTTAATAGTGATGAATTAACCAGCCCATCAATTGCGTTCGTGTGACTGCATATCGACGTAGCATGTGTCATATGTCTTGCTATATAACCTGAGAACCTATTACGACAACTTATAACAGGATATATATATACGTGATAATGTGGTCTTCATCATCTTCTCCTATAACATTTCAGACACTATACACATCAGTTTTAAAGCGTTTTTAATAATTACTTTGTCAAAATTTTTCTTGCTTCGGTATCACATGGTTTGGTCATTTATCACGCCACCATGGCAGAAATTGCCACTTTTCTCCAACGACCACCTTCTGTCCATGCAGTTCACGGTCGGAGGCATCATGAGTGGGCTTTCTGTTAACTTTTGGATGTATGTGTGGAAAGTTGGATTGTATATCAAAATCAAAACAAATAAAATAAATCATTCTTGATAACATTCAAAGCCTTCAAATTTACTGAATTTGTTTATTGCTCGTGCATTAAGACCTATGACGATTCCTGCATTATATCATTACACCAAATGCCATGAACTTAGGTGGTTTCGTGTTGCGTGCAGTAGTTTTCAGGGATTTCTGATGTGCCATATATATAGTATATATATTACCGGTTTGACTCATGACTACTGATCACACTAATGAGGTACGCTAAAATTGTCTTATTCTTTTTGCATAATACAGAATTTGTATACAAATCCCTGTTTTTTTTACATGGCCGATGTTCAGAAAAAAAAGGAGTTGGACATCAAATATTTGAGTCTCATTCATAAGTATACAGGTTACCCAGATAATTGGTATCTTTTCCAGCGCGGTATCTTGTCTAAACCTATTTCGTTTCAATCATTTTTATTTTCAATACAATTTCAATATGTGGAAAATTCCGTTATTTAAAAAGAGCCTTCGTAAGAGAAAATAGTAAAGACATTGTATATACTAAACAAACATGAGAGATACTGATATATTGACGCCGAACCTGTTATATTTATGCTTATTTAATTTAATCTGGTGGCAACTGACTCTGGTTGCGTCCCAGTCATGTACCAAAAACATCTGTTTATTTGATATTTATATATGTATGTATGTATATATTGTTTTGACGAAATAAACTCTCTCTACTGTGGGACATTTTTATTCCTTCTTCTTATATATCTGATAACAATCTTTTTATCTTACAATAAACAATATATTATTTATATATTGTTAACCATAGAGACCTTATAACCGTATAAGCAAATAATAGCTTTTTATCCAAAACGTGAGCAATACTGTAAAAATCTCAAATTGTGATAGAATTTTGAAGCAAAAGTGTAGATTGGATATTGGGAGAACACCACAGTCAAGCGTGGTACTTTTGGGATATCCGATTCAAAATTGCACCATGGAGATTTTTTGATGGTTTATCAGCCAAACACATAGCAATAGGTATACGACAACTCCATTAAATGATCGAGAATAAATACCGAGACGAATTAGCAAAATAATAAATTCAATTTGAATCAATACATAGCCTACTCTGAATTCCTCCAAAATTAATTTAAATTCGGTCTTTCAAATGTTAGTTTTTGCCCATTTTATGGTGATAAGTTCAAAGTCTGTGAATTGCCTACGGGCTAAACGGATATATTTATGGGTCAATTAGATCGAAGTGCTTATTTTAGATGCTAATATTAAAAGCAATGTGCATTAGTGAAGGGTGTTCGTCATTTTATATTCTTTTAACGGTATGTTATGTTTATGCAAGGGCGACACATGGCGGTGAATATCTGACATTCAATTCGTCGTACCAAAGAATCATTTTTCACTAGGACGTAAGATATATATTCCGTTATTTTGTCTGCGGAAAAAAAACTGTAACAAATCAAAAATATAACGCGATGTTTGGTATAGAATAGTTCAGAGATCCTCTAACAGAAAGTTCGTGTTGCCTTGTCGAAGAGACCATTTGGTTCGTATATCTAAGAATATTGAAGTATGTATGCCAATATATGAGAAGTTAAAATTTCCTATATATATAGAAAAGTTCAAATGCCTGTTTGGAGTTTTCAGAGGCCGCGCACACGCATAGATTTACTGCGCACAGACGTATTTCGATGAAATCGAATTTTCTCGGTTGGCAGGTTGAGAAAGTTTGTTGTTGGCCCACCCATTACCCGGTTAGAACGCTAAAATTCCTTCATTGGTTTTTGCACAAATATTAGTCATTTCCAAAAAAGTGCGCACACACCAAAATTTCTGCCCGCACATACTACAAAAAATTAGAGGGAACATTGGTTATGGTCGATATTATTTATTTTTATACATATATACATGTTTCATTGGGAAAGTGGCGAATACGGCCGTTACTTTACATTTGGCTCATCTCCTGTATATTCACTTTTTGAATACATAGTCTCGGAACTTCCTGCCCTAAATGTGAAACAGATATGGAAACTGCACTAATTTAAATGCAAAAGACCCCAAATATTCAATTTTCAAAAATGTGTGTACCCCATCCCCGTTCAAACTAGAGACATATTTACCAGAGAAGTTCTAACATGACAGCATAAGTGAATGAAAATCAAAGTTATCACGAATGAAATAAAACACACAAAATCCAATCATAGTCGCAATCTCTCGAGTTTGTTAAGTCCCCTTCAAATGCAGCTAGCAAACATATAACTCGGACAGTTTTCCATCTGCATTCATGCGTTCGTCATCTCCGCATTTGGGAGAAAATGTTCCATCCTGGATTCACTCCTCCTCTCCGCAGGTTCCCGCTCCGATAGGCAACAGTACTAGCTCATATTGACCACGCACAATGAGATTCCAACAATTCAGGGCTCCACCACTGAAGTCAATACACTCAATCCCATTTCTGAAAACCGGTCACAACAGTCCAGCCAGTCTCAACCACAGCCTGCATATTGAGCAAACATCATTACTCGAAAGCTCATTCATAAAAAAAAAACATTGTTCAACACCAAGGGGGGACAATTTCAATTCCCAACTCTGCTGCAACTTGGAACACACAGTCTTTCCACCACTAGACATTATCGTCAGCCATATCAAACTCACTTGAACAAAAGCCCATAGTCTACTGCTGGTCAGGATCCACTACATATTCACTGCCTCCGCCGGATGAATACAGGTCAGGTCCATTTCTCATAAACTTGCCCAGACATTGCGCTGCTCCTATCCGAAAATCTGTGCATTGCCCCCCTTGAAACACCGTTCCTGAAGTCGACGCCTTTGGTACACGATTTTTCTATGCTGAAATTCGCTTCCTTTTGTCTTCTTTGAAATAGCCGTCAATAAATCTGTCCAAATACGCTGCGTGCTTGCCATTGTCACGGACGAAGATGTAATCCTGGTGTGCTCGCCATTGTCACAGTTTATGAAGATATTGCTACTGTGTGTTGAATGAATCAGAAGACTCAAGAATTCCGGATTGGTTGTTTATTGTACGGCAACTCCAATATCAAACTTATAACAGATTACATCACTAAAAAGACGACCGACCTCCAACCCGACGGCCGTAGAAATGAAAGCGAAAGATATAATTTCCTCTCACGTGTAGTGAGTGGTCGGAGTCCAGATTCGACAAAACAGCATTGAATGAGGGTCAACATAACAGTCTATATAAATATATATACACACAATATAAACATGTACGCCATGGTCCGCGAAAAAATCAACGGTGTTATATAGAAATTTCGAAAATTCAATTGGAAATGGGATAGCTTTTAACAAAATATATAGAAGATAGTTATTAAATTGTACTTGATAAGGGATATATATAAATGATCATGAGTGTGTTGAAAGTTACTGCTAACACTATGTGATTAGGCTCTGACCAATATTGAATTACCAATATATGACATATGGTCATACAGTATAATATAGAGCAGTCAGACCAGAAATCGGTGCATAGCTTTAGCAATCTCAAGGGTATGAATGTCGGACAGTTTCAACACTCTGGTTTTATGGTAAAGGGTGTTTAAATTTGTACGCTCTGGAGAAAGTTCTAACAGCTGTATTCTGTAAAACCTCTAATTTGTGAATGTTGGTTTGAGTTGCAAAGCCCAATGCAGTTATAGCATATTGGATGTGGGATTGAAAACGAGCAAAATAAACGGTTCGCAGGGTAGCATCCGGCACATAATGCCTAAGTTCTCCCAAAATCCCAACCGACCTGGACAATTTCTTGTGCATCTCGATAATATGAGTGTTTCATTTTAAGTTACTATCTTTATAGAGCCCGAGATATTTATAGGATTGAACAACTTCCAAAACAACCCCCCTGCTTTTGATTAGGATGGTAAAATGTTTTTTAAGCGATTTAGAACTGGATAGGATGACTTTTAGATTTTTCCACATTCACAGTGAGTTTGTTGCATAACATCCACTCAATTATTTTATTCATTTCACTGTTCAAAGTATGTTGGAGCGTGGTTGAATCTTTGGCACTGGCAAGTAAGCAAGCATCATCGGCAAAGAGTTTTGTTGTTAAAAGAACCGAACAGTTTGACTGTAAATATATACTACTACGGTTTGACAAATCATTTACGAAAAGTAAGAAAACCAACGGTCCAATGACCGAACCTTGGACAATTCCGCAGTGGATGGGCAATATCGGAGACCTATAGCATCCTACCTAGTACCTACCTCAACAAACTGTGATCGACCAGTCAGGTAATTACATAACAGTTTGCTTGCATTGCCTCTAAAACCACAGTGTATCAACTTTTGGACAAGGATTTGATGGTTAACTGTGTCGAAGGCTTTCGGTAAAATATCTACACTAAATGATAAAATAAACAAGAGAGCTACGCACAAATATATGGACACGTTAGACCAGAGCGAATCAGTCTTTACCGGTACCTTTGACGCTACCGGTACCCTCAAAAAAGTTCTGAATTTCCAGGAGCAAGAATTTTGCAGAATCAAAACGTACAGCCAGTCATGACACTGACTAAAATCCGTGTTCCCATGGATAAAAAATAATACAGCAAAATTTTAGACGAAATATCAAATTTCATAGAATTCACGCAAAATTTTGAAATAAATAAAAGTAATAGCCTTCTAGCGAAGAAATTTATCTTTAACCACTGAAAATTTCAAAGCAATTGGTCCAGTATTCGAAGAGAAAAGCGATTTTTTAAAAACGTGTCAAAGAACAAGAACAACAACAACATAATAATATGAAACGATCGTTATGGCCACTAAACGTGTCCAATAAACGTGTCCAATAAATAAAAGACCCAAAAGTATGATGTATGCGACTAATTACAAGAAAAAATATGGAATATTATCATGGTCAGCTATTTTGCCTTTTTCTAGATTATTACTTGGTGAACTTCTAAAAGTGTTGTTGGCTCCAGAAAAATAGGAATTCTGCGGTGGAGCACCTAAAAAGATTTCGTACTGTGTGGGACATTATCGACAAGTCTCTTTCCTACAGATAAATTTTTTTTTATTGAATTCAGCGGATACCGCGACATGGTCTGGGACTATGGTACCATTTTCAAGCTTCAATTCCGAGCTAGTAGTTTCATCATTGGATCTAACTTTTTGATGTCATTTATAGTTTTCCAATTGCGCTTGACATCCCCTCTGTTGTTCTCGGAAATATTATGGTAATACATTTGTTTTGATCTTCTCTGCAAATGTGTCAAAATGTTCTTATATTTTTTATTAAAGTGGAGACGCTAGGATAAATTTCCCTTCTGGAACTTACTTTTGAACATATTGTTTTTATGTTTGATGTAATTATGAATTCCTTTGGTAATCCAAGGTTTGAAGTAAAATTTATTTTCTTTACGTAAAAATGGTCTTAATGGGGCATGCATATTGAATAACCACTTGAAGTGGATAAGAAAAAGATCGAATGAGTTATTAAAGTTTTCTACATAATATAACATTAGTAAAATTATTACACATTGACTTAGCTTTTAGCCTGAATGAGTCAGCACAAAATTTAGCCATGTCCCGTTTCATGCGAGTGTTTGTCATAACATTGCCAGTAGTTGATCATATTGTACACATTATGGGAATGTGGTCGGCAAAATCACCGAGCAAAATAAATGACGAAGTGCAGGAATTTATGATATTGGTGTATGTGGTCAATTAATGTGTGGGAGGTTGAGGTCACTCTGATTGGTTTGGAGATGAGTGGACATATGAAATTAGTCATTAGCATATCCAGATACTTGGTAGTAGGATTGTCACAAGAATTAAGAAGATTTATATTAAAGTCGCCTAATATTATAAATTACTTTTTAACCATTGCCAGCTTCTCAAATAAACAATACATTGCTGTAGTTAATGATGGGCTATTATTCTTTGGATGTTTATATATTATACCGATAACAAGATTTTGAATTTTTGGTTGGTTGGGTTGGTTGGAAATACTTGAGTTCGATCCACAAGTCCTCACTGTTTGGGAAGCAAAGGCTGAAGTCAGTGCATACATGATAAATCAGATTGTCCCTGATATAAAAACCAACATCGCCTGCGCGAGTAAACAAGGGGGCATGAATGAAAGTGTAACCAGGGATATCAATATTTACAACAGCTGTCTCACTTATGATCCTGGTCTCAATAATTTGATGCAGAATACAAAAATTTGAAATAAGCTCAACTAGATTATCGGCATATTTTGCCAAAGATCTGATGTTATGGTGCAATATAATAAAATCTGTTGGTAGAAAACTTGAAGTTACCCCATTGCTATTAGATATTTCGAGGTATCGCCTTGCAATAGTAGGTTGATTCCCAAGTCAGATAAGGATCATTCATAGATGAGGAACGCTAATGGGTTCGAATTGAATTAGATAATATGAAGTTGGTTGAGGCGAGGTGGGCATTAGAGGTCATTAGATGGGCTATTCCAATGGGTACTAAAGGTAATTCAACCAATAATATGATAGAATATTTTACTCAGATATGGCAGTAAAAAATTAATTAGACTCATCTTTTTTTAATAAGATCTTCGTCTTCAGTTATGGATAGAGTGTTAGTGTATTTGTTCTTTTTATCAGCACCTTGCCATTTGATGTCTATAGGAAGGCGTAACCACATTGCTTTTTGAGAACTTTCGTTTTATAAAATATGTTCTTGTTTTCGTCGGTCAAATTCTCAACAGCAAACGCTTTAGATAGGTTTCTTATGGATGTTGAATTGGTAGCGGTTTTGATTAAGTGGCGATTTTTGAAGATTCTAGCTGTGATTTCCCGATTGGTAAATTTTGCGACATTCGGTTTATAGATGTTGGAATTTCGCGTTGGACAACGATGTGTTACAGAGATATCAGATGGTTTGATGTCCACATGAATAATTTTTTCAATTTCTGTCACCAATTTGTCGGTGTCCTCATTTTTATTAGGTGCAATGCCATGAAATTCTAGATTGTCCCATCTAGATCGGCACTTTTGTTCCTTAATTTTTTCTGTGGCGTAGAATAATTTGTCCCCTAGGACCGGGGTATAAACCAACTCTTACAGATCTCTTATTTGTTTGCCATAGAGCACAAGTTTGTCATCTGTTATTTTTTTCTTGGCAATAATCTCATCATATTTTTCTGATTGAAAACTTTGAGATTCTCCCTGATAGAAGCTTTTTTTTGCTTTCAGAGATACTATTTGTTCCGCCATACATTATTTTAGCCCAAGACTCATAGGTAGGTATTCAGAGGAGAAGTTTGCGGAGTTGAAGTTTTCAGCAAGGCATTTATTTGAAAATTAAATATGGTAATTGGTCTACTATATTTCTCTGTATTGCCTCCTGGAGATTCATCTGGAAGTAGAGATGTTGTTGAGCGAAGCCATGTTGTTATAGATGTTTGACATATATGCTCGAATTGATGTTGAAGTGCACAGCTATGATTCAGTTAGAGTCTAACTGTTAGACTATTATGCTAGTTTTAGGTTAGATTTTAAAACTATACTCAAACAGCACTATACCTTAATCAAATAGCGAATGACTTCACCTGACTTATTTTTTCACTCACAGCACGCAAGGCAATTTTAGAGCTACACTAGCGATCTATAAACTGTCTAAGAAAGGATACTCATTAAGATTAAATTTGGGAAAGCCCGCTCTAAATATTACAGTGACCGTGTGATGTTGCGTTATCGCATAATTTTTCGCGCGGCGTGATTTCTCAATGATTTCACGGGTCACTGCGTTATCAACCGCGATTTACTCCAAAGTTCAGACCATTGAGGTATACACCTCAATGGTTCAGACGCGTTGCTCGATGGTTTGACTATGACTTTAACATCAACGATTGGGTTTACTACTGAGGCTCTGGATACGGAGAAATAAAAGAATATGCAAAAAAGACGGTGGTGGATTCTCCTGTTTTTCAGATAAAGAGTACCCGAGGTAGAAAGATACCTGGTTGGTGTGGTTTCGTGCAGTACGGTGTACCTCTGCTGTACCGTACCCTAACATTCGTATTTACCAATACAGCAACTACCGTTGTTCCAATTTTCCGTATCATATAGTCATATGACCAACCCTATTTACCGGTAAGTAGGGTACCGGTATAACATAAAGCACGGATACTGTACAGCACCAGTTCACCTAATTGTTTATAAATGCTGCCAAATACCAGATCAAGATGTCTTGAAATCTATAAGATGCACTGACGTAATATAAGATAACTGAGAAGCATTGTGTGATTAATTTATGATATAATCTTCCACCAAACTTTAAAAAATATTCTGTTCAGTATCAAATAAATAAAATAATTTTGTGTTTTTTGTAGAAAGTGAGAGCTATGGAACCAGAATTTTATTTAACAACGATTTTTCTCTTAAATTTATATATATAGTTCTCTAAGTTCCCTTAATAAAAATTGATCTATCAACAATACCATAAGACACTTGGTGGTATCAATGCCACACGCATATATCGTTCATGGATAAAAGAATTTCAAGATGTTTCTTTCTGGACATTGAATATCGAATTAAATAGAAAAAATTTCTAAAATGTCTTTAAACGAATTTTTCTATCAGAAAAAGTTTGTCGTCCAATGTAGATGGTGTAATACAGGGTACCTAAAGAAAAAGGTACTATGGCGTAGAGGAATGGAAACAAATTGAAAGCATAAAATTGAAAAGGGCCGTGTACAATAATATACACAAGAAAAAATAACCATATTTTGCCCTAATATTTTTTTGTGAATATCTGGACGTATATGTAGATATATTTGGACGACACGATAAGCAGCATGTAAAATAAGAGGTTATTTTTCAACGTAGCACCCCGGGATTTCTGTAGATCGCAATGAAATTTTTACATTATCGATTGTATCGATATTAAGAGTTTCGCGAACTAGATCTAATTTTTCATCGTCTGCAACGATGTCCGTATTATCTTCGATTGACGATTCCAAAGAACAATTATCATCACCAAAGCTCACGCAACCTGAACTTGATGATGACTTCCGTTGTCGACGAGAAATCACATCATTGCCTACAGGCCGAATTTCTGCATCAGGGATTGTTAGAAACGCACTCTTTTCCATGTAGTTGCCATTTGTGTAATCTTCTATTTCAGATAACGTGTAATAATTTGTAACAAAACTGGCCTCGTTTTCATCGATTTCAGCCTCAATAACGCAGCTCAGCCCGGTTTGGGATATATTGTCACAATCCGATGAACTTCTTTTGCTGGATTCCGAAAAACCAGAGTCGGTGTTCGTATTTTTTTCTGATGCCCGAGGACATTTGAAGCTGCTGCAATGCGAATCTACAATACCAGTTTCATTTCCAGAATCTTGCTGATCCCATGATACATCGTCTGAATGAAGCATGTGTGCGATATCTCTATTTTTAATTTTATCTTGTAGTTGGTGAACATCAGCAGAAGTTTCGCTTGGTTTTGATATAAGATCGACTTCTTCCTCGGTTGTGTTCATGACTTCACAGCCCGTAAGCACAGAAATATAACGATCAAATTCATTGCTTTCTTTTTCATATATACTTTCTGAAAATTGAGAATTCGATATTAAAATCATGTGTCATAAATATATAACCCGATAGATGTAATACGTGGTCGTGGTCACTGAAAATTTTTGTGACTATGAAACTCTTTGCCCTCCCCGTGTAAAGTTGGGTTACTTATATATTTATTAACCTCATTTATTTATTTCACTGACACAGTATATTTTATTTAAATATAAATAGGTATTTATATATATTAGGTAAATATATATAGGTATTTAAAAAATCACTTTTAGACTTCAGTTTGTTTGGTATTTCTTTCACACATTCGTAATGAATACTTTCAAAATTAACATCATCGACAAAAGCACAATCTTCCGTATTACGAGCAACAAATGAATCCTGTAAAAAAATGTAACATTTATAAATATAAGTATAAATTGTGGGGATAGAGAGTTACAACTTAAGAACATTGTGCTACAAGACGGAGCTTAAACATTTAAAGTGAACAGAAATGAACTAATAACCCATATATATATATATATATGTATTATTGGCCATTATTAATAAGAACGATAAAGATAGTCAGAAAAAGGTCAAGACCTTTGGTGGCATATACAAAAAGGTAACTTTAAGCAGTGAACACAGAAAAAATTATCAAAAAATAAAACTTTCCACGTCCGCACATCTTTTGTACCTGAAACGGCATAGATACAAAAACCATTTACATTGGTCCAGATTACTGTGTAATTTATTATATTCTAAAAAGAATACCTTTTTGTTTGAATATAATATAAACGTTTTTTAAGTAATATCCCGTTTCACAATTAGGATTTACATATTATTATTAGAAAAACAATTTATTTTTATTTCATTTTAATGCGATTCTCAATAATCTAATCTCAAAATGGCGATTAATTATGCCCAGAAGGCGCTCGCGTCAACCACCAAATTGACAGTCGGTCGGGAGTTCAAGACGGCTTTGTTTAAAATGAATGAAGTTGCATGCATACAACTGAAAAAACTGAAATTCAGTTCTTTCGAAATATGTTTGACTGCCAGTTCATTGATAGTTTTTCATAAAATTCCATGGGGAAATGCTACTCTATGAAATTAACTGTTGAATAAATTGGGCATCAAAATATAATTACCGGCAACTCTTTGATTGAAGCTTCCAAGGAAGGTCTACATCTAGCTACAGATTTTCTATATTTCCACGTGAAAAACACAATGATGAGAAGTATGGTTGATATTGATAAGGTTATAACAAGTGTTTTCCACGTGACATTGGATTGACCCAAGTAACAATATTTGTCTGAATGATTTAAGAGGAGACTAAGAACTAACAATGACTATTTGCATGTTACGAAAGTAAATGGTGCTTCTAAAAATTATGGTATTTTGCAGCAGATAAGAAAAAAAACTTCAACATAGACGCCTTTTTCCTAATGAACCTCACCACTCATACCTTTGGAATTGGGTAGTTTAACTGGATACTTTGTTTGGTAAAAGTTAGTACATAGAAAACAAATACATAGTAAATTAACAAAGTTGAGCTTCCGCTGACGCAGTTTATAATCACCAAGCAAGATTCATAAGCTTGCGGTGTAAGTAAGAGAGCCAATTTTTTGTGTGCTTTTATTTTTATAAACCGCAAATTTTGTGGAAGGCATTTAATTTTAAATTCGAAAGAAGATTTTAAAAACACTTCATAAAATAAAAATTGGTATATCATTCTTGAGGATTACTCCCAAGCTATATGTTTTTGTATTGAAGATTATATACTCTTGGGATCTTATAAGCTAACTCGATTACGCTTCATTAATTACAGCGTTTAATATCAAGTGTATAGTAGTTCTTTACGAATGATAATCTTAAAAAAATTATAAATGAAAGATTATATTATACTTTCTATAAAAAGATAAATTCGCAAATCCCAACCTACCATTGTTGCAAGATCTTTGACATATTGGATTCGAGCTCCATTTGTTATCATATCCTTTTAGTCGTGTGAAGAAACACACAGTCTCTTCAGTATTTCGTTTATACCTTGATAAAATATGCTCGGTAATGTTTTTTGCTGTAATATTTTCTAATAGATCGCATCTCTTCAATGTTTTCCCAACAAGAACGCTGTTTTGGTTTTCGTCTTTTTCAATCCCTTCAACGTCTCGAGAAAATTCACTGTGTGATTCATTGCCAGTTTGTGCAAAGTCAGAAGGGGCGTGGAAAAAGCAAAAATCGACGCTGTAAAATAAAATAAAAACAATACAATTTTAATGTATTATTTATTGATTCGTGACCCTTCATAATGGCGCCAACAATCGGGATACATGACTAGAAAAATTAGAAAATAACCATCAGAAGCCTACGATTATATATTCACAGATTTTTAGAACTGGTAAATGCAAAAAAAGCTTGGTGTTCCGAGTCAGATGGGTTTCACAATCTTTTTCGAAATTTTTCTTTGCTCAATTCCGATCGGGACACGGTCAAGAATTTAATTAAAATGTCGCAAACTGTATTATATAGCTCACTAACAATCAAAATTGGAAATTCTATATCAGTTATTTTCACGATTCGTACATGAAAGCTGAAACCACTAAAACATCTTCTTGTAGATGTTCCAATCTAATCGTTCTTGAATATTTGTAGCGAGTCAAAGCAATTTAAAATTGCTGTGTTAATGTAGCATCATGAAATTATATTTAATGACATCATTTCGAGATTATTTCATAAATTACCAACTTCACAAATCATACATGCAATTCGAAAAATTATTTTCGTAGAGTTGCCTCCTACATGTGTCGTATTTAGTTACGACTCCATCAAATATATTTACTAAATAGTATATATTATTGAGCTTTCCGTCATAAATATATTTTGGGGTGATTTTACTCTGAAAATCGATGAAAGATCGAGTCGTCTGAACGTACATTGATGAGTCAGAGAAAATATTGACTTGACTTCAATATCATACTTCATAGTGATCATCAATCTTGTGCCTTCATTTTTACCGACGGACCAATACCGATTACTCTTTGCAAGCTTCCAAAAAGCAACCGAGATTTACTCCGTTCATGGCACTTTTGTTTTACGGTACGGTATGTAAATTTATTAGTGAGAGTTGAAATGAAAACACTGATTATAGGATAAAATAAAGTTTGACAAGAAGACATGGCGATTTGACGTTCAAAGCAATTTTCGAGTTTTCGATCAAATTAAAAATATCAGTGCTATTAAATATCGGCTGATACGATATTTAGAACAGACATTCCAATTGGAATTGGATGCACGATCACGTGAATCAAAATGTCAAATATTAAGAAAATACATAGAAGTTGTGAAAGTGGAAACGTTGGGTATGATTAAGCATACGATCCAACTGTTTCTGTTTTGACATACCACATTGACGACATTATTATGTTTTAATTTTAGCAGAAATATTCGTCATATTTCAAATCTGCGAGTCGAAGTTTCCTGGATTTCAATTTAATATTTGCAAGTTGATCTATATCTTAATTTATGAATAATTTATTTGATGTGAACCGTGTCGCGTAATAGTTCTCGCACGAAACATGTATTCATTTCAAAAAAGAAATGAACGCTACTAATATTTGAGCATATTTTTATATAAAGTATAGCGTATAACTGTACTTTACACTTTACAAATCTTTAATTTATTATTCTGCTGCCAACTGCAATTTAGCGAACAAAGTATTTAATGCAAAATAAATTGGCAGTATAATTCGCAATATATGCGACGAAAAGTATTATAGATTGCATTATACCCGTCCAAAACAATGTGGTATTATTTTCTTTCCATTACCTGTCCATAGGAGTGACCTTGCCCAGTAATGTCATTTTAGTGTTACATAAAATGATGTTTACAAACAATCTAAGGCGTCGATGGAATAAGAATTTCCGTGACGGATTTTAACTAATAACATGTTGATATTACATAAAGTCATTGTTGTGATAAGATATACCGATCACTTGATCCTATCTTGTTTATTAATTCAAGTCAGCAAGTTCCATATTTAAACATTTGTGTATAAACAAAAGTCTCACCTTCTCTGTGTATACGTGAGGCAGAAAGATGCAAAATAACAACATCATAAAAGTACAAAAATTTACGAAAATAATCAGAAAATATCACTTACGGAGGATAAAAACTGTCGGTTGAGAGGGGTTGGTAAATTCCTTTGATCGATATAATACCACGAACCAGTTCTTTGCATGGTGTTCTATCTGTTTCACTGCACCATTTCAATTCTTCTTGATATTCTTAAGGAAAGACATGATTTGCTGTTTAGTCCAACATGGATTAAAGTAGATTATGTTTGTATTCATATATATTAATGAATTCCGGGCGCTTTAACTTAAGTTTCTTTAAAACAAATTCCTAATCAGCATGCAATAATTGAAAGATTTACTCTGTAATGCAGTTGTAAAACTAGTGAGGTTTTGGGTGGCACTTTCTAACGAATTCGGTCGTATTACTTATGATCTGAAGCTTTATATTTTTAATAATTTTGATCATATTTTCATACTTAAATGCAACAAAGTGTATATTTTTACTCCTGGAAATATAATCCGTCTTATATTGTTTAGTGATGGATTGCACACGCAAAAAAATGGTTCATCAATTGTCTAAAGCGCTGAATTAAATATTCATTCTACCATGAGGACAGCACGTGCTCCTGAAGTACATACCAAACAACTGTAATTCACAATAATGTCCAGATTTTCTCATTGGCAGGTAAATAAAAAATACTTCGTCCTTTTTCCTCTTCGGCAACATGCAAGTACTAGTTGGGGTCATTCGGCAACAATCTCCAACACTGCGCCAATTTTCTCCAATTTCTCTATATGCAATTAATAAAACATGCAAATAAGTTTAAGTCAATAATTAAGGACATTGTGGACGCGCTCATGTTTACATTCTAACTTTAAATGAGGCCACATACAAACTTGGTATCGGCCGGAGAAATGTCGTCCTAGACATAATAATTAAATAACTAAATCAGGTTAAAGCATATATCAAGTTTGAAGAAGCGTAACTTTCAAATTCATGACTGAGAATAATGACACAAACAAAAATTATTTTACATGAAGACATACATTACAATGCGTACATGTAATAATAACCAAGGATAAGTCTTCTTATTGAGTTTAATTGTTTTTTTATCTTTTGAAAACCGAGACATTTTTCATATTTCGAGCAGTACATATATACAAATTATTCTGAATTACCGCCATTGTGGAAATATAAAATATATCAATCAAGCTAACATAAATCTGCTTACGAAATAATCGTATACGTCAAATTCTGTGCGTAGTCCCCTTTTTCATAAATGTCAATCCAAAACTTGACGTCATCTCGAGATATGAAAAGATCTTGATGTGAAATACCAGCACAGTCTGTCATATCGCCATCGTCTAAATTAAAAAGGTATATTGCAATTTTATAACTACAAGTAATTATATTATACAGTATTTCCTATCGAATTGAAATCAAAGTCATATACACAAGTTAGCATGAACTTACTTGGGGGTGAAGGTACTTACTGCAGTGCAATTTGTTTTTATTTGTGACCAAATAATGCTCAATTAACAAAACATAACAAGACTCAATTCTGAAAATAAACAACCATCTAAAGCTACAAACTCACAAAGTTTTTTCTTCAAGCAATCTTCGACTTCCACTTTACACATGTCTCCTTTGTAGCTACAATCAATGTCCGCGTTCGTAAATTTTAAGAAGAGAAGAACGATGAGGGTCACACTCTCTTTGTTCATATTTTCTGATTTACTAGTTTATTAAACATCATAATTTATACATACCATAGGTTAAAGATTTGCAATCGGTTTTAATAAGGAAAAATATAAGTGATATAGTTACAGAAAATATAAATTTTTGTCTCCATTTTGTTTCGGATAACTTGTCAGTATTAGTCTATATTACTGTGGGAATAGCATAAAATTATACAGAAATACAATTCTTGTGGGAAATATTATACCTATCATATTATGTTGAAAAAATTGCAATCGGTTTTAATAATGAAAAATATAAGTGATATAGTTACAGAGAATAAAAATTTTTGTCTCCATTTTGTTTCGAATAACTTGACAGTATTAGTCTATATCACCGCGGAAAAAGCATAAAACTAAACAGAAATACATTACTTCTGGGAAATTTTACCAACGTTTTACTACTAATACAAATCTAATTAATAATCATGCTATAAGAATGTCCAAGCACATGCCCAATAGTTACATGCCTCAACACAAAGCATCAGCACATTTCTTGTTGAACCCCGTTACAAATTTGAGAAATTATATATTACGATCGAACTATTAATGTCAATCATTTATTTGCCTAAATCTCTTTTTTTCGTTTTGACAATAAAACGGGCTTCTGAATATCCCCGCTATATACTAATCCAAAATCCCCTCGCATCTGCTCAACTTTACTCTCATTAAATATGTGACATGAATAATCGCCCAAAATCTAACGCATAACTAAACAAAACAATAAATCTATTTATAATGTTATTAGTTGGGATGGGCTGATAATCGTGTTGATTTGTCTATTATCGTGACATTAGGTATTTTTATGATAAGATGGATAACTTCATTCAATGTTTATCAGCTTGTAAATTTATTGTTGGTGGTTTCTGGAATAAGAATCGTGAAGATTTAGTCTACCGATAAACGCTTCAAAATCACGTTAGATTTTGGGAAAAACAATTAATAATATTACAAACCCACAGATTTGAGAGTGACAATACCAATAGTAAATTATCTGCGTCACTGTCGAAAATTCCCACCCAACAAAAACATGATATTTTGAACACGTTTGCCAAATAACATACAACGAAGCATAATATTACATGGTAATATAAAACCGCATATTTGAAGCGAATGTAAATACGTGGCAATCCTTCGAATCCCAAATTAACAATAAACAAATTCACCACTATTAGTCGATCTTATCACGATATTTTTCTACTCAAAGCTCGGTGAACAATATGTAAATAGAATTAAATGGTGGCCAAATATGGCGGTCAGCTTAATTTTTTAACATTAACAAAAAGAACAATAGTGTGTTTAAATAGAAAAATAAGACAATTATTGGGTATTCCCGTAGTATTTGTACCAGATTAAGGTTAAGTCATAATTTTATTCCGATTTTCCCTATTTTAGTTCTAGTGCGAGTTCGGGGACGGTTTGTGGTCGCCAAGCAAATATACCCCCTGCCATAGGCTTTCGTCCTTTCACACAACTTGGTGTAAAGTAGGTACACATACTTCTGGAGCGCCAATTATTGTGCACAATTTTTTTTTTTTTCTGTAATAATTTTAATTTAAAAAGTTACAATTGTGAATCATTACAGAAAGAGTCATTTGTGATGTAAAACTTTGTGATAAATTCATATACAGCCAATCAACCTCTTGGGAGATTTCTGTTTAATCCGACCTGCTCCAATCATTATTCTTTTCTAATATTATCCCCTCGTTCACTACTAATATTCTGTTGATTTTACACCTGATTTGATTCCTTTTGACAACCAGAAAGATGGCATGATATGTTAATATATATTTGGGTTACTAAATGCTTCAACAAAGGCTATGTAGTCATACAGGGACAATCGCTGCAGCATTCCCGAGACTAGATATGGAAAAGGCACCGCAAAATACATATACATATATATGAATTTAAGCTCATGAACAAACTGCGTCGTCTTCGTCTCACATCGTCTGTGGCGGCAAGCATAAAAATAGTTTTATAGTTTGACATTTGTGCCAAAATTGAGACAAATCCCAGGGGATAAAATTTATTTTTACGTATTAAGTATTTTTTTTTCGAAAAAGACTATCGACCCACAGATTCTACATTAAAATTTCATCATATTTTGTTACGTGACATACAAATCAGAACAAAAACTACTTGCCGCTCGTAATCTGCATTCATACATAGAATACCTTACTAAACTATGCCTATATAAAGAAAAACATTCTTTAAAAGCCGAGCCTCAAATTCTTGGATTCAAAGACGACAAAATTGGCCAATAAATGAGGTAAACTTGGTAAATCTGCATAGTGTGACTATGTACAGCCTTGTGAAATTGGTCCATTGAATCTTTAACGACAAGATTCATTTCCATGTTTGATTATGATCTACTACAGATGAAATCCCACGAAAAGGTAATATTTCTAGTGGAAGCCGAGTATAGCTCACTCATAAGAACACACATTGCTCTGAACCGACCGCAAGTTTGTTGCTTGTACCAGCTATGGTGAATTTAATAATAGATGAAAGTATCAACGCTCATCCACTGTCTGAAAACGCGCCCCTCAGCTATACAAAGATGAGTAAATCGTATTGTACAGTATCAAGTGCGTATGACTAAAATCGTGAGTCACAACATTATATATTAAAACAAAATATGCGAGTGAGAAAAAAGGATTTTTTCAGACGGAAATTCAGAAATTATCTCCATGTTTTTTTGCAAATTTAGAATTTGTGATAAATAAGCATATTTATTGACGAATTTTTTCTTGTTTTAAATTCATAATTAAAGGTGGGCCCATCCAGCAGCTATCTCTAACTAAACACGGGACTACAGTATATGTATTTTTTAATATATGATTTGCTGAAACTTACCGATAAGCTAGTATATAATTACTATGCTACAGAGATGAATTTCAATGCCTCAGTAATGATTTATCTTATTTGTACGCCACAATCGGTAATCGATTAGCAGTCAGTTGTCATTTGAGATCGTTTTTCAACAGGATCAATCACTGAAGGCTTTATAATTCGAACGCCTGTTATTGCTTCAACGGGCGCCTTCGACTGGGATTACATTTCTTATGTTGCAAATTACGTATTGCTATATAGGTTATCGTTTTATCTCGTCAATTTTAACCACATTTGACTAACATTGTACTGAAATTTGGTTAACATATCAAATTACTAATAGTTTTCGATAAATTAAACTTGAAATTTGATGTTCAGGTCTCGACAAGAGCTCAAACAGTTCTTGATTGAGAATCACTGTCAGATTACCTTAGGTATGTAATTTACAAAAAGCAATTTCTGAGCAGCTAATTGAATCTGCACAAAACTCTAATCATTTATTTTGATTAAAATAATAGACTTGAATGCGAGGATGACCAGATGGAGTATAATATGATTCTTTCTTGCTCTACACTCACTTTATAACCTGGAAATGTGATATTGCAATCTATCAGTACTTGAGACTATCTATTCAATAAACTAATATACACAATATGAGCCAAATGTGGGGTCATCAAATTTTTTATATCGACAATTTCAACCTCGCATAGGTTTGCAAACATACTTTAATATCCTTAGAAATACGAACCGAACGATCTCGTCGACGAGGCAACACAGACATCCTGTTATAGGAGCTCTAAACTATTATATACAATACATCACGTTATATTTTTAATTCGTTACAGTTTTTTTTTTTGCAGACAAAATAACGGAAAATTTATCTTACTCACTAGTAGGAAATTATTCTCTGCTACGACGAATTGGCTGTCAGATATTCACCGCCATGTGTAGCATTTTTTCGGACGTGCATTATTGAGCAGAGATTTTAAATTGCCAGGCATGAACATAACATACCGTTATAAGATTATAAAATGACGAACACTCTTCACTAATGCACATTGCTTTTAATATCAGAATATAAAATACGCACTTCGATCTAATTGACCCATAAATTTAATATCTGTTTAGCCCGCAGGCAATTCATAGACTTTGAACTTATCACCTATCGAAATGGGCAAAAACTAACATTTGAAAACCCGAATTTAAATGAATTTTCGAGCAATTCAGATTATGTATTGATCCAAAATAAGATTATTATTTTGCTAATTCTTTTCAGTATTAATTTTCCATCATCCAATGAAGTTGTCCTAGATCTATTACTACGTGTTTGGATAATAAACGATTGAAAACACTTCTACGGTGCAATATTGAAGTGGATTGGATATCACACAAGTATCACGCTTTGCTGTGGTGTTCTTCCATAATTCTATCTGCAGTTTTTATTTGAAATTTCAACACAAGTTGAGATATTTTACTGTTTTTCTAAAGTGAAGCAATTGAACCGTACCGGACTAAAAGCTAATATTTGCCTATATGGTTATAAGGTCTCTATGATTAACAACCGTATAGTGTGAAATATTTATCTTTAAACATGAAAATACGCAACGATATCTTATCTCATCAAATCATCAAAAATATTATAAAATCTCTCTGAACTGGTCTTTATATTGTTTTCAATAACAGTATACCAAGAACTGCATAATTTCCCTTTCACGTATATTTAGCTTCTTATTGTGACCTTTACAATACTACTCTTTACTGTTGCACCATGGCCAACTGATAATGCCCCTAAATCTGGATTCGCCCCCTTCTACAATGCCGTTGCATCAGGCATGTGCGACATCGGATCCATCGATATTTTTACTTATTGATCTCAATCGGTAAGTATGTTGGTAGGGATTTGTCTGTATGTTTGTCTGTTAGACACTTTTGTATGTTACGCGATCTCACGAAAGCGAGGTTAGTTCTGCAACAAATTTTGCATGTGTATTCATCATATCTCGGACCAGGAGCATATTGATTTTGGGTGAATTATGTCGTATACTTAGCGAGTTATTGATTAATTAGTGATGGGACACGCGGTGTTGCTATTGAGTCAGAGCGGGGAATCGAAACCGAGGTTTCTGTTTTGGGGGATTTTCTAACTTTTGTCGCTGCGAACGATTGTGTGCGTAACAATACCCTGTCTGCGATTTGGAGCGTTTAGGTATTTTGATTACACGCCGCTACGACTTTGTGGGGCTGGGGATGGCCGGTGTATTGTCTCAAATTGTCGAGTAAAATATTGAACATGTGAAAGATCGATAAGTCGGCGGTCTCCAATCGCTATCTAGTTTTAGTGTCAATACAACAGCATGTCAAAAACATTGGTTGGAATATTTTCGATATGAATGGAAACATTATCCGGACTCAACTGACGTTTATATGATACCTTGTCTCATTCCCTCATTCAAAGCTCAATTGCGCTATATTTAATAATGGTTGACCCCAAATATACATAACAGATAAATTTCTTAATAAATTATTTAATTTTTTCCACACCTGAATTTCTGTTTATGTATGATTGTACCCAAGTTTCAACAATGTAGGAAGTTTTGTAAACAAGTTTTGTTTTTTCAATATATGTTCCAGATGAGCTTCTTGGCGTTTGAGACAGACTTTCAATCGTTGCAAAAAATGTCTCTTAGTTTTTTGCTGAAGCGCATTTTCCGCTGTCACCACATGCTATTAGCAAAAATAATGTTCACTGGAACATAGCACCTCCGACGAAGGACTTACAGTACTCACACTCAGTAAAGTGCACGGCATGGGTAACCATTTTCAAACATTGCATAATCGAACCCTATTGGTCTGAAGACAAAAAATGAAAAGAGCTCAAACAGATGGTTACAGAATGTTGTGGTGCTAAGGAAGTTCTGGTCATCACTTGGACAATATTGAGGGATTGATTGAGGTGAATAGTAGTCTAGTTGTAGCGAACACACATCAAATCACACTCTCGACTGGTTGGGAAAGGCTGGCCAGTAGTGACGACGAGTGGGCATCTCATTCATCAGACTTGAACTCACATATTTGACACTGTGTATCAGATCAATCCTCATACAAATGATGAACGGGTAAACTAAAACCTGCAACTGCAGCAAGAATCAGAAAATCGGCATAGACGAGTGCATGCGATAATTTTACGCAACTGATGCAAGGCTGTTTCCAACACCGAGGAGGTCATTGGTAACGTAGTCTAGACAAAACGGTTGACGTCTTTTGAGCAAAACGTCCCAGATTCCTGAAACTTTCGGTTATAATCATACACAAACAGAAATTCAAGTGTAAAAAAAATAAATTAATCATTGATTTGAAAATAGAATAAGTACTCACCTGTATACAACCAATCATCAACGATAGATAAATGTCTAAACTAAATTTGAAAACTATGATAAGAAATTGCCCTGTAGTCAAATCTAATTTGTCTTGTTCACTCTCTACGTCAATAAAAATTTTGTTAAGGACTTCCCATACACCAATTCCATCGATAGAATTTCCAATGACTTTAATTAAGCAATTATTCTAAAGCAGTGGTTCTTAAACTTTTTCGAGCGCGACCCAAATCTGAGTTTTATGAATACTCGCGACCCAATCCTAAATAACGCAAAATGTCATTTTAATGTTAGTACAGTTTGACTCAAATACAGACAACTATTTATTAGAAACAGTCCATTGACTCAGTGAGATTGATGAAACTGAAATTTCCTTTTCATTATATCTTCAATACACAGCTCTATTTTACTTAACGCAATACGCAAGTTGTCACGGGTATCGAGGCAATTGCGAGCTTAGTTTTGATAACCGTCAGTGCCAAATATCCTCGCTCGCACAAGTGCCTTGTCGCGAATTGTAGCAGAAAAGGCGTCCGCTGTCCGTCGCAAACACGACATCCTAGCTGGCCTTCGGTATCTCTCGCAATATACAACTTTTTACTCATCAAATGTGCACACACTGCTTCGTTCGCCTCGAGATGAAGTCACATTTTCGCTAGATATTGAATAATCCAATATCGAGAAGCGAGCTTTTTCATTGCGTCGTCTATTACAATTTATATTACCAAAAAGACACCCATTTTTGATTATTTTAATCCACTAAGACGACATTCCACGCGGTCAACACAACGACAAGCGACGTGCATGGTTACCGATACCATAAAAATAATACAAGTGACTGGCATATCAGAATTGTGATGTAACAATGGGCTCAAGACAGTTCTTCCCGTGAATGAAATTTTATATTTCATTATTTTTAAATACCAGAGTTTAGAAGCTAAATTGAAACATTGGGAAAGCTGAAAATTCGTCCTTCTCCTCTTAGATTGACTACCTTGTCGCGACCCATTTTTAAACCTTCCGCGACCCATGTTTGGGTCGCGACCCATACTTTAAGAACCACTGTTCTAAAGTAATCTAGAAGGTCTGTCTCTCAGTATCGGGCTATCTTATTTCAATTGACTAGATCGATACAAGCTTTGTTTATATCACTCTATTCCTAGTTCACACAACGATTCTCTTCATTGTTTTAGAAACATTTACTTATAAGTATTGGATTACTACTTAGTATTACCTTTTTTTTTTTTATCTTTGAGTCAAGTTTTAATTGCCCCACGATTTTGTGTTTGATCGACAATCGATCCATTCTTTTTTTAATTCGAATTTGCCTGCCTACCAATCTTCCCGCTTACCCTGCAACTTATCTCATTAGTATTTCATTGTATAAGACTTTCAATTTGTTTCACTTATTCCAGGCCATCTTTATCTAATGCAAAACTTATCATTTTTTATATTTGTATATTGGTTTTTTGCCCTTTACTTGTTGCATTGGAATCTCTGTCTTACTATCAAAAATCTTTTAATCATAAAATGGCATTTATCATTTTTGATGATTACTGAACGTAGTTGACGATGAGGACAGTGCGTGACGTAGAATGATTTTGTGGAAAATCATTTATTGATCAGTTTAAACTTCATGTTAAACTTAAGTCATAAAAAGTCATGTTACAAAAATATTGTATTGTACGTCATATTTTTTTATTTAAATACACAAATATATTTAGCGCTCGATGTCTTCAAATACCACCCATCCAAGGTAAATGAAAGAGTATTCTTTGTTGTTTGTATATCGGTTCTCAGCAATCTATTCTGTCCTAGCCCAGAACATGTCACTGAATTCTGATTGTCGTCGCGATCCACACCTATCTTGATTTATAAAGAATTTGATATTCGTCTAAATTAATCTTAAATCATGAATTATTATAGGTGGAACTGCTGAGATGGCATATCAGAGCAGCACAATTTTTTTTATCAAAAATATTATATTTTGTTGCGAATGTAAATTATCATGTTATTAAATTTTTGATAGCTTCAACTTTGAAATATCATTTTTTTAAGCACAGCAAGAAACCAATGCTCAAATATATGAACACTAAAGCTAAAACTAAGTAGTAGGTCCACTCTCCATACTAGCAAAAGGCTAGCAAAATCATATTGCAAACTATTCGATGTCATAAAAAACCTGCTTACAGTAAAAAAATATCTTATTAACTATCAGACATTTGACATTATGCCATTACGTCGCCGTCGAAATAAACAGAAGTTATAGCCTTCTAGCGACAACACGCGTTTATAGCGCATTTTTTACTATAATTTTTTCGTGAATTTTTTGAAACGGGATCTAGTTAAATAAATAATCATACAAACTTTAAACTACTTTTCACTCATATAATTAAAGTTGCAAATTTTATCTATAGCAGAATTCTCTAAAAATAAAACGGATTAGGATTGAAACAAAATATGGAAAGCATAAAATTTTACTTTACAAAATTATGGAACGGAAACAAAAAATGACAACGTCTAAAACCTTCTTATAACTTTATAATTCCACCAAAAATTTTACCAATTCATTTTTATTTCAAATAGATTTTCTTTATTCAAGCAACTAATGAAATTTAGCATCGATTTATTTTCTAACGTAGAATCCCGGAGTTTCAACATCCGCTGCTTCTTCGATTGACGATTCCAAAGAACAGTTATCAAAATCTAGACTTATGCAACCAGAACTTGACGACGTTTTTCGTTTTTGATGAGAATACAAATTTGAACCGGCATTCTTAATTTTTGCGTCGGAGATTGTTAGAAACGAACTCTTTTCCATATAGTCGCCACTCCTCATTGTGTAATTTTCCACTTCGGGCAATGCGTAATTAATTATATCACAACCAATCTCGTTTTTTGCAGTAAGAAAACTTATACCAATTTCGTCATTTGCAGAGCAGCTTGATCTAGTTAGTGATACTATTTCACTATTAGCTGAACTTCTTTTGCTGGATTCCGAAAAACCAGAATCATTGTTTCTATTATTTTCTAATACTTCAGGATGTTTTTCGAAGCTGATGCAATGCGTATTTGGTATACCAGTTTCGAAACCAGAATCTTGTTGATCCCATGTTACGTCGTCAGACTCGAGCAGTACAGAAATAACACTATATTTTGTTTCATCATGTAATTTGTTAACTTCAGCTGTTGTTTTGTTCTGCTTTGAAATAAGTTCGACTTTTTCTTCAAGTGTCCCTATGATCTGGCCACCCGTAAGCACGGAAATATATCGATCCGAATCGTTGTTTTCTTTTTTATAAAAGTCTGAAATGATTATGATTAAAAATATACATCACTAATATAGAAGATGAAATAAAAAAACGGGTTGAGAAAAGTGACGTCTGAAGATGCTGATGACCATGATACAGTTTTCAGTTATTGTACCTTAGTAGTACCAGTAGTATTATCAAAGTTTAGTGAACTTGATAGAGAACGGGGAAACAGATGAATCGCGTATTTGGGACTCAAGTTAAATGGTTTGCCACTGTGAAAACAGATTTCTTGTTTTATTATGGTCTTCTGTATATTTTTCTCGATATAATAAAATAATCACTTGTGGATTTCAGTTTCGCAGGTATTTCTTTCACGCAATCCCGATGAATAGCGTCAAAAGTAACATCTGTGACAAAGACAAAATCGTCCTTATTTCGAGCAACAAAGGAATCCTGTAAAACAAGCAAACCCAAAACTCAAATATTTCCTATATGGACTTAGATAACGTCGATTCAACAGAATTTACTGTCGAGGGATTATATTCGTTGCATGAAATTTTTATAAATAACAATATTTCACAGTGTTGGATTGCCCAATTTTGGTAACCCACAAAGTCGACAATAAAAACCTTTAAAGTGTTTTTTTCGTTATACAAATTGATTTATATAATGTTATAATAACAACAATTTATTTGTATTTGACTGAAACGCGAGGTGATCACAAAATGGCGATTGATTATGCCCGGGAGGGTATAAACCTTTACTACCATATTGCTTACATAATATTGCCACCGGGTATATACTTCTTGAAAATACAACAAACGCGTCGTTATTTAGAATTTTTATATAGAAAGATGTGTTTTTCTGTATAGAAAATCGAAACGTCCGCGAAGTATATTGTTTTGTTATCACCGTTTGTCTTCTATATAATTTGCCAAGCTATCAGGTTAATTTTTGAGAACGTAATTATTCGTATTCGGAAATCTCATAATGATTTTTTTTCATAGAAAAAAAATTTTGTGACCCAAATTCAACTTTTTAGAAATCTTTATTATCAGCTGATCCCTGTCTAATTTTCCATTCAATTGCATTTTGTGAAAATGCTGCACTATGAAATTATCTCTTTAAACCCACATGGCATAGAAATATTATTTACCGGCAACTCTTTTATTGAATCTTCCAACGATGGTCTGCATGTAGCTACAGATTTTCTATATTTCCACGTAAAAAACACAATTATGAGAAGTACGGTTGATATTGATAATGTTACAATTGTTTTCCACATGACATTGTGTTGATGCAAGAAACAATATTTCTCTGAATGATTCAAATATCTTTAACAGTTAATTAGATGAATAGCTGGGAATAAAATAAAGATGTATATATCGACAATATCGGCCATTTTTCCATATCTGTATAGGTAAAATATAGACCGATAATTTCGGTATTAATTTATTTGTTCTGATCTAGAATGTTTTGTAAGTGGTATGAATATGATCATAACTGATCAAATCATTTGTATATACGTTGACGATAATTACATATTACACAACGGTATCCGTGATATCGGCATTCTAAAATATCGGTGTACAGGTATCGGCGTTTTTCCATGGTGTCGGTGAAAAAAGTGATATCGGTACAGCTTTAGTTTGAATATTTGTGTGGCTTAACTCCACATATCATCGCACACAAATTTTCACCGCACACAATTTTTTCAAATTGAAGCTTTCAACCAATTTATGGCCATGCAAATACCATCCGTGATCGTAAGTGTGGGCTATATACGCAAAATTTGAGAATGATGGAATTGTATTCATACTCGAAAGTTGAGTGCCAAAAAACACTTCTCAAATAAATAATTAATTCATATGCTAGTGTGTGTTATATAAGATTGAAATTACATTAAAGCTATATATATATTTTTTTTTAAAAATTTTTTATGGGAGGTTATATAGTATACAGTAGTGGAGAATCTTATAAGCAGACGTGGTTATAATTTTTTTTACATTACAGCGTTTACAAATTAAATATATTGTACATCTTCACTTGTGGAAGTAGTCTACTGACAAACGAATTGTAGTCTGACAAAAAACAATGAACGAAAGATTTTAATATATTTTCCATGAAGATATATTCTCAAATCGCAACTTACCATTGTTGCAGGGTATTTGACATATTGGATTTGAGCTCCATTTGTTATCATATCCTTTTAGTCGTGTGAAGAAACAAACAGTCTCTTCAGCATTTCGTTTATACCTTGATGAAATATGCTCGGTAATGTTTTTTGCTATAATATTTTCTAATAGATCACATCTCCTCAATGTTTTCCCAACAAGAACGCTGTTCTGATTTTCATCATGTTTCATCCCCTTCACGTCTCGAGAAAATTCACTGTGTGATCCATTTCCAATTTGTACGAAGTCAGCAGGGGCGCGGAAAAAGCAGAAATCGACGCTGTAAAATAAGACAAAATTAATAAGAATTAATTTTTGTTATTTATTCACTCGGTTCGACCCTAAGTAAAGGCGCCAGCAATCAAATGCATGATTATAAAATTGGAATATATATATAACTACCGCAGCTTGAAATTTTGTATTCACAACTTATGGATGCAATATTTCATGATAATTTGAATCAAGAAAATACAGAACGATTTCCTGAAATATTTAGCGCTAGTCCAAACGGGTCACGGTTACAATTCTATTTGAGTAGTGCAAACTTTATTATATAGCCACGTTATTAATTAATCTTGGATATTTTAAATTAAATATTTACTTTTCACTATTTTTAAACTGATACTACTTTAGTTGTCTATATATTTTTTCAAATCGTCAACTATTTTACCTCCTAAGTACTAGCAATTTGATAATGCATGTAATAAAATGTACTCTGTTATGGTAGATATAGAGCAATTTAGACTTTACACTTTAATGTAGCGTTGTAAATAGAATTACACCACTTTTATCAAATCCGAAAAGCTAATGGCAATGACGTAAAAAAATATTAATACTTCCAACATGTGTTGGGCATGAACGCGAACACTTTTTTATGCGACTGTAACCGCATATATATGTCACACTATGGATATGACTCTGTGGAATATAAAAAAAAATTCACTGCATATTATCGCATACTTCATGCCCTAAATGTATTTTTGTGTGATTTCACTCAAAAAATCGATGTAAGAGCGAGTCGTCTATAACGTAAAGCGATGAGTCAAGAAAAAAAGCCGACGAAAATATTGACCTCATTGGCAACGGCGGGTAAATATTAAGCAAGTTTACAGTATAACTACCCAGATTTACTTTATTCGAGACACCTTTTTCTTATGGTTTGATTGAAAAATTCATCTGTGAGAGTTAGTGAAAGAATTTAATAAAAACCCCGATGAGGAACTTGTGCACAATACAATCTGACAAGAAGATATAAAAATTGTGAGCTCTGTGCAGAACTTGAACTTAGCTTGATCACAATTAATCGTCGCATTTCAAATCTACGAGTCGAAATTTCCTGAGTTTCAATTTAATATTTGAAGGTTTATCTATATCTTAATTTATGAATAATTTATTTGATGTGAACCGTGTCGCGTAATAGTTCTCGCACGAAACATGTAATTAGTTCAAAATAGAAATGAACGCTTACTTATATTCGACAAATCATAAATTTATATCCCGCTGTCAACTACAATTTAGCGACAAAAGTATTCAACAAAACGCCAGCATAATTTGCCATATGTGCGACGAAAAGTATTATCGATTTGCATTATACTGTTCGAATAAATGTGGTATTATTGTCTCGCCACTACCTGTCCATAATATTTTCAGTAATTTTATTGAAATTTTACATTAAAATGATGTTTACAATGTAAGGCGTCGATGGAATAAGGATTTCCGTGACGGGACTCGACTAACAACATGTTGACATTACATAAAGTCATTGTTGTAACCAGATCCTAGCTTAATCCTATCTTATGTTGGTGTTTAATAATTCTCAACAACACAAGTGGAAATCTTCATATATAAGCTTTCGTATATATATATACAAAAGCACCACCTTCTTTGTGCTTCCATGAGCCATTTGCGCAGAGCATTATTTAAGAGAAAGATGCAAATTAGCAACCTCAAAAAGACCACAAATATTACGAAAATAATGAGAGAGCATCACTTACGAAGGATGAAAATTGTCGGTCGAGAGGGGATGGTAAATTCCTTTAATCGATATAATACCACGAACCAGTTCTTTGCATGGAGTTCTATCCGTTTCACTGCACCATTTCAATTCTTTTTGATTTTCTTAAACAAAGACATGATTAGTTGTTTAGGTTAACATGCATAAAAAGAGCATAATGAGTTTTTATGTATTGGTAATATAAACTTGACGTATACCAGGATAGTTCGATAGTTCAAAGCAAGATCTTAACTCCTGATTAAAAACTCAAAGATTTACTCAGAATTGTATTTGCATATTAGTGCAATGTGGTGTTATGTGTGGCAAACAAATATATTTTGCCGCCGTAAGCCTAATGATATCAGAATTTTTATGCATAACCAATTTGCCAATACTTCTTATACTTGAATGCAACAAAACAAGTAATCTCACGACTAGTCGTATCTTATGCATTTGGTATTGGTAATAGACCTTGGTTATTCAAAACCCACCCTACGCGCAAAAAATAAAAGCGACGTAAACAAAACGATTTTAACATTAGCTCTTATGGGGAATGTGATCACCAGAGAAGAAATTTGCATTCTTGTAATTTTCTAGTTATCTTTTGTTGTAGACGTGTGCAGTTTTGTGAATAGAATACTTTTTATATACTTTTTGATATTTTTATCATGATAAACATGGCCAAGATTTTTGATAATCGTTCATTGAAATAATAATGGCCGTGGTGTTTCCGCTGGCGTGACATTCTGCCAACGCGCTGTGATCTGTGAAATGTGCGCTCCAACTGCTTCTTATTGTGTGATAACAGAATACCGGGACCACAACATACCGTGTTTGACGTTTAAAGAAAGACCTATTTTAGATAGTGAAGTTTGGCCGGAATGGCAGTCTGTTCACATATTCAGTCAGATTCACTTTTCAAGGTTACTGGCTTTGCGCATATTCTGTCGGTACAGCGAGCGACTTTTCTCTGAAGGCATGCTGACATGTTTTTAACCTAGTTAGGATACCGGTACTGTACCGTTATTGAATTTAATGTAATGGGTTGGTGATTTTTATCTTTGTTTTTGTATATAACTTATCCTACCGGGACCTATTTGCTAACATTTCAGTTCTGATTTAGTTTTCACCCCCTTCTGCCCTGTACGGTACTGGTAGTTTAAAATAAATAACACGCCAGCATGCCTTCAATAGATGGGTGCTAACTGTACAGGTATAAATGCGTAAAACCAGTAAACAAACGCGATTGAAATGATATAGATAAAAGACTGTCAATGCCAAACGCTTCCAGTACCGGTACCGTACTCAGAGCGACATTAGCGCTGCAGTTCGTATTTCACAGGTTGGCAGAATGTCACGGTCTAGGACTAGGGGGAGTGACGTCAGCGGCAACGCCACGCTCATTAAAATTATAATGTACGATTATCAAAAAACTTGACCATGTTTATCGTCATAAAAATATGGAAGAATATCTAAAAACCACTCTATATTTAAAACTGCCCAGGTTTACAACGAAAAATCACAAAAAATGCAAATTTTCGCCCTGGTGATCACATTCCCCATAATAGCCAATGTTAAAACAGTTTTGTTTACGGCACTTTTATTTTTGCGCGTAGGATGGGTTTTAAATGACTAAACTAAGGTCTATTGATGGATAGCGCGTATAAAATTTAATTCCACTATTACCAAGTACGCTAAACAAAATATTAATCGTTAGTTGCTGTGATTTTTATAGTACATACCAAATAACTGTAGTTCACAGTACTGTCCAGCTCGTTTCATTGGCAGGTAAATAAAAAATACTTCGCTCTTTTTCCCCTTCGGCAATATACAAGTGCTAGTTGGAGTCATTTGGCAGCAATCTTTAACACTTTGCCAGCTTTCTCCGATTTCTCTACACATGTAATTGATGAAAAATGCAAAAAAGTTCAAATCAGTATTTAAAGTCATGTCGTTGTTAACGAATCACGACGCCATATACAAACTTGATTTCGACCAAAAGAAATATTTTAGTTTAGACTAGATATCAGATAGCTAAAGTAATCAAGGTAAACGCAGGTCACCTTGGAGCATATATTAAGTTTGAAGAAGCCTAACTTGAAAAATTTGTGTCTAAGAAGGATGGAACAAAAAACTAATTTTGTATGATGATAAATGTGTATATATTGTATATGTATTATCTATGATATTGCAGATAATCAACGGAAAGAATTTTTATTGAGTTATATATTTTTTTTTATCACATTGGAATGCGAGGCTTTTCTAATATTAGAGTGCACCTCACAGAGATGTCCATGTTTGATATTCAGCTTGTGTTGAATATTTTGGAGACGTATACAAAATCTTATTACAATCCAGCCTATATGGACCAAATTTATACTAAACTCCTAATCTGTATATAAACATGAACTCATAATCTTACATTTCTCGAGTTCAAAGACGCGTTCATATTCTGAGCAGTATACAACGGTTCAAAAGTGAAAACTTGATCTCACATTTTTCTAAATTACCGTTATTGTGGTAATATTAAAGATATCAATCAAGCTAACATGAATCTGCTTACGAAATAATAGTATACGTCAAATTCCGTGCGTAGTTTCCTCTTTCATAGATGTCAATCCAAAATTCGACGTCACCTCGAGATATGAAAAGATCTTGATGTGAAAGACCAGTACAGTCTGTCATATCGCCATCGTCTAAATTAAAGATATATTGCAATTTCGAATTTACATGTAATATTTTATAGATTTACTCCAAACAAAGTCAACACTCATCTATAACTTTATGGTAAAACTACGAGTTACCAGTGCTTATCAATTAGTTCTCAATAGCGACCAAACAATCCATTAATCAATGACGGATTATCAATGATGAACCAAACCCTGTTTTAAAAATAGATAACTGCAAACTCACAAAGTTTCTTCTTTAAGCAATTTTCCACGTCCACTTTACACATATCGCCTTTGTAGCTGCAATCAGTGATGGCGGTTGAAAATTTCAAGAAGAGGAGAACGAGCAGGGTCAGACTCTCTTTTTTCATATCAACTAATTTATTAATCATCTTAGGTATAACAAGAAAATACTTTGATAATGCAAAATATAAATGTCATTACTGATGATACCTTTTTGGTTGCTATTTTGTTTTAAGCAGCATTGCACTAATTTGGGACAAGCACAGAATAATTGATATTTACAATACCTGGGAAATATTGCATACATTTTCCATGATAATAAAAATGTAAGTGATAATGATACTAAGAATATGCATTTAATCAGCTCATTCCCAACAGTTACTTGGTAAAATTTAGAGTTGAACTTTTGTTACATATTTGTGAGACGAAATATTACGATGTGTTTTTGTTTTGTCAATGGGCGTAGCGCCATCCACAAAACGCAGCTCAGCCGCAATCTGCTACATTTCACGAATCACATCCATTCCCAAGAATCGCCCGAGTTCAATTCTTTTCGTCCAATATATGACATAATTATATAATCGCTTGAAAATCTGAACTTTTAAACAGCTATAAACGGCTTGTAAGTTTATTGTTGATGGTTTCTGGAATAAGAACCGTGATGATATAATCTACTGGGTAAGGCCTTAAAACCACGTTTATTTGTAAAAATAACATTAGAAAATCTGACAAGACGTCAGATTTAAAGATTGACAAAAACAATGATAAACTAACTTCACCACTGCCATCAATTTTCAGACGGAAAAAAGTTTGCCGTATACACAGCAAAGTACTATTACATGCTATGGGGAACCGCATATTTGAAGAGAATTAACAACAATGGAAATATCTGGTAATCCCTCGGAATAAGAATTAACATCAACCACTTTACCACTAGTGGTAGATCTTATCACATTGAAAACATATAAATAGATATCAATGAAGACCAGAATATCCCACGTTATTTTTTTAAATAAAGTTCGCTAAACAACAAGCGAACAGAAAAAAATCGTTGCCAAATATGGCGACAACGATAAATTTTTTTAAACAATAATAAATAAAGACGATAGTGTATTTTATTAGAAAGAGGAAAAAGATGATTATGCTTCATTTGTGTTTTAAAATAATTTTAATTTAAAATTGTAAATTAAATTTGTTTTATATACATTAAATATTTTATAGTTACACTCGTGATGAAAAACTTGGTAGGAAATTCAGATAACGCAAATCAACCTTGTGGGAGGGTGTTTTGCAATCCGACCTATCCCATATTTTCATTGAAAAGAATCGTTAGTTACATCAATTGATGTTCCATCAAACGCTGTCTTTATCAATATATCACTTATTTCTAATATAATGAACTCTTTCAATAGATAAATATATATATATAAGTGTTTCTTCATCATAAAATCATTAGTCAACAATCAAACATAAAACACAATAAAAACTCTCATCACTCAAACAACAGACTAATAGGGGAATTAATAAGAGGCCGGAAGAACCATGCGATCAGTGAATCAAAGCAAATCTACATTGTATATTTATAACAAATATAAATCATGTTGATTTACTGTTGGTAATTATCATGAATCAATAATACTGTGAGATACACATACGACAAAATTTAAAATAACCGTAGCAAGCAAAAACGTTTTATTTTATTTTAGACATGTGAAAAGTTATATCAATATTTATTCAGAAGATATTGGGAATTTAAAAACTGGAAATTTCCATTGAGTATGTCATTTACATTTATTGTCAATAAATATTTCAAGATACTTCATGTATTACATTTCAGCTAGAATTTCACCACCAATGGAAAGACTTGCTTACATTTTTTATGGAAGAGCTTAAAGTCGATTTAGAATAACTTTATTTGCAACAATTCATTTGCTCTCATCCAATCATTCAATTTTGTGATTCTATCATTCATAACAATTTGAAGAGTATTAGCAATCTGGTGGATTTTAGCAATACGAGTGTCGTCAGCAAACATTGTTGTGTCACTGTTGGTAGCATTTTTCAATCAGTCAAAAAAAATTATAAAAAGTAAAAGGCTCAGTATTGAGCCCCGGGGAACTTCGCAAGATATTGTGAATTTTTTGAATTCAGTTTGACGTATATACTGACTTTGCTGAAACATATATTTTGGAAAGTGATGGAAGTATTGAAATAGAACAATAGTTTGACAAATGTCATTTTGTGGAGCTGGCAGTTTAAAAATTGATAAAAAATCTTCATTTTTATACACAAATAAAATAGTCTTGCTAAATAAGGAGATATAATAACAGATGAAAATTTGATATTTTTCTGGAATAGTATGAATACCAATAGCTTTGCCGCAACGAAGGGTAGTTTCCAAACAGTGGCGACATGTAGCCTGCAGCATTCATGAGACCCTGTCTTAACTAATCACTGATTTTGGAGTACGCAGTCATTGTTCTTAATTGATTCAACTATCCCAAAAGCAAATGTAAAAAATAATTGAATATAGGATTTAACATTTCTGCATAGTCACACTTAACGTTTATGAAAAGCTTTCTCTTAGGATTTTTTAAATGTTTCCATGAACTGAATGGACTGAAACATCATTGTCAATATATTATTTCCGTTGGAGGTTTTCGATATATCAACAACTTGAAATAACAATGAATAATTTTTTATGTTTTAATTTCAATATTTTACGTTTTACAGATACGAATTTTCGACAGTTGCTATTTCAGGGTCCGTATATTTAGCAAAACGTTTATCGGGCAGAGAGAGTATTAATTGGTACTACTCCATTTCAACACTTTCTTTACTCCTTGTAACTTCTGCTGTCTTTGCTCTCTAATTAAGCGAATTAGATAAGTATCTGACTCCAAAAACAGAATATATAGTAGGTTACGTGTTCAAATTGAGATATCTGTTAATTTTATATAACAGTAAGGATCTGACCCATTTGCCTGTAAAGATTTTTATTTCCACGGATAATATATCACAATAAATTGACTTACAATAAAACACACTCACAATCGTGAAAACCAAGTCGGTGATGAATTAGCATTGTTGCATCGAACGAATTGAAATAGAAAAGCCGTGAAAACCACGATCAAATGTCTATTTAAACGGTAACATCTTTTTCATCTCGCTCGCCAAAAAACGGTACCTTTCTTTATTATCCAAAAATCTCGTTTCCCACGGAGCAATTTTTTGCTCATATCTAGAATGTTCGGTACCCTTCTTACAATAATTACACTTGTTTATAGGTTACCTGACATGGGAAATATCCATTTTCTCATACACGAGAAAGATCTAGACTCAATATTTCGAATGATCTAGAAAGATCTCTTCAATATTTCGGTTGTTTATTGGTCACCCGACATGGGAAAAATATCCATTTTCTCATACACGAGAAAGACTAGAAAGATCTCTTCAATATTTCGATTACGTCAATTATTATATAGAATTTGACTTCCATTATCCAAATTATTGGTTAATTTGTTACACCCTAAAACAATTATATATAAAAATGCGCTTCATTCACTTCAAAATCTGAACTTAGGAAATTAAATACACTAAAGCGTCCTAACGTGCTCTGAAGTATGGAATTAGTTTCATGATTTAACATTTTTTCAAATTTTTGCAAAGTCGAGTTAAATCCCGAAGAACAGAATTTTGAAAATTTTAGCTTATGCCCTATATATATATTGGAATATCTGATAAGTAAAAGTATACAATGTCCACTCACAACGAGAACACACGCCCTATAATAGTAGGCAGTTCTTTCGTTCTGCCGCGCACTGCACAGGTATTAGAATGTTGTGTTCTTTTCTATTTGTTCTTATTTTCCGCGCAGATCTTTTTTTGGAGCTCCCATGGCATTCTATTCCCCGCAACTAAGCAAGCTCTTAGAGGAAACGTTGGTGTACAGTATCAAGGTCATATGACAAAAATCGCAAAGAATTGAATTTTTTACCAAAACGACGAAATTAGAATAATAAAATTGTATTTTTAGTAAGATATCCGAACACTGTCTCATTGTTTTTCTCGGAATTAGAATTTGAGATAATGGGCATTTCATTGACCTGGTGGGTAATGTCGAGTTTTGAAAAATAACTAGAGCAGAATCTTCTTGCTTCTCTGTATAACTGATCTGTTATCATCTTTTTTCAAATCATAAAAGGGTTTGCACATGATAAAGAGAATAACCTGTCCAAACAATCGGTATCTAAACTTAGGACTTGTATATATGAACGTTTATATAGTTTCGTTCAAACGTTCTGATTGTTAGTCTATATTACCAGGATATGAGGGCCAAATTTAAATGTCTATCATTAACATGTTGCCACGATATAAGAATTAAAAGTATTTCACAACTTAATAAGATGTTCAGCCTATATCATAAATGTACCAGACTTCATTGTGGTGGTCTCTCAATACCAGAGCTGCCAAACAAAATTGAAGATATGGTATTATGCTTCTGAACTGCAGAAATTAGGACACATTTGACTTGAAAACTGATACTTAGCCTACTTACAAAGATTTGAATTTTAATATGCTTAACAACCATAAAGTGTAAAATCAATATCTTAAGCATAAATTTACTCGTTACATTACAAATAAAATACAAAATTTATAAATTCTTCCTGAACTAGAATTTTATATTTTCCACAATTGGATTTCTATAAGTTGCCTCATATGTAAATTTATTCTGACTTCGACCTAATTGCAACCTAATTCGACTTTCTTAAATACCCCTAAATTTTCAATTCGTCCTCATGTGCAGTAACGGTACTCATATTCTTCACGTGCTTTAGTCGACGAACCTGTTATCCTTTGGTGTAATGCAATACACTGTCAAAAACGTCGGTTATAATATTTTTAATGTAACTTGAAACATTATCCAGAGGGCACAAGTTGATGGTGACATGATAAACCTAATGCTTATACTTGCATACAGCTGCTATTTTCCTGTTTGTGTACTCATTTTACATTTCATTATTATAATGACGAAGTCATAAATTGATATTATGATGTATGCTGTAATGCTTGCGTCAAAGTGATTAATGAAAATCCTGCTGCTATTTTCCTGTTTGTGTACTCATTTTACATTTCATTATTATAATGACGAAGTCATAAATAGATATTATGATGTATGCTGTAATGCTTGCGTCAAAGTGATTAATGAAAATCAAGGGAAAAAGGAAGCCTACTTTACAACTGTGTATTATCTTTTATATGTCACACACATTTTAAAAAGTTTTTAAAATAGATTCATCAACAGAGCCAGAAGTATTTTTAGCTTGACTGTAACACCGAGCGAAAACTAAGAAGAATTGATATTTCTGAATCCCCACTTAGAGGTTTTTACATATTACTTGATTTTTACCATCACGCCGTGAACGACCCGTAAAGTCATGGAAACAGATTCGTAGTCCTATCGTACAAAGTCTTCTCCTTATTCATAGTTCTTTATCAATACGACTCCTGCACGTAGGGATTTGTTCAAAAAGAATTGTTTTAAAACAATTGTTTTAAATCGATTTTTTTTTTGCTTGTTTTGTTCAAAATGGCTGTACTATTTGATTTTTTTGTATTAAATAGGTTGAAGAAAAATGGACTTAAAAACTTGCCAAGCGCTTCTTATTTGCAATAAATCTTTCAAAACGCCACAAATATCGATAGAGGCTCATGTACACCTTCTCAAGTTGTAGTTCAGTGGTTGGCGCAGTAAGACGCACCCGATAAGCCATTACGTGAACTACCCTGATGCGATGAAACCACCTTGCGAAAATTGGAATGCGATCGAATAAATGAGTTTTTATAACCTTGAAAAACTCTATCACTGTAACCTTAAAAACAAAGCATGCTAAGCATAAATTAACCAATCAGTATTAACCGTAATAATGCCTTCATTTTATGAGGAAAATGTCAATACATGAACTCGAAATCCATATCATGGCGTCATAACAGATTAGTTGTGGCGTCTTTGCATCAGTGGACTCCTACAATTAGCATAGGCTAGGCTAGGGTGTCTCGTCTTACTGTATCAGTAGATTACCGCCGATAGAAGCATATTCTTCATTATCGCAACCCACTCGTTTTGCCGAAGGGCTGCACTTGATCTAATTGATTTTGTAGTGGGCTAGTGAGCTAATTTTCATGATTATTCTTACTCAAAACGTTTCTCTGATATCTCGGCTAAACATTCCGGGTATAATCTTATGACTTTGGTGGAGATACAAACGTGGCGATAAATGTACGCAATAAAAGTAAATATCAAATTAAAAAATGTTACGTACATTTTTTGAAATTATAATTCCGGCTGCGTGTGCAACTGCCAGAGTGCAACGTTTTGGTGTAGTTTCGAGGCGATGCAAGGGGTATTTCAATGAAAAAATACAGAAAAAATTTAATTTAAAACAAGCCCTTGTTTTAAAACACCATGTTTTGGAATTGATAAAAAACAAAACCCTACCTGCACGGCAATTCAGAAAAAAACTAATCGAAATGAAAAGTACTTAGTTTACGGCAGCGTTTGCAAACCTATCACCGCAACTCAAAGGTCGCCTGAAAATACTCTTGGGTCGCTTGTTTTTTCAATGAAATCCTAAAAGTTGGTAATTTTAATCTGTTTTAATAGTTTTTTTTGACATTGAAGCGTTGATCAATATATGTGGGAAGCACTACGGCGTAATACTTCAAAATCTGGCGGCATCTATTTTGCTAATTGAAGCCATGCCACTATTTTGAAAACGAGCGCAGATTTCTCACGGTGAGATAAAATATGATTGTTATGCGAAAATGATTTACTGTAATCTATTCAATTTTGGCGGTCATAAAAGCAGTACATGACGTTTAGTATTTTAGCACATTCTTGGGTCGCGGGATTTTACAAAATTTATTTTCCAAAAAATGGAGTCGCTTAGAAAAGATTGGAAACCACTGACCTACAGAGAATAAGAGGCATAGTAGATATTTCCACTACAAGGAACCGCAATATTATATTTAACATTTCGATTGTCCGTGAAACAAATTTCATCTTTGGATAATTCGAATCATAATAAAATTTAAATATTTATAGCCTATTTAAATTAGGGCAAAATGTGAACATATATTGAAGAATAATTCTTTGCTATATCACGGAAAGAGTTACCGGCAGATGAATAGGATTTTATTTTTCTCTGTGAAGAATTACCGTTTATTCCAGCGTTCTCAAACTGTGTGCCGCGGCACAGTAGTGTACCGCGAGAGATTCTCAGATGTGCCGGGGAGTTTTTTAAAATTTGGAATAAGCTATTCGTATTGCACATAACCATGCATGCAACGGGCAGTCTGTGAGACCTGGAGTACGCATTATTTATTATTACACTGATAATATTATAGCATTTACCTTGTCGTTGTAGTAAGGGTAATTGTTACATTATAACTGTATTGTTATGTCATAATGTATTTGTAAGCAGACGCCCACCTTCCACCACGTTGACTTGCGCGGTTAGTTTGCAAACAGAAAACCAAGTTTGGACGGGTTCTGACCATCTGCGTACAAATTTTATTCAATCATCGGTGCCAAAGTCATCAAAATAATCTAGACATTTGCATTCCCATGGCACTGTAAACACGAATTTTCTGCTCTGCAGAAAACACATCGCATTAACATTTAAACGAGAATATCGGTCAGAGACCGAAGACTTATCGATCGAAAGTTAGGGGATCCCCCAAAAAAGCGCTCTAACTCCATAGTGACACCTTGTGTCCTATCAATAATTAATTATTACCTCGCTAATTATACGACATAATTTGCCCAAAATTAATAGGCTTCTGGTCCAAGATAAGATGAATGCACATGCAAAATCTGGAGCAGATTCAATCTCGCTTTCGTGAGATATCGCGTGCATCTAACAGACATACAGAGAGACAAATACCTATCAACATACTTACCGATTAAAATCCGTGGTGTTCATACGAACGAAAAACTCTTCTAATCAGTCTCTTGGTCTCCCTTAAAGTCAAAACTGCATTGAATTATAGTGAAAAGAACTGCTTCTTCATCTGATTATAATACATTGTTCTCCACTGTCCATAGTGGTCAACCCGAGGCTACATGTCCTCAGATTTCTCATATATGTTCTGGATCAGTTTTATTATTTCAATGGCGCTCCCAAAGTATGTGCATCAAGATAGCGCACAACCTGAAGCCTAACTTGGTACACATTCTATGTTTGGGCTGTGCGGCATCTTGGTGCACATACTTCTGGAGCTCGATTTTAACTGCGTGAACAAAATTTTTATAGAAAATATATATGCGCGAGTTTTAAATTATGCTGGAAGGAAACGTCATTAAATAATATATTCAAATTGAAACATGGTAAATAATATTCCAATCAGAATACATACACACCGCGCTTGGTACCACTGGCCGCCAGTCTGACACAATGCCGTTTTGTAAACTGTTCATGTCGGATCGCTATAATAGTCTGGCGTATATATTTATTGCACCCGAGACATTTGTGCCCGTATACTTTTGCCGCCACAGATTTCAGCACCCGCATAATATTGTACCCGATGGACACCCATGGACATTTGCACCCACGTGCAATTTCATTCACGTTTGGCATTTGCACGTATGGGTATTTTACGCACGTACATTTGCACTGATGGAATTTTGCACGCAAATACGTTTTCGCTCAGCATGGACATCTGTAACCGTGGATATTTGCACCCACGGTACGCATCATAGTGCGCCCCAAAACTAATCCAGTCGAACCATGACCTAAAAAAATGAAATTTTGTGTGAAACATGATATTCGAGTCTAAAATGACTGTGGATGAAAATTACCGTGGCTGAAATTTTCAACTGCCTATATGTCCGTGACTTGGGCTGGTACAAAAAGCTTGGATAGTGACAGTTTGTATATACAGTATACTAGTTTTTGCCCTGTTTGAATCTGCTATTTCTTCCTGTATAATAAAGTCCTTTTCCTACAGTTTTTATTAATGTGTGCATATAGGTACTTGGCAGCGGGCAATAATTTTTGTTAGTGAAGAGTATAAATATTGGCGAATATTTTCCACTTTATGCCAAAACTAATGTAATCGAATATCAACAGATATCACAATAGTTTGAAGGTTTTTATTGATCGTGGAAATATTATCGGAACATAAATGTTATGTAGTTATAATATTATCGGAAGATGGATATACCGGTATATGCTGTTATTTGTTCCATAATACGCGAGAATGTACTGTAATCATATATCAACAGATATCACAATAATTTAGGGGGTTTTATTGATTGTAGAAATATTATCGGAATATATATATATATATATATGCAATTATAATATTATCGGAAGATGGATATATATGTTGTTATTTGTTCCATAATACGCGAGAATGTAATCGTGTAAATTGAGAAACTTAAAAGTAAATTGAATATAAGAAACAATTTATTGGTCAGATTAACAAAAATCACGTAATAATTTGAGCTGAAACAAATTCTGCAACTGCTCCGTACTATCGTTTCCTCCCAGCTACTTCACGATCAAAATGCATAGATCAGGCATTCCATAAATTAAATAAATTTCATCAAAGTTTTGCGCGACTGTAAAAAACTTCGTTAAGATACTTTAAGATTTCTTTCCATGACGATAGCTGTGCTTCAGCATGCTGCTTTGAATTCCCACCCCATCTCTGAGGTAGATTGATTAGCTTTGCATGCGTAAGTGGTGCGTGTGGACTGTATGGAGGTTCCAATAAATGACCGGCTCCAGGGTGAGTGATTATTTTACACTCACACGTTTTCTCTTTGGACAAAAGGTGGTGCAAGACTCGTTGCATGAGCTCAGTATTGATAGCTTTATCGGCTTCGGAATAAAAAAATAAAAAAGAACTTTTCGATTTATGAAACTCTATCTCTGCGTCCCCAAGATTGTTTTCATCAACAGAATCCAGACAAGAACCAAAAACGACCCCATTATTTTCAACGTACATACGATTCATATCATTATCAACTCCTGGCCACGACCTCCCTTTGTATGTAAAAGTTGCATACTGGACAAAAGAAGGACCATTTATAACAACTGCACACTTGAAGCCTTCAACATACGACGCTAAAGTCATTGCAATTGTGCCACCAACAGACACTCCGATCACGCCAATGTCACCTTTCGCAGCAGAATGGTGTTCTTTTAAATAGTCTTTTGCTTCTTCAAAGTATTCTAGATCAAGGTCCACTGCGGATAAAGGTAAATCATCATGAGCAAAATAAGCCAATGCAAAAGATAGATACCCATGTGAAGCGAGCAATGATGCCCTGAATTCCATCAGGCCGCCAGCTGTACCAAATAAATCGATGACCGCCGGAAATGGTCCTTTTCCGGGCGGTATGAATATTGTACCTCTAAGTCTGCCATTCCTAACCGGCTGTCTCTTAACACCAGGCGCTATGTACGACCGATATACTGTCGTCGAAGATAAGGGAACACAGCGATTTATTAGTTCTGGTACCAGATGTAAATCATAGACGTCTACGTGAAATTCTAACGATTTTTCAACATCAACTTTTGGTGACATTCTACTGTGAGCTCTGTCATTGTTTGGTGACGGAATCATGCTAGTAAACAGCCCCATAGGTTGGACGCCTGTGTATAAACCGCCGGTGGCAGACTGCCTTCGTAAGTCAACGATTCCATTGTTATCGCTTGTATAATAAACATAACTCTCAAATATATCAGTCTTGTCTCCATTTACCCAAGACCTTATAGTTATATTCTGATTTGCTTTCAATCCACCGACTAAAATGCGAACTTCTTTGTCGATCAGAACGTGTACCGGAGAAACGCTTACAGTAGGGCCATGTCGCTCCATGCCTACGAGGCACAGCAGGTTTTTCTGAAGCTATGACACGACGTACAATAATTTACTCACATAGATTAAATAGGCGCTATTACTGATTAACTTGATTTTAAAACTTAGCGTCACGCCCGACCTGCTGCAGTCATCCGAGACGTGCAGCGTTTAAAATGAATTCCGATACTTGAATCATACCCATGTTAGTCGTTGAATCATACCAAATTATGTGGCCAATATAAACTTTCTGGATATGGTTGAAGCATACGCAAACAAAAAGACCAAATATGTATGTATAATATAAAAGAGCAAAAGAAAATCATATAGGAAAAAACCTTCGGGAAAACAAGATAATATTAGACATGTAAGTCTAATTCTTTCATTTATCTCCGTTTAATTCAATCAGTTTAATTCAATTTGTTGAAAGGGGGCCATCAAATGCCAAAGCTGTTGTTGTACAGGATCATTTTAATTGGAATTTTTCCACAATTTTTGTCTTCGCTGGAGTGTCAAAAATTATATTCGTAAGGTAAAAGTAACATAATAACCAATTGAATGTCATTTTTATTAGGTTACGTCGGGAATTACGCATAAGACATCCTCGTAGGGAAATCGTAAAGTACTATTGTGCCCACTCGCATTCATTACTCAATTATAAGAAAGATCCGTTAAGTAGACCTTCTTTGGGTCAATGTCAGAATCAAACAAGAGTGACCCTATGAGTGCAACGAAGCATTAATTTATAAACACAGAAATTCACATTCCGATTAAACGGTTATTAATAATTCGTTTCAAAATCTATAACAGGATTGTGCAAATTGCGGCAACGAGATTTTGCCTCTTACGACATGCCTCGTGGCTTAAGTTTATTTTCATTATTGCATGTAATTTTTATCAGAAAATTGTGTTTTTAACAAATCTTTTGGTGCTACTTTATTTGAGGGTATATTTAACGAAATTTTTGGTAATATTATTTGTTCAATGTGACATTAACGATCAACTTCAATACCAGCAGTGTTATAGAAAATTTGATGTGTGAGTTCACAGAGATTGTATCTACAGCACAACAAAAACATTATGGATCGTTAAACACCTAACAAACAAAGCGGATCTGAGGTCTAAATAAAATCGTTATAAATGCCATAAATTCTTACAAACTACAAAAAAATCCTAACGGTCGGACAAATTGACTTTCGCGGAACCGATAATATGCGCACCCCTAACTATCCATGGGGAGTTTGAAAGGGCTGAACAAAAGGTTTGAACCTATGCTATGCAGAGTGCTCCCGCAGTATTCGTACCAAGATGGCGCACAGCCTGAACATAGTATGGGTACCAAGTTAGGGTTGTTCAGGTTGTGCGTCATCTTGGTACTAATACTTCCGGAGCGCCCGATGCAGTGCCTAATGCTAATGGCAAAAATCTTCTACAGTGGTTTCAGTTAACAAAAAATGGAGATCCACGATCAGAAAATATTCAGATCTGTCTACTCTGCGAAAAAAAAAATAAGTGGATTGTTTAAAATCAGACACTGCCATTGCGTTGTTCACCATGAAGCTCCTGTCATACATGTTCTTTACACGATTATCATTTATTAAAACGGGGTTGAAGCATCATCAGTTTACGATTTTTCAGGAAGAATGTAACGCAGAATATAGAGGATTGTTTTATTTGTTGTTATTGAAAATACAGGGTTTGTAACCAAAATGAAAAACAAAAACAAAGAGTAATTATGCGGTGAGAGCTCAAACAAGGACATGATCAATAAAATGATGGTTGTCTAACCATCTTTTATACGATTTTGTTTCTTGCATCTCCAGGATGTGCTATTCATCAGTCGATCGCAAGGTATTATGTGGAGTTTAGGCGATCTAATTCGAAGACAGGTGGACCCCTGCTGTATATCATCTTTTGAAGGTTTAAAGTGTTGGTCAATACCTTTGCACATTTTTTTCTGAAAGCAATACCTGGAAACTGATCGCAAACTATATAATTGGGATACGGTTGTTTTATTAGAGTATTGCAGTATTATTCTAGTATTGAATATAGTTAAGTACTAATGATACATTTAAAAGCATCAATCGACGATACAAAGAGGGACATTGACGAAAACTATTTTTATTTGCTGCAAGTCCCGACAGAGGTTTTCATTCAACACGTTGTTTGACATTGAGAAGCAACGGTTTGAGGCAACTAACTTTTTCTGTTCGCCCAGGCAAAAACATTATATATATCTATTCTTACAAACAGATTTATAAATCAGCAATATTTTATTTGCAATTCGGAGTAGCTCCTTCAAGACAATTTCGAAAAAAAAAAAGCATGAAGGATAAGCATGGAAGAACAGGGGCTAATTGAACATCCTTGAGGAACTTCGTGCTTCTTGATACAAAATAGAAACACAGTTGCCATATTGTACAGGTAGCTTCTCGCCATATTAAATATAAACGGCATTGTGTCATAATTACATGAAATCGCTCACTCGAAGATTGAAAGGATTTGAAACGTTGTCATTTTTAAGCCGTCTCAAAGTTTTGAATAAGTAATTCATCAGATATTGAAAGGACGTAGCAGGATAACTTTAAAATGTGCCGGAACGTTACAAATTTTGGGTGAGAAAAATTATTTTAGTCATAGGATATCAAATAGGCTAGACTTTGTCGTAGGCAGCCAAATAGTTTTCACCACACTGGAAAGTTTATGGTTTATGCAATTTTCTTGCTTAACATTTCTGTTCATATATAGTCAGGAACTGATTATATTTTTACCAAATAATTCACACAGATCAATGTTCTGAGTCTCAACGGAAAGTAAACGTGTTGAAGGATTACTGATATTTTTCTCGTTTAGAATTTCTACTTGAGATCTGTGGCATGGAACGTCACGCATGTTTTTTTGGGCAATTATTGGTGGTGATGCAAAATTAAAAGTTACGGGGAAAAAATTGAGATGAAACGAAGAAATAAACTGTAAATTGGATATCGCTAGTAAATAGCCTGCTGCAGCGCCACAGTAAATGTTTATTTTAACATATCTATCACATTAAATATTAAATGTAAGTTTTGTCTAAAATTTATTCAGGCCAGGTCACGAAGGGGTTCGCACTGACCAAATAAATATTTTAGGGGTCCGTGTTAAAAGAGATTGAGAACCCTTGAGTTAGAGAAACATGCTGAAGATTTTCCGTAAAATGACACCAACACCATTCCCATACCCTTTTCTTTTTGTAATGTTTAATGGAAATGAGTTTTTGACCAGCTCCATATGAGATAGCGCAAAGAAGAAGCCATAAAGTTGAGACAATGGATGACATCATTTATGATGATTAATGATGGCATCTGTCACGCTTGCTTGCATTTAATTGCTAAAAAAATTACATTAAACCAATACATTAAAATGTTAATAATGCGCCAGATCTGAATCATGTTTGAAACCGATCTGATACACAAGCGCAAACAAACGCTTTGTTCACAACAATACGAAAACCAACATTTGAGATAGATTGCGTCATTTCGCTGGATTGAAAATGTAACCACGGTAAGTCTGTGTTTGTAGTATGAATTGCCTATTAACCGTACTTGGACAACCTTGAAAATAATATCCTCTCGCGGCTTTCCCTGTTCGGGATTCCCCAGCGCAGTGAATACCATCTCGACAACGTTCGTCTGTAAATTATTGACGCTCGAATGAGTCAGCCCAAAGAGGCCTAACGAAACGGTTCTCTAATTTCGTGTATCTGAATTTAGGTTTAGCAGTCAGAAGATAATGGTCGTTATTTACTAACAAATTTAATGAGATTCTAGATACTGTATCAAGCTAATGAAGTTAATGAATAATTTGTTGACGAAGAGCATCATTATGGCATAGTGAATATGGACAAGGATGTACTATAAAGCCGATTGAAACTGGAATAAGTTTTAAGTGACTCATTAAGAATGAATTTAGAAACCCGAATGTGACATTTATGAAATATAAATCTGATGTGGCGAATAGTTAACTTAACTAATCCACTGAGGTAGCCACACCGAGAGAGAGTTGAAAGATACCAAAGGAGACTTCGGTCTTATTTCAGTCTTCATTTTTTCTGACGCATTACTTCCTTGTACGAAGTACGAACCGTAGTTGAGTCAGCTCGATCTGATTAAGTCACTATCATATGTGTATTTTGAAATCAGCTTTAAATTCTATTGAAGGACAGAGCGTACACTGGTTGGCTGACTAAACATATATAATCTACCCATAATGACTACAACTGTGCATTGATTGCATGGCCATCAAACGTTTATGTAAGTGTACAGGCTCTCAAATAAGGGTAGCGTACCTCAAATAATCAATTGTACACACCAACGCACTCAAATCGTTACATCAAAATCTATACACCAGTTTTGTTGATTTCGAATTCTGAGACAAACTAACAATATGACTACATGGATATTGTACGTTTAGTATGTATACCCTTAACGCTTCGACTAATAGTTTCTCAGAGCATTTCTGTGTCATGCTGACGGAATTGGTTATTGGTAGTCATTAAACTTAGAGATGCAGCAACGCGGAATAATTTGATTATTTATGGTTATACACGCTACCAAATATAATGAAAAATACTTTTGTGAATTTTCCTTATGGTTTTAGTTAGATGATATTTGGCGTTTAAGTAAAAGCATGACACAGTTGCTAGGGACACAGATTTAATAATTTAATTTAACCTTAGTATGAAGGCATGGAAATTCAGTCTGTCTGACCAGGTTTTTACTTTGGAATGAGTAAAAGAACTGTTGTTCACAATATTAATATTGTATTCATCTAAATGATTATTTGCTTTGACGAATAGTCATGATAAAGAACGTTTACTCACTAATTCAAATCTAAACTTTTAAGCCAGCTTTGAATGATATTTATTGTTTATTGTAATTTGAGCTCATATAAGAACTATTGACTCTCTATAGTAATCATTAATTTTTACCTCCGCGCTACAAGCGTACTTGTATTAGGTAAGGTCTTCATAATAAACAATGATATTTGATATATACTTACGAATCATTTGTAATACGTACTTTTTTCATACAGAACATGGCGGATTTTTTACAACCAAAACAGACTAGAAATGTGTTAATTGATTCCATACGAAATATAGATAGCATACTTCCTGTGACAGCCTTGCCTAATAAATGTCTTCGCAAATCTATAATTGGCTAGCTATAATCTATATATGTCCGGTTATTATTCGGCAACAAATCTAAGTCCAAATAATATATTCCGTTTGTGTGCAAAACACAATTTGTTCAAAACACAATTGTTGTATATGTTCAATTTTTGATTTCGTTCAATGAAGTGCATAAATATATATTTGAGCTGAGAAATCATTACCGAGCGAGATGGCTGAACCAGGAGGTGGGGGAAGATATATACCCCCACATTTACGTGGCAATAGAGGCCGCAGAGGATTTAATCCTGGTTATCGCGGAAGAGGAGGATACAATGCAAATGCCCCGCGTGGTCGAGGAGGGTATGGAACTTTTTCTTGCGACACTACTAAGAAATAACTAAGTGGTAGATTTGCACTCATACTCACAATTACTGCTGGCCAATATAATATTGAACGCGCTAAGTTCAGGAAACAATCGAATATTTGATTTTTGTTTATCTGTCAGCACAACTTAAAAATTAAACTAAACAGAGATATTCACTGGTAACGTGAGCAATAATCATGTACATAGTATAGGAAGTTAAATTGACTTGAAAATGCAGCTTAATTTTGTCCTGGGCCAAAAAAAAAACAATGAAGAGGGCCTTGTTTTGGGTTGAAAATTTTGGAAATTTATAGGTATATTAATAATAATATATATATTATTGATAATGTATTTTTGTTCTAAAGCTTGTTTCCGCGTTTCATAATACAATTCTTTCGTTAGTTTGTTAATAAACAATGTTGTTCAAATGCTTTTAACTATGAATTATAATACTCACTTTTAGTAATAGACGAAGAAATGAAGACGATTTATTGATGGGAGAACAACGAGAGGAAAATTATGATAATAGGCGATCACGAACGAGGTAAAAACAGTAGTAATCCTCAAAAAAATATATATAATAATCTGTATTATAATGGAAGGAAATCCATATACATTTCTCATCTGCAACAACATAAAATAGGAAAATATTAGATTTATAGGAATGCCGAAATTATTAAAAAAAAAACTTGCAACAATTTATAAACCAAATGAAATGTTACACTCATCCAATTAAATCACGCTGCAAATTTTTTTATAAACTAATTAGTATATACATATAAGAGGGCCTCGCTTGCCTTTAAAAGATGTATATTGGAATCAGTAAAAACGTCAAACATGCACAATGGCATTAAATCACGTCACAAAATTGTGTGATAAAATTTAGGTATTAATATTAAAAATTGACTTTTCAGACCAATAGGCTACAAAAAATTGGAAGAAATTGAAGAAAAGGAAACTCCTCAAGATATTGTTCTTATACTTGGGACAGGTAAATCTGGATTGGAAGAGACATTAAGAGGAGATCGAGGTCCACTGAATGGCGGTAAGCTTTGTTCAAAAGTCTTTTATACGAGTGCTCCTCAACTTTATAAGATAATGTTTGTAACACTTCCCATGAAACACGAGAAATCTGAATTAATTTAAGAACAAGTCAAAGTGTTCGAGCTGCATTACTTGAACTCTTTTTCAATCCCGCCTCAAACAATGATATTGTTATTAATATTTCATCGATTTCAGTTCTGTAGAGTCAGGACATGATTTGTGCTGATTGGAGTCGGATCCGTTGTTAGATTTTCTAACTACCTGTACTTATAGAGTCGGTTTAAATTAAACTTACCTATATCAGATTAAACATTTTAAACTTAAACCTGGTTGCCGGATAGATCATAATTGAAATTTTGAGTCGAAAACGGTCGAATTTGACTTTTTCGTGGCATTGTTTCGATCGAATTTTGATAAAATATCATTATATTTAGGTTTGACACAAATGTTGCTACGAGTTTTTGGAAAGATGTGTGACAGTGACGAATCAACCCAATCCTTGACTCATATTTTACAATTGATTTTAAAACATGATTTTCATCAGAAAATTATAGACTTTTTATTTGGACTGTTGACAGAGCAGTAAGTTCTTTTCATAAAAAATCAGTGAAATGATACTAGGAAATTCAGCTACAGCTTTGAGTTTTTGTATATTAGTTTTTTAATCTCAGACGGAACTTGCTCAAACGCGTTTGTTGAAAAAAATACGAAAAAAAAACGCGTGTAACCTTCTTCATACCCAATGATGATTAAATTGGCAGCATGTCCGTTATAGTGAAATCAAATTTTGACGTTTCCAAGCCTTTTTCGTTCAGACGAATAAACACCTAACAAGAAGTTGCGAATTAGTAGAAATCAATATGTTTTCTAATATTAATCGACATGGATGTTATTCAGTGTCAAATCCAACTTTTTATTGGCGTATTCGTGACCTACGTATCCTTATTCTGTACACATCTTGGAATTCTAGATCTGTTTTAAATTTATATGCATACTTGGAATTGAAATTTGTACAAGTTGGCACAAGTTAACTTATTGTGTTTTATCAATTTAATTTCAAGCATAAACAGACGAAGCCGAGCTCCTCTTCATCTAAATAATGCATTGAAGCTGATGAATTCTCTTCTGACGGTTTTGCCAAATGATTCGCATAAAAAGGTATCAAAATCACGAATGTTATTTTAATAAGTTCATATAAATCAATTGACGATATATCAAAAAGTATACAATTTACAATTATGTTGTCTACTCGTAAGACAAGTAATCCGCCCACATATCATACAACTGACATGTTAACTTATAGTAATAAAATGTTGCACATTATTTTGAGCACTTTCGTTTTTGCAACTTGATCTCAATGATCAAATTTTTGCGGCATTGTCTTCCCACTAGGTAAATAAAAAAGGGCTGTAACGGCTGTAAAGGGCTGTACGGGATATGACTTTGAATTGTGAACACGAATCTTCACGTCTTTAATAATTTGAAAAAATTTGTAATTCGAAAGGTATCCATGACAATGATTATTATTGATAGCGTAATTGATGGCTTGGGAAGTGTGAATGAAGATGTTTATAATAATCGAATGCTGGTTAAAGACAGGCTAAACAATTTTCAGCAAAGACAGCAGGATGCAATTGAAAGGTGATTCTCTTCTTTTTCGATGTGTGCAGAACACTTGTTGATTGAGTTTATTTTCCTTGTACGCCGTAGAAAAAATTGATGTATACTTTTTCGTCGCAAGGGAATTGAGGCCATCATTCAATTTCACCACCATTCAATTCTATGCATATGCGATAGAGAACAAAAAATTTTAGTTATACTATACTTCATTAAAATATTCCGATATCTTACTTGAAATGTTACCGAGGTAAAGTCTTTGTCCTAACATGTAATTAATCTCTTCTATCGGCTCTTCTCCTCCTGAGATAAATATGAAAATAGTTGAAGTTCAAGTTGAAGCATCATTTGTTGAAGTGTACTTTAGAGATGTCAGCGGACTGTCTCAAAAATACAAGTGGTACCACAGCTAAAACCCGGATACATCTAATAAAGTGCACGTAATAGATAAATTTTGATTACAATATCACTAAAACATTTTAGAAATCGTGTCAAGGTTTGGAAATCTGCAAACAATACATGTATGATTATTAGGCTTATTTGTGGGAATGGGAGTCCCATGAGAAACGTCCCATGGGATGGGATGGGGCAGCACACGTTTGCATTTCCCATGGGACACGGAAACCGTATTATTTTCAGGGAAATGATGGTAAAACATTACGTTATAGACTTTGTTTCCATATATTTGAGCATAACTCTCTTGTTAGTTATAAAGAGCAAAATATATTCAGCCTTAACAATATACTACGTGAAGGGACTGATGGACACATGCATACTAGTTATGAATACGAAGTTAACAAAGTCCGTAAATATTGTTGTGTTACATGTCACTTCGTACACGTAGTCCTATTTAGTAGACGCTAAACCTAAATTTAACAATTTTTATTGAATTTTATTCCAATGGGATGGGATGGGACAGGCATAATTGCTATGAGATGGGAATGGGACAGAAAAATATGTCCCATGGACAAGCCGGATGATTATGTTTGGATGCAATTAACATGATATAATTTCAACCCTGATCCTCATTTGGCACTCAAATTCTGGTACGAAATGGGAAAGTCTATACATTGGTCAGAACCATTATATTTTTCGACTGGAATAACTGACTCAAATTCCTACTGATATTCATGTAAAAAGCACCTTGAATCATTTTTAGAAGATATCAAATCCGAGGAAAAAAATATGTGTGGGGGTAATATGAACAGGTATTTTTCAAGGAAAAAAAACATATTGAACTTTCAAAGTACACGATAAAATATATGAAAAATACCTCGGCTAGTGAATTATGTGTGAATATTTATTCTTTCCGTTTGAAATATTAAAACTAATTTAAATATACATATCGCAGGGCCGCCGGCAGCAGAGAATCTCGCTTTGACGATTTACACTCTCAAGCACCACCAGATAACTTCAGAGAAATTCCTGTTTTTCCACAACTTAGTGATATTCACGGAACTGCACAATTATTCATACGAACAAACCTAATTGACAAAGCATATCAAAAGTAAGTACTATCAGTGCAATTTAGCACAAATTTAACAGTACACAGTGCGTGTATGAAAATTTGGAGTATTTTTCATGACATATGTAATTGAGTAAAACGTGATACATGAATCGAAGCACATTAAAACAAGTTTCACGAATAGGGATGGCGGAATCGAGTCTGAATTCGATTCCGATGCATTAGAATCGATTCTCAAGGTTAAAACTTGGATTGCAAACAATGTGTAACGTTTTGTGGCAAGTCCTTCACATGTATGTATAAACTGCTTTACTGTTATGCTGAATTCATACGACGCCGCAAACTTCACTTTATATATTTGTTTTTTGCTAGAAGATAGAAGGCTGTTACGTTTATTTATTTCAAAAATCTCTGTGGGTTCTGAGGGATTCGTTTTTTTGTGCGATTTTGTATACTGTGACAGATTAAATACCCATACTACTAGTTTTGGCCTTCTTGTTCGTCCATATATTTGAACATCGCTATCTTGTTTAATTTCATGTCGTATTGTTAAGTGGGTATGCTCGGTAAAATATGCCGAGGAATCGAGATTCGGAATCGAGAATCGAAAATTCAGGAATCGGATAAGAATCGAATACTTGTCATACTTGGCATCCTTATTCACGAATCGGCGCTTTTGATGTATATCGGGAACCGCACGTCAAACAAGCACTCTGTTTTTGAGTGCCTTTACTTTACTTTTTTTAAACTTACTTTTGGTTTCCAGTATTGACCATTACTTGGATGTACAATTCCGCTTATTGAGAGAAGATTTTATTCGACCACTTCGTGAAGGAATCGGGGAAATCATGCATTATGGTAAGATCAAATTACACTTGCCTAAGTGGGAATATAAAACAATGCATGGATAAGATTATTGAATCAGATATTATATTTTCAACTGTAAATAGTTAGTCGTAATGGTTGTTAGTCATAATAATGGACCCATAAAAAAGCTATTCGTAGTTACAGCACCTAGTCCTTAATCAATCCTACAATATAATGAAAACGGCAAATTAATTCGTCAAAGCAATTTGTTTATCAGTGAAAAAATGGAATGCAAATTGCAAAGTTTCTTCATAACATTTGATCTATGACTTATTGAATAATTTATTTGTGTCTTCCCCATTTTATTGCTTATTATCCAGGCGATCGATTGAGGCCAAGAGGACAAGGACCAATTCAGAACGTAAAAGTTTACAAAGACGTAAAGATCGAATTTATGAAGCCAGATCAACGAGGTAAAAACTATCATCTCCACTTTTATGACTAAAAATTTCACTCAATTTTTAAGAAACATTCCTAAAAAAATAATTTTGTAAGAAGCTCTGAAACATTTCGCAGGCTGTTATTATTTCGTTTTATATATGTTCGAGACTTAATTCATCATAGACTAAGCATACGGCACTTCATAATTAAAATTTGTCGGGCCCTCGTAGGAACATGGAACAAATTGCATATTTTGTGTTGGATATGTAGAGAATACGTCATAAAACATCATTTAGAAAACGTAAGATTCGTTTTGAAATGCGAGAAATAATTGAAGAGTTCAATATATGAAAATACGTTATTAATGGTTATGAGGGACAGTGCCAAAATGTTTGCAATATTTCCCACGATAGTCCTAAAGCTTAGCCACAGACAAATAATAAAGAATGAGATAAGATATTGATAAATATGCGGGGCAGAATTTAAATATATATTGTCGTTAGTTCCATACTACCATAGATTAATAAAAATGACAACTAATATGTTTTGTACAGGTATTTTGCATCGAATTCATTTCAGTTTGGAAGGATTACAGCGAATAAGATGGCGAAATACCAAACGTCTTTTATACGGAAATTTACTTTGCCTTTCAAGTGATCATTTTAAGGTCAGGCTCATATCTTACGTAATAATTTCTTCACTTGGCATTTCTATCAATTCACGTCAATAAATTCCAATTATCGAAGTCTAATAGACCTTGAATGGCGCACGAGCCTTCGCTAACTCGGGTTTCAAAGATACCACAATGTACTGACGTTACTATTGGCCTATTCAGTATTCTTGACATACATAGCATGAAGCTGACGTAGTCAGGGCTCCATGCTAATAACGCACCCATAGAAGTAGACCTCTGTGCTAATTAATAAAGTTACTTTTATTCATTTACATTGAGTAAAATCAACGCTTCACTGCCAAAAATGAGCATTACTGTATACATGATTGCTATACAATTAGTTCTCTGAAACCAACACTTCATAAATGAAATTCTATTATACAATTCTGACTGCTTGCTATGTGTTCCCTACTTTTCAATATAAAAACTTATTCTATTTTCAGGAAAACGTTCATTTTGCCGTTGTTGCTGACAGAAAACCAGAAGACCTTGCTGAGGGGTATTTAACACTTGAATTTGTTTACGACGAAGAAGAGGAAGAACCAATAAGACCCGATGTAGATGACGATGGAGATGAAGACTTGTTGGAATTCTTGGATAGCGATGATGATGGAGATGAACCCGAAATTGGCGGTGGTACGAGTTCGATTTTCTCAATGTTATTCGACTTAATTCAGCACAGAACATGTAATCTACAGTGTAGTGCTGCTGTTTCTGCTACTTTGGATGTTTGAGTCAATAATAGATGTTTCATTTGTTGTGACCGCAACAGATTTAAATACCGGTAGTAAAAGACTGGGTGATTTTTTAAGAAATTTAAACGTTTGAGTATTCAGAATTTATAATTTGCTTCAGTTACAGTAACAGACATGTGACTTTCTGTAAAATTATAACTTAGATTTGTGTGATAGGGAAAGATGGACACGTTTTATGAATCGAGACATGATCGTATAATAAACAAAAACGTATCACTGATTATAACTGCCATTGGATCAATAGTGAAATTTTATGTATTTTCATTACATTTTTAGCACGACAGCGACAGCCTAGACAACAGCCGGAACAGCCACAACATCGTCGATTTAACAAAGGCCTTGATATGAGAAAGGTTTATACAATGGTTGAAACTGAAGCTTATTTTGAAGCGTACCGACATGTCCTTGCAGGTCTTAAAGGTGAATAATGAATCGAATACATAAATTCCCCGTGTTTAATTCTCCTGTTTATCAGTGACAAAATCAGGGTTCTATTATAAGTGTGGTAGAGCCCTGCAAAACCAATCTCCGTGAACTCGCAGTCATCAAAATAATATTGAAACTCTACTAACCGCCAATGAGATTTTTTTAGCGATTCATTTGGCTCGATGAAGGTGACTCGACTTTACCCGCGATTCCGGGTTTAGGAACTTTAATTGAATGTCATAATTCTAGTTAATTGTACACTATCATCTATGCAAAGAAGATACTAACACATAATATCGAAGTCACTTCAAACCGCCTAAACTGCCTCCAAAATTCGTTTAAGATGATGTAGCTATAGAATATGATATGAAAATCCACATTTTTACAGAAACTGAAGAAATACCACTAGAAAGATACATTGTCCGATGTGAAAATAACATGTATGCACCTGAATATTTAAGACCTTCTGTGGCTGGAAGAGATGTCAGTTATGATTTTTCATCTGTCACTGAGTCAGGTACGTCGAAGAAGTCCGTCTGAAACAACATCAAATCTGTGTATTTTATTCCAATATAATACTGCGTGTCGTCATGTTGGGGTCCAAAAACAAGAATATTGTTAAGCTCAAAGAATACAACCGAGATAATGTTTTATTGGGTTGATTGGTCAATTCGACGTTGGTAATAATCTGAGAAAGAAATTATAATTTAATATCCATTTGGATAAAAACATATTTTTGGAAATCTAATTAGAAATATTACACAACAGAAGACGTTCCAATCCCAACAATATCTATCTCTAAAAACATGTTAATTCTCTTCGTGGGCCACGGCCTACCTGGTCACGTACTGAAAAAGGTAACAATATACTGAGGGAGGTAACAATGAATAAAGAAAAATTTTTCCCCAAAAAAGGTCAAATTACCAACTAAAGGTAACCTGCTTTAACGCTTCTGTTCCAAAATTGAAATGTTATTGGTTCGGCTCAGTCCGACCTTGTAAAGAAAACATCGATCGCACCTTTTTAAATCACTAATTGATTAATGGCCAATATTTTTTTTTATTTTTGCAGCATCGGGAAAAGACGTCGCTGTGTTAGGTTACGAATGGCCTCTGTCAGCAGAATTAGGATTGGATATTTCACAAGCTGAAGCGTTAAAACTTGCCTTGACAAACGAGTTAGCAATAATTCAGGGACCACCAGGAACTGGAAAAACATATGTTGGACTTGTAATTATGAAGTTACTGCTGGCAAACAAAACTTCTTGGTAACGTTTCAATTTTATATAGCTTAGCTTATTGTTACATTGTTTTGTTGTTATCGGAATATGTACGGCAGTGGAGTGCTTTACTATTCTTTCATTTCAAATATCAAATATTTACAATTTTACCTTGTTTAATATATATATATATATATATATAATATATACACACGATTTTGATAGCTTGTCCACACAAGATATTGCCAAACACTTTTGCTCTGTTTTGTCTCATTTGCTTCTATTCAAGTAATAATGAGGTGTCCAAAAAAAACCATGTTCAACTGTTGCAACACCTGTCCTATATGTCCCACACTGGTCCCATTTTCTCCACATTCGTCCCAGTTCCCCGCACGTCTCCAACACTACAGTCCCACGTCTCTCACTTGTCCCATTTGACACGTGGGATAAGTGACACAGGTGTGGGACACATTGTACAAGTAGAGCAGGTGGGACAAGTGTAGACACCTTTATTAATGCTGCCAATTCTTGGCAAAAGTATTTGCAAACTGAATATAACACATTTTATTTATGGCTTAAACATCTTTGAATATGATGGTTTCATATCTATCACAGGCACATGCAACCTAGATTTCTTCTCGGCGCTCAAAATGAAAACAAACGTTGTCCTATTCTGATTGTTTGCTACACTAACCACGCATTAGATCAATTTTTGGAAGGAATTTCGAAGTTTGCCACAGAAGATCAGACTATTATTCGAGTGGGCGGGAGATGCAAAAACGAAGCGACTAAAGGATTTTCACTTTTCAATGTCCGACGAAAACTAAGACAAAACAGAGATAGAGGAAAGAATAGCGCGGCTATACGAAAAGCCATTTGGGAAATTCATGGTACAGTGTTATTAGCAACCTCCCGCGTCAACTCATACCTTGCTTATAAAAATCAGACATGTGGATTAATTCCAAGATAATTTAATATGAGGATATACATGATTACTGTGTTTGATATGATAGGAGTTCGTATAGTTTGTTTTGTAACACCCTGGCGAAAGATGCCCTCCAAAGTTTAATAAGGATCATATATAAATGAAACAATTATGCATGGTAGCGTCGTTTATATTAAAGCTGAATTATACTCCAAAAACCAGTCAAAAGAGGAATACGTGTAGATACCAAAAAAGCCTAGCCTACCTGTTTAATTTATAAAGTTCAATTTTAGCACATGTACAGATGTCCTTAGCTATCATTCAAAATGACCCGTCGCCTAGATTATGCAAAACAAAATTTCCCTGTAATGTGTTTTTATTATTTGCCCCAGCCCTTCGGGTTGCCATAATGGATTGCCATAACCGGTATTTACTCACACAAAATACATAACTTCAACGTTTACTTAATTAATCCGATTCATATGTGTTAATGTGCTCTAGATATATTCAACATTTACAAAACTTTCTGCAGATGGATTGAGGTCAATTGAAGGTCAATTGCAACACAACTGCAACCAGTTAGAAGCATCTTTGCATTGTATCCAGCGGTTGCAACAGTTAGAAGATGTTATTCCGAGGCAACTCTATTCCCAATTTCAACCAAGAATGCCGTTGTGGAGTAAGTATATATCATTATGTTATGCAATTGTCGATGACATAAACACCTGACATATATGACAGTAGCCTCTCAGTTAAGAAATATTGAAAAATATTGACTGGCGATAAATTCGGTATTTTAAAAGATATTTATCATATTCACGTAAAGCAAGTCATGCTGTGGTAGCTTACGCAGTTCAAGATCTTATCATACAATCTTTTGTTACTCACTTTTATTGTTCATTATAAATTCGGAGGGGGGGGGGGGATTTCTCGAATGTGGGAACTTGTTGTTATTGTGTGCGATACAAAAGAGAAGTTACTCTTAAATTTTTGAATCCCATTACTGATCTGGACACACGTATAGACATACACATTTATATAGAAGTACAACTCTTATTGTCTTTAAATTCTCATGTTTAGATCAATATAATTGGAACAATACTCAGACTGAATCTCCTGACGAAATGTTGCTAACTTGGCTTGGTTTACGAACAACTGTGAATGAAGTAGATTATGAAAAAGAAGCCAGAAGACTTCATGATATTACACAAGCTATTTTGCTCAGTTCTGGGTACACTTTAGATGAGATTGGACGCGCTGTTCACGCCACAGGTAATAAAATTTTGTGGCTGTGGTAATTTATCTTAACCTAAAAATTTTGGAATACTACCACAATATTAACCCTGCCCCGTCGAATTATTTGATAGAATCGTCAGACATCGAGACTTTACTTACTTGGATCAGACGGAATCGGACTGGATCGGGTCAATCATCTGGTAATATATGCTTTGATACTTTTTACGGACTATATTAGTGTTAAGTAAACTATGCCTAATGCCACTACTTTTCTATGACTTGTACGAGAATAACTGATACTACAAACTTTTTCTTTGAAATTGCAAATGCAAAATGTGAACACAGCTTATTTTTACCTAGGCGGGGCAACGGCAGCAACAACTCAAAATGAAGGAACTGAAGAAGTTGATCAGGGCGGAGACGATGACATTGCAGGAGAAGCTGAATATTTGCAAGATCAACGTGTACTCGACACAGGTCCAAAACAATTCAGCTCAACTTTCTGAGTGATATACTGCATGTTGAGTAGATTAAATCGTGTTAAACTCGACTAGGAAAGCTATTGAGAAAGATCTACTCCATCATTTCAATACCAAGACAAATGTTTACAGTAGGCTAGCGATTGCAGTTCACTGATATATCGGGACAATGATATTTATTTCATTCGAAACATTAATTTTATGTTTAGATGAATTTCCTTTGAACGCTGAAGCAAGACAAGCCAAAACTGCACGAGACAATGAAAGAGACGTTAAACGTTTAATGACGCAAATGGCAGCAATGACTTTCAAGGATATAGGAGGTGAAAAAAACTCAATTTTACATTGAACATTGACTTCGTTACTTGAAGTAACGAAGTTTTTGAATAGGGGCGATATTGAAGTTTCGTTTTTGAAAATGTGCAATTTTGTATCTTTGTACGATAATTGGGGGTCAAAACATACAATTGGGGGTGCTCCCGAAGTATGCGAACCAAGATGGCGGACATCGGAACGTAACATGGGTAACAGGTTAGGGTTAGGCCATAATTTTGAGTATAAATACTACAGGAGGCTCTTGGCTAGTTTTCGAACTGATAATACGACTAAAATAAGGAAAATTGGAAAAAAATTATCGCCTTACCCTAACCTGTTACCCATGTTACGTTCCGATGTCCGCCATCTTGGTTCGCATACTTCGGGAGCACCCCTAATTGTATGTTTTGATTGCGCATTTTCGAATGGAATATTGGTATAATTTAAACAACAAGTTAAGAGTCAGACCGAACGCTTCAAGCACAAACTTGCAAGTCGTATTTTTATTTGTATTTGAGAACGACTAACATGAATGTTTCCAAAACGTGAATTTATGCTTTAGATTTTGTTGAACAAACAACACTATATTTCACTCAAATTTTTCTTGTGAATTCCAATGTTATAAATGTACTGATTTAACAACACAGAGCAGGAAAAAAGGCAGGATGACGGAGGTTGGCAACAACAGTCTCATGAGAAGAAAAAGAAGAAACAAAGAATTCGACGTGAACTTGGTAAAACTACTACTATGACAGATCAGGAGGAAAGCAGAGTCGACAATATTTATGATTTGAGTCAAGAACAGAGATGGAGCTTATATAGGTTTGTTATTTTATCAACACTATATGCAAAGTACAATGTAGAAAAATTTTAAATCAGAAGGAAAAAAATTTCATTTTCTATATTTGAGTTCAAATTGTTTGTTGGTAGTCGTCTAATTCATCTTCTATTCTAGGACATGGGTTAGCAGATGGCGTGACAAATTCCGTGTTGGAACAGACCGCCAGATAGAGAAGTACAACAGACTTTCAAAGCAATTACAAGAACTACGGAAACGAGAAGACGCTGAAATATTACAATCAGCAGATGTGGTTGCAGTCACAACGACAGGAGCGGCAAAATATCGAGAATTGATTTACAAGCTCAACTGTAAAATTGTTGTGATTGAAGAGGCAGCCGAAGTACTGGAGGCCCACATTATAACTTCCATGCCAAAAACAACAAAGCATCTCATTTTAATCGGAGACCATCAGCAGTTGAAACCATCACCGACCGTATACGAGCTTGCTAGAAAGTACAATCTCGATACTTCGCTATTTGAAAGGCTGATCAACAAAGTACCTCACGTGACTTTGACTCTACAGCACCGCATGCGTCCGGAAATAGCTGATCTTCTCAGACCACGAATCTACAAAAACCTTCTGGATCATTCAAGTGTGAAAGGCAGGGCAGAAATCGTAGGAGTTGAAAAAACTCTTTACTTTATCTCTCACGCCGTTCCCGAAGAAAGCGTTGCAGACGGTAGAAGCAAAAAGAATCAGCACGAAGCAGACTTCTTGGTGGCGCTCTGCAAATATCTTATACTTCAGGTATGATACAGTTACCGATATGATCAAAATATAGACTAGTTTCATGTAATTATAATAATATAACAATAATAAGATACATACATTTGTCCAAATTTATAAGGTGGATCATACAAAATGAGACTGAAAACCAGAATTCTGGCTTTCATACGTATTATATGTACATTTTATACAATATACCTTTGTCCAAATTTACAGTTTACATAGCATCGTTTTAAACATTTTTTGGCCCTATGTGGACATACATGATCTATGTGAAACTATTTGTCCTGCAATATGTAAATAAAATTGGCTATACATAATAGATATATTTAACTCGTACTCCTATGAATTCAGGGTTATCGACCAGAGCAAATTACAATCTTGGCAATGTATACTGGACAACTATTTGCATTCCGTAACACATTGAAAGAAGAATCGAGTAGAGGAGTGCGTGTTACTGCTGTAGATAATTTTCAAGGAGAAGAAAATGACATCATTTTGCTTTCGTTGGTTCGGAGCAATGATGAGGTGAACTTTGACCTGCATTATTACTAATTTCGTTCAGTTGCAGTTAGACTATTCTGGCAATTTTAAACACGTTTTTTATTATGAGTCCGACGGCTGTTTAGCTGTTGAGTGCATTATAAATGCAGACAAAATTTATTGAAATGGCAAACATTGGTCAAACAACAGAATCGTTGAACAAACATTTAGAGAAATGGGCATAGATTAATTGAAATCGGGGAAGAATTACCGGTATCCTAGAAAATATTTTCTCAAAAAACGAAACATACAGGGCTTTTACCTGATATTCTCATCCACGGATTTTACCAATTCTGTCGATGCAATTAGCTGTGATCAATTTAAATGAATACAAATTGGCATCTATTCATTTGTTAAAAATAAATAACAAATAACTATTTTTTAAATTACATTCGTTTTAAATGGTTACCAAGCAACATATTGCGAAATGCAGGGAATGAAGTATACAAAATAAATTGATAGGAACAAGTTGATAGAATTTTGCACTTAAGAGTACATTTAGCAATACTGTTAAAAGGTTCAATGCTACAGCATACAAATAATTGCCAACGGAACTCATTTTTCTTTTTCAAGCAAAAAATCGGATTTCTTGGTGTTGAAAACAGGATTTGTGTCGCACTATCTCGAGCAAAAAATGCATTGTACTGCATCGGAAACATGGAAGTGAGAATTAATTTTCTTTTATTAGACTTTTTTACAGTTGTAAATGCTTACACGAATGTACTCTTTCAAATTCTTTGTTATTCAGAGTAAGGAACAACTCACATTTTATGGGACAGTTTTAAAGCCCTTTTGTTTCTCTACAGCTCCTTGGTACAAAAAGTTCAATGTGGCGTAAAATAATTGGACATCTAGAAGAAAATGACAGCATTGGAGAAAATCTCCAACTGCAATGTAAACATCACCCCAATAAATTGACACCAGTAAAATCTGCCACTGATTTTATTAAGGTCCCCGAAGGTATGTATGCATACGTGTGGAATCTAGTGGCGTTGGTTCGATTGAAGTCTTCGCCGCACTCCAAGTCAATTGGAGAGCATAGTTAGGCTCTGGAAAAAATCTGGGGCACCAGAAAGTGTAATGTTGAAGTAACTTCCACGCGAATTTTTCTTTTGTATCAGTGCATTGTTGATATTTACTTACCTTTCTTAAGAAATACATTTTTCACGTCGACCTTATCCGATTCCAATAATGCCCTAACCAACAGCCACTTGTATGTAGGACCTTAGTACGACATGAAAAAAACGGGACTGATTTTCAGAGCGAAGATGTTAAATCTAGCTCGATGCGCTAGCCGCCACGCATACGAATGTACAACATTATCTATTATGTAAAATATTATCTATAACGTATAGGTGGATGTGGGCAGCCGTGCAACACGCGACTTGATTGCGGACATGTCTGTTCACGGCCTTGTCACCCTGATGATCATTCAAGTTACCAATGTAGCAAACCATGTGATAAAATACTTTGTAGCGATGGACACAGATGTAAACAAAAATGTTATCAGCAGTGTGGACCATGTCGAGAACCTCTTAAAAAGGTGAAATCATTTCTTCTTCTAAATCATATACTGCACAGTAAATTTATTCTTTCAATCCTGAAGAGGTTGAAATATTTTTAACAATCTAAGCAATATCAAGAAAACTATATTTGATATATATATATATATATATAGTCTAATACAGTAATCCCCAATGATTTTTATACATTCCTTCTCTTCCCCCAACTATGCTCGTATTTTTGTTCGATTCAATAGATCATAAGCTAGTGGTGATACGCGCAACTCCCAATCTGACTTTTGACTATTTGTATAGTTTATATGCGTGTATAAATATGTTTACAATAACACTAAATAATAACAGAATATGAGTAAATAAAACACGCAAATACTATAGGTGAAATTGCCTCCACCGAAACACTCTAATTTATCCCCGTTTGGGAAACGCTGCCCCAATATATCTATTAAGGAAGCTGGAATATACGATTTGTGCATCACATTACCGGGCTCTTGTTTTTGTTATTGAAGCTTTAAAATCAATGTCGAAAAACTCGTGAACTAAATATAATCGCTCTATCGTATTTTGATCCAATTTATATTTTATTTTAGAGAATGCCAATTTGTGGACACGTACAAAAAATTCCATGTCATCAAGATCCAGCCTCTTTTGGTTGTAAAGAAATTATTTCGGGTAACTAATTTGCATTTTTTAATATCTTAATACTGGACATCATTTTTAGCGTATCACGAGGCGTATATGCATGCAATTCTTTTAAATTCATTTTTCAAATCTTGAGTTTCTTCCACAGTTCTAGTAGATTGTGGACACACCATCAAAGTTCAATGTCACCAGTCATCTATTGTAACACTGGGCATGTGTAAAGAGAAATGTGGCTATTTATTGGAATGTCGACATCCGTGTCGTGGAAATTGTTATGAATGTTTTCAGGTATAATATCGTTTTGTTAAACTTCCGTTGGGGATTGCTAGAAAGCAACAATATTTAGTTTGGTACAAACCAATTGTATCACATACCACAAGATTCTACAACTTTTCCATATACTTCCAACCTATTGGTTCATCCAAGAATTTAATCGGCGAAATTAAAAATAAATAATTTTCGCGGCTTAATCCCTCCACTTCACAGAAACCATGGTAAAAAATCTTCACCAAATGGCGAAGAGGAATACGTCTTGCCATTGTTCGCCAGTATTGACATACTATGTTTGAATTTCTGGCAACATTGCCATTATAAACGCATAAAGAAACATTGTGTAAATCCAACAGGAATAATAAGGTAATTATATTCTCGTAGGGCCGTCTACATGTCCCTTGCCTGAGAAAATGTAACAGAACTTTGGTGTGCGGACACGAATGTAAATCTTCTTGTGAATCCTGTCCTCCATGTGAACAAAAATGCAAGACAAGATGTGAACACAGCGAATGCAACCATAAATGCGGAAAACCATGCACGTTGTGCCGAGAAAAATGTAAATGGCAATGCCCTCATTTCCGCTGCACTCAGCTTTGTAGCGAGCCTTGCAATCGACCACGTTGCAATAGGCCTTGTCAGAAAAAATTGAATTGCAAGCACCAATGCATTGGCTTATGTGGCGAACCTTGTCCGAGATTTTGCAGAATTTGTCACAAAGACACTGTAACCGAAATATTCTTTGGTGATGAGGACGAGGACGATGCTAGGTCAGTGATGTAAATATTAGACGTCACGGAGTATCCGTAATGTTAATCGCTTTTATTATTTTTACATTCATTAACACTAGTGGGCCCAAAATTAATCAATATATATATATATATATATATATATATATATATATATTCGTATCTTAATTTTTGAAATGCCAGATAATAATGAACCATTTATTTTTTGTTCTCATGATTTTAACAACATAATTTCAGATTTGTGCAGCTTGACGACTGCCGACATATTTTCACATACGAGGGACTCGATAAATGGATGGAACAGAAAGAAGAAGGAAACGCAATTAAAATGAAAGAATGTCCAAAATGCAAAACTCCAATATGGCGTAGCAGAAGATATGGAAATATCATTAATAAATTGTTGATGTGAGTTTCACATACATTCGAAAAAATGACTTCTCTTCACACGCATTCAAAATTTGACCAAGTTCCAAAAAATCCAATTTAAAGGAGCAATAAGGTTACAACGGAACGCTCTCCTCAGACGGCACTAGCAGGGAGTATTTACTGTTGATGAATTTTGGTTCTCATATATCACTATGGAATCGAAGATGTTTAATTGTCTGTTAGTTTTTAAAAACAGAGGTACTTTCCGGAGTCAAAATTGCAAACTTTTGAGGTTGCGATTTCAAGTTCAAAAGTTTCTCCCTTTGAGACATGTTAAGATTTACGAACACCAATGATTTTTCTTTGCAGTAAGATATTGGAACACCCCATTCGAAAATCCCAAATAAATTTAGTTTTTAAATTTTCCTAAGCAGTACAACCCGACGCCAAACATTGTTTTTTTATTAGGTCTGTGAATGAAGTGAAAAACAGGATTCCGGAGACAAATACAAGCAAAGGAGGACAAGAGACAGTTATTGAAAATGATTGAGCAGAGTGATATTAAAGTTGAAAATACTACCCTGTTGAAACGCAGTCTATACTAGATGCTTTGAAGGTATGTGACTCACTGTCTATATATATGAGCGCCTAATAAGCATCTATGGTGAAGATCGTACACATCTACGAGCATTCGCGATCTTTCAACGAAAACTCCTAATGCGCAAACCATATTTACTGTCATTTTGATTTCTTACGCATTTGATTGCTTTTACTTTTTCAAACCCACATTACATTAATGTATTTACTGACAGTCAAAATCACTTGTGATTAACCTCGACCCATCGCGCCCACGGGAAATTTTGCTGCCAATCCTCTGTTTACAATGAAATTTTCCAGGGTAAGCCCGAAATAAATGCAATTTCCGTGTATTGTAACATTTTTAAAACTATATTACACCAAAATAACGCAACCGTAGGGTATTGTGAGCCTGAGGCTACGGGAACGAGGGTGCTGCATGCATTTATAAATAGGTGGGGAAGCTTTAAGAACGTCAACTTTTATAATTTAAAATACATTTTCAAAACGCATGGACAAAAATTACGGAACAAAAAACGCCTACTAACAAAAAACCAAGCTACTGTTACGGAAAACCGTTGATGGAGTAGCAAAAAACTGCTGCATAGTCAATTACAACTTATATGATTGAATCTTCCTTCTTAAATATTGAAAATGTCAGCACCAAGAATTCCAACCGATATCAAAATGTGTGAAAATCATGTTTTTTCAGTGTGCGGACCGCGGCAAAAATGAAATATAATTTGCTCCTAGAAAACATTTGGTAGGATAAGTACAGATTTGTGAAGCGCAAAACAATATTCAAATGGGAATTCTCGAATGTCAGGTTAACAGCGCGGTATTTGAGTTTATAAAAAAGTGACAATTTAGTATCTTTATTCACCGGTAATTTTGTTTATTAAAACTTGACCATATGTAACTGTGACCCAAATATAAAAGTGAACATATAAATGTCTGAACGTATTCGAAACCGGGCAGGGTGAGCATACAGAATGAATTAAATGCGTTAAGTTCTAAATTCACCGAAATAACATATCAAAGTTCAATAGATGAAATGTATTAAAATATAAAAATTCACAGAATAAAACAAATTATTTGCCCAGATTGGAAATTTTGAATGTTTTTATATTATTGTTTTTTTTTTGCTGTAGGACGAAATACCTTGCCGTATCAATTGAAGTTGCTGGAAGAACAATACAGGAGATTATCAAAGCTTTCAGAAATGCGTAAAGTTGTTGCAAAACTTTTGTTGCTTGCACCCGGTTCAACTTCGAAACTAGTTGATGGTATATATAAATGGTATTTTTCATGTAAACTCTCAGAAAATATGTGATATCACACCCTTATCGATTCTGACCTGAAGAAAATGAATATTATGGATTTGTTTGGGTAGCTTCACGGCCCTGATTTTATGCACCGCTATTTCGATTCTCACTCATCACGTATTTAATATTATTGAACATGTCAACTAGGCAGTTCTTGAAGGATACCTATTTTTATATATAAAGAGCTTGTTCGAAAACGCAGCAAAAAATCGTCCATCTTATAGATATTCAAGAGTGCGTTTGACGCAAAATAAGATTAGAAATATATATTCAAACTCTTTGTTTTGTAATTTTTAGTCGTCAGTCGGGATTTGAGGATAATGCGGACTTGGGTTATGCGCCGAAGAGAATTTTCTACTCCTCAGGAGAACGAAGCTTTTCAGAGGGAGTGCAAAAAGATCAACGAAGCATTAAAATATATTGATGTTGAAAGAAAATACGCCCGGCAGGGGAAACCGAGGTAGTGTATGTTAAATATCAAAATGGATTTTTCGGTTAGCAGAATACCTTCTTAACTCAACGGTAACATCAAAATAGGCATGTCATTTGACTTCATATTTAAATTAAATTTTTCATTCAAACCGTGATCAATGATTCTTTTATAATTTTACGCAGAGCCATCGAAGTAGATCCACTGTTCGCATCATTAAAAGAGTTGTTATTTGACAATTATGAACCGTATGTGGGTGACAAAAAGGAGGAAGTGAAAACACTCTTTAAGAGAATTTTTGACAAGGTAATATTTGAATATACTTGTAACTTTAAAACCTGCATTTTTAAATGAAATTTTTAGGCGATTTTTATATTCAATTTTTATTTAACACCGACCTTAATTGCAAGTTGACAATAAATGAACTCAGATTGGTGGTTGATTATTTACTCATCAGACGTAATCAGTTTTCCACTATAAAAACATTGACATTGTCAAATATTATTTTATTTTTCTTATTTTCAGTTTATCCGGAGTGGTCCACTCTAGCTCCACTGTTTTGAGAAAATTGATGAATTTAGAGTTTCTTTGCCAGACAAAATAAACATTTCAATTATACCGAATTTATTTTAAATATTTTATTCTTCTTTTAAAAACCTCAACGCACTTCGACCAAAATAGCCTTGTTCAAAATCATCTGTACTGCGACATTATCTTGAAACAACCAATTTGTGTGTTACATGAAAATTTTTCCACTGGATAATACAATTTGATGTTTAAGAGTTGCGCTGATTATGTACGACCTTGTCGTTCTCTATTTGTGTTGCTGTTTAATACTGATTGATTACTCTGTATATCAGGTGCCGGTGATCACATCAGGTCTTGGTGTTTCCGAACAGGAAAAAGAAATGATTTGCAAGGCGATGGGATTTGCAGCAAAAGGTCATTGGTATAAATGTTCAAAAGGCCATATTTACAGCATCGGTGACTGCGGCGGGGCTACCGTAACAAGCGTTTGTCCCGATTGCAAAGAACAAATAGGTATGAATAAAATTTTATGTTATTTATATATGAATCTTATATCATAAAATATTGGTTCGTGCTTTTATACCGCGAATGTCCCACCGACTCTCATTTTTTTGGACCAATATTACGATCAAAAAATAAAATTTCATTTTTACACATTTTCCTGGCCATGCCAGAAAATTGGCGACTAGAACAAGTAGTACAAACATCCAACCAATATTTCTTCAATGTAGACTTCAACTATAAGTATCAAATTCTAATTTTGTTTAGTATTACAGTCGATAAAGCCTTTAGTCTGTTAACTGAATTCAAATGGGTTAGCCATACATCTTCTTGTGCTAGACCCACTCCAATATTATTATTTTTTTCTTTTTCAAGGTGGAACAAGCCATAGATTGCTGACATCTAATCGAATTGCATCAGAAATGGATGGTGCCACAAGACCTGCTTATGACCCAATGAATAATTACATCCCTGACCATCTTCTTCAAGACCTGCGAAGGCAAGGTTTCGAATAAATACCCAAAATTTCATTCGAACATTGCTGATATATGTACTAAAAGACTATGCTTATTACAAGTGCTAATCTAGCGTTAACTTTTTTAATTACCAGTTTTAATATTTTCGTCTATATTAGTCTTGTTACCACTTAGCCTGTCATACAATCACTGTCATTTGATTGGGTTATCATCAAAATATTATCATTCATAATATATGTCCTTTCCAACTCTTTACATATCATCAGTATTAATCTATCAACACTTGTTTTGCCCGGTAATAAGTAATACACCGTCTTTTGTTTCCAGCTATATTGAATTCTTATAAAAACGTTCTTACACTCAAATGCTTATTTCGAAACTTACATATTGAAATATTTTTTATACTTCACTAAATTCTGCATTCAGTAGACAATATTTAGATAATGATTGATGTATTATTTTTATGATTATCTCCGTTGATCTAGAGTAGATTTTGGTTTAGGCACTAAATAGATTAACTAAATAATTCCTATTGGAAATGTTTATTACTTCAATATTTTATTGTGTTGTTACCTAGTTTCTAGCATTTTCCACACAGATTTTAAGACGCCAATGAAGTGTGTATATATATATATATATATATAGTCAATAATTAGTGTTTAAATGCTTTCATATAGCAAATATAATCTGTAATCTCCCCACATACCCTTAGGTTCAGTTATGTGTGTCATATTTATGCTTGTCATAACGCGTAGAATCGTTAAGTAAATAAACGCAATTTTATACGTTATATCTATTTCAATTTTCCTATCTTTATATGATAAAATTGCGCTCTGATTAATGGGAATATTTTCAACTGTAGAACTATATCGATATTAAACATACCAAATATCAACTAGCTTTAATCTTTTGTTTATAAAACAAATTTAGCATACTGTATATCTATTATCATGCGGAAATAAATTTGAAAAAATGAATAATGCTAATATATATCGACATTGGTCGTGTATTGGTACCGGTACGACAGGGGGTATAGTAGGTAACAACTAGTGCTATCACCTAACTCGGAATACGGAATGATATTGTGTGATTCAATGTGCGGTAACACCAGAAACACTTTAAGAGGCCAATCACAAATAAACCATTCAATCTTTGTTGCTCATACTTTATTGCAGTAATTGACATCAGCGGGTCAGTTTTTTCCGGCAGTTACACACAATTTAATCAATTTACATGACCATCACACTGAGTATTGGCTAAATAAATAAAAACAAACATGGAAATAGAACTTACAAATACCAAAATTCCAGAGCTCGATGGAATACGTGCGCTCACCTAAAGCAAAGAAGGAAGAGAGCAACCTTGGGAGAACTCACGGGTGCCAGATTATTGAACGGAATAGATTTCCAAGTTGGCCCAATTAAATATATTTGGGACTCGTGTGTTATGAAGCAAGAGAATAATAAATGCAACTAATTCTTAGTATCAAATTTTGTATAGGAATTCTGTTCATTTAACCAAATATGAATCATAAAATTAAATGATTATCGCAAGACTGGCACGACTACGAACTACGACTACACAGAGAAAGTATAGTTAAATTAACTATGGAGAAAGACTTTTCTTGTACACAACCTAGTGTCCATAATTAAAATGAGGGAATATTTCTTACAGGTACAGCAAAGAGTGAGCTGAGGACATCGACATTGACAATAGCTATTTTTCTCTCAACAAGCCTAATAATAAAAGAAAACAAATAGTAACAGAAAAAAAGCATCAGTCCAGGTATTTTTATCAAAGAGTTGGTGATACACTCGCCAGATCACAGGCATATGGACCAAAAAAAATGCCAGATAGAGCGTTGCCAGATTTGGGGTTTTAATTAGTAAGTTTAAATTTTTTGTTATTCGTTTGCTTTCAGCACGACGTCGTTTTTATTTATTTCAATTTCTTGTCCTTTATTTCTGCTCAATCTCCATGCAAGGTATCCCGCCATAGCAATCAAGGCTACTGCTATTATTGGCAATATTACGTACAACGCTATCCTTCCACTTCCTTGTGAATCACTGTTTGTGGCAGATGTGGTAGTTCTCGTGGTTGCAACAACTCCAGGCGATTCTGTAGAGATTTCAGGAATTTGAAAACTAACGAAGCCACTCGATGGTATGGCGGCTGACATCAGTGTTCGTGCTGTAGGAGTGTTTATTATTACTTTAGCAGATCCTCCGCTTTGGCGCCTTTTGCGGATAAGAGAATGCCATGACGTTGACGAACACGCCTTAACAGAAACATATTTTATAGACGTTAACGTTACCATTGAAGCAAGCGATAAAAATAATTTTTCAGTAATATAATAGGTCTTGTTTTTGAAAATTCTGGCTCATTGTTCAGGATACAAAGTTCCTGCTTGGCAATTTGCTTCCTCCTGAAATGACTAGAATCTGAAATTATCCATTCTAATTTAGACTATGCGTATTTAGCTATAGTTATCAATCTTCCGTTTTAAATGCCTGCTTGTACAACTCCAGTATTATTGGAAATAATTAACTCGACTTCATCCATCAAGAATACATTGCTGTAACGTTTTTTTTTCTTTCTGAAGCCCCACTTTTCAAATAAATTTAATTCAAATTGAAACATGGTTTAGAAGTTGTTGAATTATCTATGATCAAATGGAACGTCCGTCTGCAATCATCCGAAATTTCAAAAATATCAGTCGCGCATGGTAAACAGAAAATACAAGCAATATTTCAACTTTTGAAAATTATACCTAAAAATTTCTCTCTAATTGAAAATATTTACCTATTAAAACAAAAACAAAATATTACCTGAATGAAGAGAATAATTGCAATAAAAAATTCTTTCTTTATTCTTCGCATTTTTTATATTTGCCACCACCTTTTTTATCGAATTAGCAAAACTTTCACATCAAGTCATCTTTATAGAAACAATATCGTTATGCTTACGATCTCATATATCATAAGATGACTAAAAATTATTCGAATCTTCTGGAATTTCACAGTTAATTTTAGGTTAAACTCTATTGTCAATTTGCTAATTTAGTTGCTTAGGGCCAAACATGAACGGACCCTGAAGCGTAGATCACTTACATCCCATGGTTGGCTAAAGTAAAATAAAGTCACACATAGAGTTACCGTTCTAATCCAGCAAAGTTTACATATTTATTATTAATGTGACGATAATTGAACCCTGAGGCCAACGATGCGTTTTAAGGCAAAATGGTTATGAGATAAGACATTGGATTGAAGTTTTCAAGTCGCGCGGTGTCGAAGGCGTCGGCGTTTTACAGTTTCTATATTATTCTGACATGTACGGCTTTAACAGGCACAGTTTGAAACGCCGCGGACTTGAGAATACTGTACTGCAATTGACGAGAAACTTTTTCTGATGTGAACAAAAAGCCTATACCCATTTGTATGCTTGTAACGAAAAATGATTTTAAAAATTAAGGATAAAGCATGAGATTTTATCCTGAGCTACTCCCGACATCGACATCAGTATGAATGTGTAAAAAAAACATGAATACAATGTAAGTTTACTAGTTTATTTAATGTGAAAAATATATAAGTGCAATATTTCTATGGCTATAAAGTTGATGTCGCAATATGTTTAAATCAAAAAAATTCAAAAATTTTCTGGTAATTACCTTATGCGATTTTATACATTATATATATATTGAAGTCTAAGTATGTGCCAGGTGAATGTTAAATATTGTGCCAATTTTAGAACAGTTCAGATGTGCTTTCACACTTTTGCTCGAAATTTTGCACAAAAAGAGTTTTGCGCTTTTTAAACATAAATATGGCAGATGACATTTAGGGCGGATGAAGACTTAAAAGATGAGGTAAAACTGCTAAACCTAATATTACCTGAGTGGTCCGTAGTTGAAATAAGGTGCGTTATCATAAAAATAAAAAAATTACTGAGCCATTCATTTTCAGAGAAGTTTTTTTGAAATAAATGTGACCACAACATTTTATAAATATATCATTCCTCATCAGAAGTATTTTCTAATTGCTTTCCCTTTTAGGGAAATATTTACACAATACATATAACTCGGTTACATGACAATGGCAATTTCAGTGTAGAGTCGAGTCCTCTGAGTGCTGGGTAAAAATTTTTCATTCACAAAAATTTACAAGTAAGAATCATGGCTAAGCTGAAGACGACAACGACAGCACTCTTGATCTCTGCAGCACCGCCTCCATCTCCATCATTGCCGCCATTGTTGCATTCCGTCGTTGTTGGGATGCTGCCTGCAGATTGTAAACAAGCAGAATAATTAACAATTCCATTAAAATATGAGCTTTCATTCAAATCTCTTAGCTAATTTAATCGGTATGTAACTCGAATAACTTGACGTTCCATTCTGTCATTCATTTTTCTGTCTATACGAGGATGTTATATCCACTTCATGAAAATTGAATGCCTTATTGGAATGTTGTAACTATATTAGTCTATTCTATTGCTCTATTGACTAATTTACATGTAAATACGAACACCGGTAGTCCTGTTTTATTTCAAATATTCGTATTCAATCGATGAGCCTTTGAGCCCTTCCACTATGGAGCTTATTATTTACGAATGAAAGTTTTGCAGTATACTGAAAAAAACAAAAATTAAAACGCGGAAGCTGGCCAGGAATTACCAGGCATCCTATTACCTGGAGCTCCGGTAACAGGTGGATCAATAAACATTGGGCCTTGAACGTTGCATCGATCTGTAAAGTTATAATGGTAATGATTACATTGAAATCATCAATAGATTTGTAAATTTTATAACCAGTAATTATAAATTAAAAATTTACGTTAATTTAGATGATTAATTAATACAACACAATAAATAACAATAATATATGGCACCTGTATTGCAAGACACGGTGAAGCGAATTTGGCTTCCTCCGTTTGAAACATTGTCGTTTGAAGAAGAACAACGCCGTACCATGCTGGTTATTCCATCTGGTCCAAACATTGCTAAAATCAGAGTATTTACCATAAAAATTTCAAATTATTAATCACAACAAATACACGGTTCAAGTAATGTTACAAAAAACATGGGTAAGTTTCTAATATGGCTGAACGCTCAAACACTACTATTATTGACTTGAATGGAGAGGTAGAATCCATATACTATCTATATTCAGGGTTGCCATATCGTGCTTATTTCTAAGATTTGTGCTTATTTTCTATAGACCGCGTCTTATAAAGTAACGATGTGCTTATTTCTAAGAAAAGCGCTTATTTTTTCTTAGAAACGTGAATGACTCGTTCTTGTTTTGCGTACAAAGCAATTTAGACAACTAGTAAGCGTAACCATGAGTTCTGTTTCAAATATATATGAAAAGAAATTTGCTAATAACTACTGCTATTGCGACATTGAGAAAGGGGGAAATTAGTAATCAATGCCCACAATACTACCACAAAACATAATAAGCATTGCGGGAAACAAAAGTATAAAAACTTTGGTCGGCCACCTGCGGGCCATATCCGACCCGCGGACAAAAATAATCCGGCCCGCAATGCTTCACTGAAACTGAAACCTAAGGATCGGTATTATGTTGTTCTTGTTCTTCTTCAATAATTCTTTATCCCATCGTTATCAAAAAATCGCTTTTGTTTTCAATTACTGAACCAAAATGAAATTTTCCGTGCGGAGAACTAGGATTAGTGATAGGCTACCCATTTAGAAAATGTTCTGATTTTGGTTTTATTCAGTGTTTCACCTGATGTCGGAAAGGTATCAAGCGTAATGCAACAAATAGTGTTACATTAAATGTTATTTGTAATATTTTTTGGTAAGACGACCCTGAGTCCACGTGTTGTCGCAGTGTTCGCTCGCTAATTAAAGGCTAGGACTTCAATTTCTAATCTGTATAAATAATGTGGTTCATCAGCCACCCGTTCAGTTTTTAACTTTCTCGAAAAAATATGTGCTACTCGCCAAGATTTGTAACACTTGATTTCGGCCCGCGAGCGATAAAAAGTTGCCGCTGTTTTAGAGATTGCGTGTGGCAGTGACTCCGTAGTATTTTGCGATTTCGGAGCTGCATACAATTGTGTTCGAAGCGACTTCTAAATGATCAAAATTGGAAGACTCGTGCGTGTGTATGATCTCCTTCTTGACGCCCGTGCTTATTTTTGGCTCTGGGTAGATGGCAACCCTGTACTATACTCCATGCTTATATCAATCTCACACGGGCAATGAATGTCCGTGAAAATATGTCTACATACTCCAACCAAAATATTAAATTATTACTTAATTTGATGGCGTTCAAAATACTCCACTTTTCCTTTATAACGTCATAAAGGTATCATTGGAAAATCCCGGAATAAAGCAATTGAATTTTTGAAAATAACGAGTTGACTGTGGCGTCGCGCCGGGTCGGAGGTGACAACAATGTCACCCGATCCTCGCGATTGTGATGTTGTTATGTGTCTGGCCTTGATTCTTGCATTTATGAGTCTTATGCCAGTCATTTTGTCACTGGGCGTCAAGGAATGGATTGTTGTGAATGGAAGAATCAAAAATCAAACTAGAAGTAATGATTTCGAAAAATTGGAAATTCCAGATTTCCATCCGGATATCACAGGTAGGTTTGCGATGCTCATTGTATGATTGATGTATTTTTTCAGTTTTCGTTTCTGCTCTAAACACTCTTGAGAAATCAGGGTGTAAAAAAGGAAATTACAGTCTAAACATAAGAAAACAAGTGCAGTCTATGGTTCCGAATTCACGTTCTTTTAGTGCTTCAATGATATTGATGATTCTGCCAAAACTGGTTATTTATATGTATATATATAATTTAAAAAGTGAAAATAATTATCGCGATACAGTCATCTTGCAGCTATATAACTGTTATTAACTTTTGACACAGCCAAAAAATATTCGTAGTTAACTGTACAAAGGGACAACGGCGTGGACTGACAGCTAAATGAATCAACTCATTAAATATTACTTGTTTTTTCAGATTTCAATGGTTCAATGACAAATATATCCAAAGAATTTTATAACGAAACGGTAGATTGCTAAAATGTTAATATCATTTATATAGCACCGTTATAGCATATTCAAATTATAAGACGTTTCAAATGTGTCTTGCCAGACATGTGAATCAAGGATAATTTATTGCATATTTCAATAGTCAAAATCAAAATCTATTTTTTTTGTTGTTTTACAAAAATGTCAATATCGTTGACATCAAACGTGTTAGATTTTTTATGTTTTTAACGATTTTATTTTTCTGATATGATCACAGAATACCACAGCAGGGAAGTTTCATTCGTCCAAAAATCATTTCACTGGAAATACAACTATACTGGCAAATTTTGAATCAATATGTCTAATTAGCCAAACTTCCCGACATTGTGATTCGTTATCTACAATCCAAAATTCGAGTAAGTTCGTTCTATACAATATATATATTTTACAAGTTTTGAAAAAAGTTCATAAATTGTTCCATAATTTCAGTTGAGTGTATATTAGAAATAGAAGCTACACAAATTGAACTGAATAAATTTAAATACCTTTATCGGACCTTCAACTAAAATATTTCACTGTACTGTATTTATTAGTTTACCGGTTCTGATGCCTCTTCTTTTTATAAATGCTGCGTCTATCAATATTGTATACTCGACTATTTCTTTAAATAATGCTTGAAAAATAAATGAAATTTGGGATTGATATAATTCAACATAAAAAAATAACAATTTCAGATTATTCAGCTTGCTTAACAACAGGGCATCAACACGACGACGAAGATTTTATCAAATGCAATTCTTTTCTGCTTAGTCGAGTCCTTTCGACTGTACCGAGAGTGTTTTCTATAGTTCTGATGATGACTGCAGTTACAACAATGTTAGCTACAATTGTATTGGACGTTGTGATGGTCTTTGACAAGAAAGACGTCAGAGTGAAGCTACTATTGGCTACTCTATTTGCGCTTTCCGGTAGGTTTTACATGTGTATTTTTTATTTTCCAAATTACTTACAAACTATTTCGAACATTTTTATCTCTCCAGAATTATGAGTGCTTTACAATTATTAAAGTTAAATTGAAATTATTATTCAACCTCCCATATTCTGAAAAAAAGAGCTAGAAAATAGAAGAAAAAAAAACAGGTTTTAGTCTACTATCATTCGGTTTGATTTCTTCAGGTATGATTGAGATTGCATCTGTAATTTTTTTCTACACAACCGTATTTATGGGACACAGAGCTTTGGAGAAGCCGAGAGCGTCCGTTGGAATAACCGCTTATTTGACATTTGGCAATGGAGTCGTTTCTGTTATGATCGCATTACTCATATTTATATCTTTGCGTCGAAGAAGAAAAAAAAAGTTGCCGCAGTTTATTCCAGATTCACAAATCGATATACCGAGAAATAATGAACCCTGTGTCCAATTCGAATTCGAGTCTTCACAGGCTGTAGTAGGCGATATACCATTTGATTTTCGTTTCAACAGTGTAAAAAAACGGGTAAATATTGATGTAGAATCAAATCCGGAAAGCAAAAAAGAAGAAGCGAGAATTGACGATGTGAAATATATAGTCCGGTCATCACCTGTTGTTTTAGACTCTGCTGATCAACATGAATCCCCTTCCCTTGACGACAAGTCGGTTGACTTGCGTTCAGTAGCCGATGAAGAAGTATCTCAAGCCATCACGCTTGCTAAAGAAGTGTTTCGGTCTTTCCGAGACAAAAATAAGGAAGATAACATTGTGACTGATAAATTAAAAACAACTGCACGCATGTCTCAATCTGATTATGAAGTTGACGCCGAGACGTCTCAAACTATGTCAGAAAAGACAGCAAGTTTAGTGCTTTCAGATTCACATATAGAATTTGACAAAGAAAGCATTGAAGTTTCATGTTTTGTCGGAGAAGAGTTCAAAGCGGAACAAAATTTATTTCAATCACAGCATAATATAGTTGGTGTTGAAATCTTGGAATCTCCACATGGAACAATCGCCACAATATCGCATCATGCGAAAGAAGAGTTAGTACAAAAAAGTTTTAGCGATATCGAAGAAATCCCAATTGAAATTTGTAATGCATAAACAAGAAAGCATAGCATTCACTCACAGAGTTTACCATTCGACTAGTCTGTTATTTTGTTTTATTCTTTGCAAAAATAAAAAATTAAATCTATTATTTTATCGCATTCATTGTGTAACCAGGTAAAACAAATAGTTATGAATTACACAGTTTGTGTAATGTATAATTCAGGTTTCAACATTCTGTCGCATATTTTCCATGTATATATGGATAAAAAAAAAGGAAGCCCGAAATTGATTTCAATTTGCCTACTTACCAGTAGCTACTATAGCAGTTTGGCAAAAATTTTGACCCTCTGAGCAGTTTTGAAGTTGGTTTGAAGTCAGTTTGTTTCTGAAACAGGCACTGCTGCCTCCTAGCGGTGCATTGCAAACATAGCACATAATTGCAGAGGCTGTAAATAAGAATGGTCTGATTCAGACAATGGAAATGAAAGTTGTGAACTAATATGTACTAATCTATAAATTTCTTTGGAAGCAATATTTTTGCAGAACAGCAATTGAGTCTTCATGGGTCACTGCGTAAATATAATGAACAACTTTCGGGCGCTTGGGTCTCATGATATATATACGTTCGGGACATAACATTAAAGACTTTGAAATCAGCCGTAGTCGGTTCATTAGTCGTCCAGGTCCATTTTCGCTATTTCAAGCAATATATAAAATAAATTGATGAAGACATTTGAACGCATGAAAAAAATTATAAAAGAGCGTTTGACTAAAAGAAATATGTTGAGAAATGTCTGGCAGCATTTATACATATATATATATAAATGCCATTATTGATACTCAAATCCATGAGATGAATTCGCTGTTAAAATGAAATTTACCAAGAAATAAAGTTTTTCTCACCTTGATTGTAAATTGTTACCAACACAAATAAACACAAAAAGAACTTCATGTTGATATCCTGTACTTTCAAATGTGCCTAATTTTATTTCTCAAGTAAGTGTCAGCGTAACGACTTAGCACTTCGTATTAACTGAAAAGGGGTTTACAATATAAGCTGAGTAAATTAAGTTTTTATCTATAAATTTATTTATTTATTAATTATTTAGTTATTGTAGATATACAGACGAATTTAAACTAATATATATAGATGAACAAACATGCCTTTCCAAAACTGGCATTGTATTCGTAGTCATAATTTATTTATTCTCAGAAAAAGTTATATATATCTATTAGAAGAAAACACAAATATTTTAATAGAAACACAACCAATGACTAAAGCTTATGAGCAGATTGTATAATATTGAATGTTGGTAAGCTATTTACAACATGAAACCTTGTTTTAATTCTGTTACAGTCATTTCGGTTTTACTTGACTTGTCGCAAAATATATTTTGGACCTCCTGAAGTATGCGCACCAAGATGGCGCACAACCTGAACTCAGGTTGTGTACCAGGTTAGGGTCAGGTTATGCGACATCTTGGTGCGCATACTTCAGGAGTACCTATTTTTTTTATTTCTGACCCTGAAATTTTTATATATAATAATGGAGGATTAATTTCATGAGGTACTTCCGAAGATACTTCGCAATTTATCTGATTTGATTACAGAATAACGGTGAAGTTAGTTCAATAATCAATTGAATTGCAAATTCAAATCACGCATCTGTACAGACTTATAGAGACATCATTTGAGACCTACTATGATACAGCAAGCAAACTATATCGAGTTTCCACATCAGTTACCGCGATTATAATCAGGTACCCGCCACGTATCTTGCTCCCAGATAGTCTCAAACCGCTTCTTGAATATTCCCCTGATGTTGAGATGCAAAACGGGTTTTGGGCACTTGATTAAAACCTCTTGCGTATTATTGAGTAAGATTTATCATTGAGAAAAAATGTCTTCAGCAGGTGAACAATGATTTGTAATCCCCATCATTCATATTTAATAATGATTTACGGTAATCCAGATTTGTGTCATCTTGAATAAAAAAGCGGTCAGATTTATTTGTACAGCTTCGCACTTGAAGAAGGTAGGGCTCTCTTCATTTGCCGCGTCACGGTTAATATTTACATAGGATGCTAATAAGTAGGTTTTCAGTCAAATCCAGGACGGGAAAAGCTGGTATGACATATGGATGCTTTTGATATCCTGATCTTGTGATAAATTTGTTTATTTGCCAGATAAATAATGTGTTTGATCGTCGGTGAGTGAAAGATCTCGTCAACGTCATGTGTGATATATTGTTTGGAAAAGAACTTGTGAAAATAGATGATGGAATGTGGAAATGCCACTACGATTTAATTTGCAATTACCTACAATTCGTGGAAAAATCTAGTAATACTCTCGCACATATTTGACCCCGCGGGATTCGGACCTACGTTTTCGCACCGGATATTCAGAGGCGCGATTGTGAGCGTGTCCATAACTTTCACACCTATGCGCCAACCCTCTCTAAGCCTATTTAAACAAAGCCAGAACCCCAAAACGGTGTATTCAGAACATAACTTCGTTTTGGGAACATTGTATAAACTTTCCCACTTTCCTAACCACTACTAGTAAATTTTCTGGATTGCGAAGCAGTGATCGACTAACGTCAGTCACTCAGTCGAATAACCATTTGGAGAAAAAAACGTTTGCGCGAACCTTCAATACCGTCAGCCACATATGCCCACCGAAAAGTCCAGAGCTCCTAACCATGAGTGGGAATAGTATAGGCATAAGAGTTTCAAGTGAGCCGCCGACCAAGAGTTCTCTATAAAAGCTTATCTATCCTTGTGACATGTATGTCAACTGGTAGCGAGAGGAAAGCCATGTTGGCCACAAACCCATCAGAGAATGTTGGACTTGTTAATAAATTCAGTTCACTATAGTTAAACTTTGATTGTAGTGGCAATGAACGATGATACTGTATTTTGTTACGAAGGGGGAATTTTCATCCCGATTATTAAAGTGAAAGTGTTGTTTTTTTGCTGACATAAGTATTTTGCTTTTCTTGTAGTTTTTCCCTTGCATGAAATACTTAATGAGCCACAGAAAAAAGAAGTTGAGAACAACTGCGCTGGTATAACGAAGTTCAAGGAGTTCGACATCTCAGCATAGTAATTCGCTCACCTAGCGAGAACCCCTACCTGGTTCAAGTAAAGATGACAAGCTCTTTTGTGCGAAAATCATATAATTTGCAAAAACTTATTGTAGAATATATATATATATATAGAAGAATACTGTAATGGTGCAGCAAATTCATGAAATAAACAATTCATCAAAAAGTAAGAGTGAAAAAATATGAAGAGCAAATGAATAACAAAAAATACAATTAGGGTAAGATCAAACAAGCCGACATGCAGACTTAGCTAATCAATCAAGGGTGATTTAGTACATTTAATTCAGTGCAAATAATATATAGATGATCGAATGAATGGGTACTAATTTCAAAGAAACTTGTTTAGCTGATGATAGGCGTACGCTCTGTGACAATTTTCAGAAGTTTCATAAAATGGAAACTCTTGCTTTATGAAAAAATGGATGTTGTAGGAAAAATCATGGATTGTATGATTTGTATCATTACATTGTAAAGCAAATCGCCTAATCCTCATTGTGTTAGGTTGTGATAAAACCATTGTTTCACAAAAATATATCATGCAAATTTAATCAACCCCAAATTGACTTTGACAGCATTTTACACAATAATTTGAGTTTTGGTGTAATTTTTCAAAATAGCAGAATTCAGTAAAAAACTTTAACTCGTTCTTCTTTATATTTTAAATCGCAAGCAGCAATGACTGGACACCTAGTGCAAGAGAGAGAAATTTTATATTGATTATCAAAACACTTTTTATAAACAAGAGAGCTATGCTCAAATATATGGACACGTAGCGCCACCCAATGGCAATAATTTTGATGACGTCATAGCGAAAAAAAAAGTAATAGCCTTCTGGAGAAAAATTTTATCTTCAACCACTGAAAATTTCAAAGCAATTGGTCCAGTATTCGAAGAGAAAAGCGATTTTTTAAAAATGGAGACGGAGACAAATAACAATAACAACAAAAATTTTGAAACGATCGTTATGTCCACTTCGTGTCCAATAACAACTACTGGATGAATTTCAACCTCATTTTTGAATGAAAAATGCTCACAGATCGAAGTTTGAAAGAGTTACTTGGGAGAAATGCTGTTTCATACAAACCTGTTCTGCAGATAATTGCAGTTATTTCTCAAAAATTTGAGCAAAATTAAATTCCCTTCACTCTAGCAGATTCTAGCTGTTTCCGTGGCGGTGTTGGGTTTAACTATTTTCATTATTATGTTAACTACTATCTAATGATATCTCTTTTGCAAAAATAAACCTATATGCAAGCTCATACATCATCAATTTCCATTGATACATCTCTACCAGTAGCAAAGCCACATCTAGTTAAATTATTAATAAAGGCAAAAACCTTGCATACAAATTTGTACAATTATTCCATGATAAACACTTACTTTGAGACATGTTCAACCATAGGTAGATTGTCTGGTAAAACCCATCGATTGATTTTAGTAAATGCAGTTGGAAAAGACCAAATTTTATCTCCCATCTAAAAAATCAAAAATATGTATTAATAATTTAATGTATACCAAGCAAAGATGTTTCAAATTCAAATCCTTGATTAAGTACTACAACTAATATTGTAGGATAAAATATCAAAAGATATTATTCTTTATCTGTGAAATCCATTTTTACTGTCGATGACAACTTGTCATATATCATGATAATGCCATAAAATTAACTTCGACATAATAAGATGTTCTTAAAGCCTTGATGCAATTACAATTTTGGGACCACCTGGAGTATGCGCACCAAGATGGCGCACAACCTGAACTCAGGTTGTGTACCAGGTTAGGGTTCAGGTTATATGCGACATCTTGGTGCGCATACTCCAGGAGTACCCAATTTTGTTATGAAATCAGTTTCCAAAATATCCCAACCGGAAATATTTGGTTGAACTAGACTGATCCTAAACATCATAAAACAAAGGTAGCAGAATAACTAACCTTCCATGACTGAGTGCCATCTTCATAAGTTCGTTTAAACCATTTTACTTCAACTATTCCACGACTTGCTAAATGATTTTTACAAACCTGTTACAGAACAATAAACTATTTTTTACAATTTTTCAAAAACTTGATTCAACCAAGATTCAAAATGCAATTCAAACTGTTATGAATTTTCTCATACTGAAGCAAGGGATCTTTGATCAAATATAATGTGTCAAGTCAAGATCTATCAGAAATTACAAAAAAAAGTAGCCTAAACAGTTTTACTTGGAAGGAAAGCTGTAGGGAAAGAGAGCTGGGTATCAAGCAACAACAATTGGGAATTTTAGTTCCACAAGGGACCACAACTAACTATTTTTGTTGAGTAGTGTGTGGTTCTGCCAATTCATCCAGCCAACATTGCTATCTATACAATAGATAGATAATGATAAGAGATAACATTAAAGGACCATCAAACAACGGGATGAGTACGGTATTCCTTACTTCAACTGGGTTACTGGAAGCAAAAGTTTGCTGTGGTAAATAGTTTGGGGAATTTTAAAGGTGACCTAACCCTCCACGTATTCAACAATGGTGAATAGTTGGATGATATGCAATGATATAGAGAAGCAGGTAGAATGAATCAACTAAAATTAAGTTGACATATTTGTATATAATTCTGCTTCATATCTGACCATCTGGTTGAATATCTAAAAGCACAATCTCAATCTGAAGATTGATAATGTAAAAACTACCTCTCTCATATAGGAACATGTCAATGATAGTTGGTTGATTGTAAAACAGTCAAGAAAATTAAAAAGTTTCTCATGAACTTCATATGGGAGATTGAGAAAATGTAGCGGATCCTCAAATTGATCTGTAAAACAAGAAAAGGTAATAAGTGAAAAAGTAGCTGAAGACAAAAAAAAATTTAATGACTTCAAAAGGACTATTTATTAACCACTGAGAGGGATTTTCAACTCAGTAATAGAGTGAATAGATGGATATTCTTTTAGGTATGTTACCATATATCTGTAACCTAATGCTATTTTTTAAAATATTGAATGCGAAAAGGCAAGTACGGTAGATTCCCATAACCGACATGAACTGATAACCGGACAAGAAGCTGTTTTGACATGTGAATAAATTGTCTTGCCTGTTTTCATCTCATCTGGGAGAAGTATAAAATCCTAACCTATAAAGATCTTCGATATAATTAGCAACATGTGAGTTGAAATACACATGAAAGCTAACCTTTGGCATTATCTTCAGTTTCCGAGGTTGACCACAGTCCAGGCCTTACTGTAAATGCATTTTGTGATTGGTTAAAAACAATTGCATTAGTATGATGATCAGGACAAAACCTTGGTTGAGTGTAATTACATCCATAAGCAGCTGAAAAATATATTACGCATATGGCAATCATAGACATAGACACACATATATATCATAAAGTCACAGATCAAAAGCAACTGCTAGCTCGGACCTGCAAACATTTCGGTACTCCCGTAGTGTGTGTACCAGGTTAGAGTTAGGCCATAATTGTATTCCGATTTTCCTTATTTTAGTTCTATTACGAGTTCCGAGACCGTCTGTGTTAGCCAAGTGAATACATCCCCTGCCCATAAGTTTCAGTCCCTTTGCACAACTTGATGTAAATGAGGGAAACAAAATTAGTTACCTCCATATTGGTACACACACTTCTGGAGCATCAAAATTTTTCCTGATAATGTACATACATGCCTGTTCTACCCGAACAGAATTTTACTTTACAGTCGATCACGGCTATCCAAAAATATCTTTGGAAAATAGAAATACAAGTACAAATGTAATTTGACCCAGGTCATACAAAAATAATTTTAATTTTATATTAATACCTTCAATAGCAGATTATGACTGTTAAATTTTAGTTAATTTTTTGGATATGGCTATATGAAAAAAATCATTATCTGAGATAGAAACGTACCATACGGACATTTTTGTTCAATCCAACCATTTAATCCAGACATGATTTCGCAATGTGTGTTTTGTATGTGAGACGCAAACTGATCTCTTCTCAGCAAACAACCACACATGAATGAATACATAGAATGAGGTTTAGTCTGATATCTGGAAAATAGGAAAAAATTAAAAAATCAATTATAAAAAATTATTCCGAATTGCAAAGTAGTGATCGACTAATGTCACCCATTCGACTAAACATTTGAAGAAGAAAAAATCGTTTGTGCCAACTGCCAACCTTCAATACCGTCAGCCACACATCACACATGCCCACTGAAAAGTCCAGTACCCTAACCATGAGTGGGAGAAGTTAGGGAGAAGTCTATTTGTGAATATTTTACTATAAAATACAATTTTACATACTCATTCTAGTTGAGAATAAAGTCAAAACAGCCTAACCACATAGCATACCATGGAATCTTGTCTGGTCAACTGACTAGGTCCGAAAGGGGTAAAGCTAAAGTTAAATGATTCAGATGCATTGACTAAAAAATGAATGGAGCCATACCAGACAAGAAAAATACTCTGCAAAGACGAATGTTCTTACGTGCAATGGTACGATCAAACAGAGGTTCCCAAATGGTGCGCCGTGGGTTGCTAAGTGCACCGCGAAAATTAACAGAATTGTGTTCAACATAACTAATATATGGTTGAATATTCTACATATTGCATTTATTATAAATGTTTTAACGTTTCTTATTTTGAATGCTGCATATATGAATCAACAACTTAATTTCACCTTTTTGTGTCGTTTACTTTCTGTTACATCGTGTTCTGATGCGATCACAACTTTTTTGTGTTATCGCGCTGTGGGATTTTTCCCGGATAATTTGACACCACACGAACAATAAGTCTAGTTTACTTCTTAGCATGATTGATTCGTATGTTGTGAATTTTCATCTAACTACATATATATTTATTCATGAGCATCACAAGAAAAAGCAAAATACAAGATTAAAATCTAACCTTGGTACTGATTCCATGACACTACCAAGAGATAAATTATTAAACATCAGATTTTCATTGAGTTTCACAGACGATTCTCCACTCGTTTCGTTATCAGAAGATTTCCCATCTGTTAGTAAAGCCAACATTTGACGTCGTTCTTCCAATTTTGAACGCTTGATGACAGTGATGCACTGCTTAATGCTCGTCCGATTGCATTCATATCAATATGAAGAAGAAATGGGGCAACAGTCTGGCATGATGAATCTCTATCAAGAGTGAAGTTGAACTTATAATTTTTTTAAATATAAATTAGTTCACACTATATCTGCATTTTTATAACTATAATAATGAATTCTGTCTATACAAATTTTCATATCCCAATTCGATAAATTACAGAAATTTGTTAGAATAAAGGAGATGCTAGCACAAAACTAAATATATCTGGCTTGAAGTTTTTTTTTTTTTTTGAAAACTAAGCATTTTGAGCAATTGTAGTCCCGCTGTATGACTAAAGGACATAATTTAATTAAGAAAATGAGGAATCAAAACACTATTTCTATCAACTTGCTGCATTTCTAAATTCATACTCATTGGTAATACATTATATAAATATACATTATACAACGCTTATTCCATGCCTTTTACTCTAAACACGAACACATACAAGAAGCCATCGATATGTAAGATAACAAATTTGTGGAAGGACATAATTTCCCCTGTTCAGTTTGAATTGAAGTCTGCGATGTTAATCGATCGCTTTAATCTCTAGGTTCTTCGTAGAGCAGGATGAGATGCAGATTTTTAAATTAGAGTATATTAGGATTAATAGACTGGCCATCCCTATTACACATATTGCATACATAGTGAAAATTGAATTGTGAAACACAAGTATATAACTTACGCAATGAAAGGTGCAATTTGTTTCTCATGCATCGCAGCATATCCTCGATAACTTGCTCCAATGATTGAAAACAAACGAAATACAAGATCATCTTTAGATAAGAATGCTTCAGGAGAAAGCCATTCCATGTTAGACATATCAATAGCTAGATCACTTGTATCTAAAATAATAGGAAATACAGGGAGGTCGTTAGAAACACAGTAAATTTTTTGTAATACAGCTACCGACAGTCCCCAAGTAGGATTTTCACTTATAAAAACTTTCATTTCAAAATCTTAAAGCTGTTTTCTGCCTTCTTCCATGTCATAATGGAAGGTGTCAAAATAGAAATCAAATAGAACCTAAAAGGTATCAATCTAGAACAGGGGTCTCCAACACGTGGCCCGCCAGGCATTTTTTTGCGGCCCGCGTCATGATTGGGATTTTTCCACAAAAAACTAAAATAGTATGATGTCAACTTTTAGTAAGTTTTATCGTGTCATTTATCATCAAGAGTCCGGTGCCACAAACTGTAAAATATGAAGCAAAAATTTCTCACTGGTATTCCACTTTACCACGTTCATGTTTTATTCTATTGTTACAATTCAAAAATGAATACAATAATTTCATTTCGCATGTTCATTGTGACGAAATAAATGAGTTTCGGTCCGTTCATTATGCCCGAAGAAAGGTTTGCGAATCTAATTGCACATTCACGTTGCATACCTGCGATGTTTGGCAGTTCTTATATTTGCGAGCATTTTTTTGCATGCTGTCTTAAGACTAGCAAACCAACGTAAAATAAGGCCAAACATCGAAACCAAATATCCAGCACAAGTAAATGAATATGTTTCATGTCTCGTATGCTGTAAGATTCAAGTTTAATTTCAACACAATACATTCAGATACTCATTTTTGTACCTAATTTCTTGGTTTGCGGCCCGCGTGGCCAATAAATTTCAAAAAGTGGCCTGCGACATGTTTTGAGTTGGAGACCCCTGATTTAGAACAACCTAGATCTATAAGAAATAAAATGTATCAAAACGAAATGAGTAAGCAGCACACATTTTATTCATGATCTCATCTGGCCTGCAAATTTTTTGCTTTTCTAGCGACCACCCTAACTAACATTCAGACTAAAGTTCTGAGTTGTATTTAAAAAAATTTCTCCGACTACCTGTTGAGACATCTTTGACTTCTTTTCTAGGCATCCAACCCCATGATGTCATTTTACCACTGGATGATGATTCAGGGTTTTTATACAACCAACTTCTCTAAAAATAGAGAAAAACCAATAGGTATTGGAAACTAATATATGAGTTTTCTCGGACCTCCAGAAGTATGTGCACCAAGATGGCACACAACCTGAACATAGTATGTGTACCAGGTTAGGGTTCAAGTTGTGCGCCATCTTGGTGCACATACTTCGGGAGCACCGTTTTCTCAATCCAAAAACAACAGAGGGGATGATTTAAAAACCTTGTCTCATTGCTTTTATCAATGGATAATTCAAATGCCGGTAAACAAAATATGATAAAAAATTGAAAGTTTTTAAAATTTCTGCTGCTGTTTGATAACATCGGCTTCAATTTGTATACGAATATTTTAGCGCCCTTCAAACAATTTTAATTATTATACTATACAAGAACATAAACAAATATCAGATGTGTGATATTCAAGATAATAAATATTTACTCTTTTCCTTCTTTCAGCTTTTCTAATCGCTCTTCTTTCTTCAGCGGTCGAAGAACTTGACGACCCTAACCAACATTACAAAAGAAAATTAATAACACATATGGTAATTATGTATGCCAGGGATAGGGAAGCTGAAGCCTGCAGACCAAATTGATACAACAAACAAATACAATTCATCAAATGTTTAAACATATTGTTTTATGATTTTGAAATGAGTTTGTCAAAAAAGGTAATCATAAAAAATATAGTCTTCTAACTAGCACAAAGACAATAAATATTTTTCTAAAAAATGATAAGGATGATTCTAATGTAACTTAGTCTTATATTACCAGTAATTGAATGTGTATCATGCATATGAATAAGAATTACAATTAGCCGACCTATAGTTAAATCACATACGACTCCGAACTCCTGAAGCAGTTCACTGATGGATTTCCTCAATTCATAACATTTGTTCTCTGTATCAGAAGCCATACTGTAACAAAAAATGTTGATTATTTAAAATAAGTAAAACACTATTCTTATTGATAAAAGCAATATATATGGAAAGAAAAATTCTAGCATTCTGTAACAACTTCCAATTCAATCTTAATAAACTACTAATTACGAAACTACCTTTGAGAAATAGTGTCATCTCTCCATATAATAACAGGTAAATCATGGTTAACATTATGATTATTTCCATCAACTTGTTTGACAACTTCATTCACAAGGTGATCCACAATATCAATCGCAACACAGATATCAGAATCCAGAGCATCTAATAACGACTAAAAAAAAAAAATAAATGTTGAATTCATAATTGTTCGTACATAAATGAAACAAAAAATGTAACCAAAAGTACCTGGAGCGCTCCAGAGGTATGTGTACCAATATGGAGGTAATTAGTTTTGTTCGCCTATTGTACATCAAGTTGTGTAAAGGGACTGAAACCTATGTAAGGATAGCCTATTCACTTGGCTAACACAGACAGTCCCCGAACCCATAATATAACTAAAATAAGGAAAATCAGCCTAACCTCAACCTGGTACACATACTACGGGAGTATCACATCTGGTATCTTAGCCTAGATTGATTGCTAAGTCGAAAAAGTTGTCATTAATTAGGAATCACATTTGATTTTGAATAATAGGAATAGACCTGGTAGTGGGTGCAATGACCTGGCAGTTAAAGTATTAGACTGAGCTAGCTATGTTGGTTCAGCAAATTAAATTTTCTGTTTCAAATATGTATGTGTTATAGCAAAAGTTAGAGAGCTTTTTTCAGAGGCAATGGTATATAAAAAGCATCACATAAAAAAAATTATTCTGTGGTGAACTCACAATATTTGTCAAATTCTACGATATAAAATTTGACATTAACTATAGTTGCACTACTATAAAGTCAAATTTTACAAAAAAATGGCAAATTCAATTATCAAATTCTTGAACAGATCATTTTCGAACACCTTAAACACCATAAAATAAAAGCTTGAGTTGTAAGTTGTGAATTCTGTGTGACCAAGTCATTTGAGTGTTCAAAAAGTTTTACACAAGAATTTAGGTTTAGGCTGTTGATGGGCGCTAAATGCTTCCAGTCAGTTCTTTACTCCTGTTTTTTCATTGGCCTTTGCTGCTGCCTTGGTTTCTTTAAAACGCAAATTACAAGTTTGACTTCTAATTAATATTTCAACTTCTGTTGAATCAATTAAACAAGTTTCATGTGATAGTGATCAATTAACAGAATGATGTCTGAGGCGTTGCTATTCACACCGCATATAGAATGGAAATACCATCGAAACTTCTAAATAATATTCCAAGAAATATCAAAACATTGGGTAAAATTGAAAACAAAGCAAGATAGGTTTTACAAAACCAATAAACACACTGTGCTACTTAATTTATCTTGGATAAAAACGCAATTAACACATACCCTGATTCACATTGATCAAGTATGATTCAATAAATTATTAGAACATATTATAGCACGAGGGTGATATTTTGAAGTTCATGTATGATTCGAATTAACAATAAACCTTATTATTGGCATTTCTACAAAAGTAAAATAAAGAATGTGTAGTTTAACTATTAAAGCAAAAACATTTACAGAGAATATCATTTTGTTTAAAAGTGCGAGCAAAAAAAATTTACAAAGCAGTTAATATTACCAAGAAGTCAGGAGCAGCAGAAGCAAATTCTTGTATGTAGTTGTCAATATCATCAAAAAATGTTGACTTTTCCATTTCTTTGACTAATTTTTCCTTCTTGAGTTCGCTCGAACTTAATGACTGCTGACTATGATTTGTACTAAACAATCCATTGTATGGCTCAGAATGACATCTGCAATCGAACATAATACATTAATCGATGCTCCAGAAGTGTGTGTACCAATATGGAAGTAACTAATTTTGTTCGCCTACTTTAAATCAAGTTGTGTAAAGGGACTAAAACCTATGGACAGGAGGATATTCATTTGGCTAGAACTGACAGTACCAGAGCTCGTAATAGAATTAAAACAAGAAAAATCGGAATAAAATTGAGTACCAAAATTCCCGACCGTAAGGCAAATAAAATTTCATATAAAAAAGACCTTTCGGGAAACAATATGAATGTGATAAGAAAGAGAAATAGCATTTTTATTCTGTATAAATAAATTTAATGAAATAGCCTTCATGCAATTACTGGTTGTTTTGTTATGGCATATATGTAATATGTTATGGCAAGGACTTCTCTATTTGTGAAAGCAAATAAAAACCGACTTCCAGAACAAATAAAAAGCTTGTCAATTTAATACTACTTCAAAGACTTACCCTGTAGATGAATTATTGGACGAGTCAATATCATTTTGCATTCGAGAAGATGAAGTTAAATGATTGTGTTTGGAAAAACTAAAATCCCTATGATTATCTTCCTTCTTAATCATACTAACATATTTCAGAAAGTTTTCAGTTCTTGAACCGAGAGATAATCCATTTGTACCATACGTTGGAACCATTTCTTGTTTTTCTTTTAATGAAGAAGTTAAAGTAACATCATCCAGTATTTCAGTTTGTTGGATAGATTCGGTCAATGATTCAGTTGGTATTAAATCTGATTGCATATTACTTTCAGTTGACATGGATTCCATCGATTGAGCAATTTTTTCACAGTTATCATTGGTAATCACTTGTTCTGGTGGATCTACTGTTGAACTGCAGTTTGTTTTTTGTGAGCCAGAGATGTCAGCATCAGCCTCAACATTTTGATCTGCAAGTTTATTATAATATTCCAAAACTGCATTAGGCATAATTGTTTCCAATAAAATTCTTTGATCATGTATTGCAGCAGCAACATCTAGATTGTTGGATATCACCTGTAGAATCATAAAATTATATAATAGAATAGGATTTACAATATTATCCCGGGAGAGAGGAAAGTCAATGAGATGGCTAATCATATGGCGAACCACGGCCTCTTGTATGATTATCATTCTATGTCGGATATAGGATTAGTCAACCAGTTAATTGTTTTCAGAAGCATGGACTTAATGGTGGAGGAAGCCATAACCAACCAATGGTTACTTAAACCCCCCTAAGGCGGTAAGGAGTCCAGCAATCCTCCCGCACATAACTATTCCTGCATGGGTTCCGAACCCACGCAGCGTAATCAGAGGTCCGATGGCAAATGTATTCCTAACGCCTAGCACGATGTGCCCTGATAAAATACTTTTTCAATCAGTATGAATATACATGCCTTTCATTCAGAATCAGAAGAAGTTGGATCAAATTCAATACCTGTAAATTTTTCATTTGTTGAACTTTCGACTTTTCATCATTTTTTGATAGAATAGATCCCCGATGCCATCTATTCCATTCCATTGTGCATATTTGAATATTTGCTGGACAAACTTCTGCTTGGTTTGAATAATAAAGATATTGACAGGAGCATATGAAAAGATAAAAAGAAATTTAGTAACGTATTATCTTTTCCTATAAGAAGCAAATAAAATGAGTATGAAAATAAATTAATATAGAATCACGTTTTCATAATCCTATTTAGAGGAGAAAATTTTCAGGATAGGATGGGATTTACATATTTAGGGTACATATGCACCACACCGTATTTGTTTGGTTTTTATTTAAAACCACATAACATTTATACAGGAACATAGTTTGGGTGCAACTTTGGTATGTGATCTCAACGGCTGTGTCACAGGGATTTTAGATACGATTAGGAACTGAATTCTATGAGAATGTCTTGACTCTTTATGAGATTGAACGCACGATTAGGACCAGTCCATGTCAGGTATGGGAATAGTGAATCAGGAATTTGGTTCAGTTGAAGAATCAAGGAACTGATGGGAGAGGAAGCCGCAACTGTCCAGCAATTGATGAACCACTCTATACCCAGCAATCCTCTTACACATAATCGCTCCCGGCAGGAATCAGAGGTGTGATACGAAGAGTGTTTGTAATGCTTGCAATATGCCAAGTTTCAGATGGTAATGACTATGTCAGCGGAAATAACAAGCAAAAATAAAAACTACTGGTAGGCTAGTTAAGTATAATGTACCCAAATCATGGTGCAAATATCACTTCACAAACATGAAGGGAAGGAATGTTGTTTTTCATGAACTCAACTTCTGATTGCAAAAATCCACTACTGGGAACCCATATATATTCTTGTAATAAGTGTTATGTTGAGTGTATCGTCTAACATTTCATGTTTTTTATCACAGAGCCCCCTATGAAGTGAAGGTGTGACACACCTTACAGAAAATTTCAGCATAATTTACCAAGATGTTGTGCGAGATATTTACGAAAAAAAACAGCAGGACAACCATATTGTTTGTTGACACAATTTATACGTTGATATGGGCAAATCTTGTCATGATCCTGTTGTTTACATTGATGAAATTTTTGACCACAATCATTTGCACAAAATGTCAGGCCACAGCTAACATCTAAAAACAAGAGCGGTAATCAGTTAATCTCCATTGGAACATAAGTTGAAATCATTATGGCAAGCGTCCAGGAAACTAAAAGGTTTGTGAAATTTAACAGACAATATTATTTTCTAAATTATTATCAACAGTTTATCAATCTATCATTTGACATTTAATTTAGCTTTCAAGATACTAAAATATTAGAGTGTCCATTACAAGATTTGAAACTTTATTGTTCGAGTCATGTATGATGATGCTATTTTTCAAGCATAAAGGTCATGTATTTAATCATGTTCCAGAGTTCAGCAGTTTTAATACGCAGCTGTCACATCTTGATTCAGTGATTGGTGATATTCCAGTATTAAGCAGTTACAGCGTTTACTTCGCTAGAAACCCACAAATGATAACGGTATGGTGCGGAGCGATACCGGTACCATATTCAGATATTGCTGTATTGTTTTAATGCAAGTATCGTAATGCTGTAATGTCTGAATGTTCAGATGTTGAAACTTCTCAACTTCACCAGTGCATACATCCCACTATAACCAGTACACAACTGACAATTACAAAACAAAACTTAACAGTACCTTGTACAATATCAAAATCACAAAATTTACTATGACAAACACGGCAGTGATCATGAATAACTTCCATTGCCTTTTGTCTGAACGCCGAAACGGTTGGTTCCTCAGCTGATGAGCTACGGTACACAAATCAAATAAGCATACCACAATACTTGAACATTCCCGCTACAATGCTAAGCCGGTAGTTAAGCTATGTCAACATGAGCTTAGGGATTAGATTTGCAAGAATAAGAGATCTATACCAAGAGTCATTTCCAGGCCAAAGCAACCTACAGACCTAAGCTGGGAGTACCGGTACCGTCCTCACTTGTAAAATATAACATTTCGTGTTGCGCCATTAGCGGATGAACACTCTACACATTATTGGACACGAAATGAACATATTATCGGACCTATGGATCGTTTTTGGAAACGAGAGAGAGAGTTTATTTCACCAATAAACACACAATATATGCATACATATATATATAAATATCAAATAAACAGATGCTTTTGGAGCATGACGAAATGTATATATGGATCATTTCGTCATACATTTTCATCAATCATGTTATTAGTATTCTTCTTCATTTTGTTGTAAGAAAATCGCTCTTCTCATTAGCTTTTAGACCAATCGCTGTCCATAATATATTTGAGCATTGCACTGTTGTTGTATTCAAGCACTGTGTTATTATGTTGTTGTTATATGTTGGTATTTTTCTTCTTGTTGTTAACGTGTGAAAAAAAATTGCTTTCCAATTGACCACTTTAATGAACTGCTTTGAAATTTTCAGCAGCTAAAGATTGTATTTTTCGCTAGAAGGTTATTACTTTTATTTGTTTCAAAGATTTTTGTGGGCTTTCGTGGGTGATTTGTTTTTCACTTCGAAATTTTGTGTGATAGCCTTTGAAAACTAATACAGATTAGTTACAGCACGACCGTAACACGACCACTCTTGTGCTACGCAAACGTCGGAAGTTTTTTGACGGTATCGGTACTGTAAAAGATGAGGTATTCATATTCTGTTTTAAACTGAAACCATTTTGTAAGAACCCATTGTCTACAGTCGCTAAATATCAAGTACAGTGTTAATATGCCATTCTGTGCGTGTCGGTTTTGCATGAGATGAGATCTTAATCTATTTGCCAAATTATGTAGGCGCATATGCTGCTATATATTTTATATATTAATGTTCCTGGTTACTCACTGTAGCTAGCAAACATGACTGTGGGTGCAAATGTATGTAGGTAAATATTCACGGGGAAAGATGTTCATGGGCGGAATGCATGTGCGTGGATGCAGATGTACACAGGTGCAGATGTACGTGAGTGCAAATGTACGTGGGTGAAAATGTACATGGGTAAAATGTACGTGGGTGCAAATGTCCATGAGTGAAAATGCACGAGGGTGTAAGTATACGCGAGTGCAAATTTCTGCGATGCAAATGTCCGTGAGTGAAAATGTAGGTGGGTAGGTGCAAATATACATGGATGCAAATGTTCGTGGCTGCAGATGTTCTTGAGTGCAAATGTCCGCGGGTGCAGTCTATATGCAGGTGTTAAAATCTGTGGGTGGATATTTATTGGTGCAAATGTCCGTGGGTGCAAAAATATGCAGTTGCAAATGTCCTGGGTGCAGTTTACGAATTGTAACAGACAAAGTTTGATTGTTTTACTTCTTATATATCTGACCCGGGGTTATTTCGAGAGATCTCGGTCATTGCACTTTTTGCGAATGACCGCTGGTAAACTGCTGCTTCCCTCTAGGCCAGCGTTTCCCAACCTTTTTTGGTTGCGGACTATTTTTTCACCGGCGAAAACCTTTGCGGACTCAACGTGCGTTTATTGCAACCGTACTCTGTGTGAAGAAGTAATATAACCAAATACAACAGAATTTTAACGCATTTTAAAATCGGAAATTTGCCGCAATTACGCGTTTATTGAAAGAGCCGACTTTTTTTAGTGTTAAATGGGCTTTTCTGTCGCACAATATTCAATTTCAACGAGTCTTTCCTTATTCCTAACTATAGAGTTGTTATACATGAGAATGAAGGCCAAGTAAAAGTGAAATATTTGTATTTTTTATTTAACTAAGTCATCAGACTAAGCAACGAAACTATAACATGATTCACGTGTGACAGATAAACTAATTATAGAGTTGTCATACATGAGAATGAAGGCCAAGTGAAAGTGAAATATTTGTATTTTTATTATTTAACCAAGTCATCAGTCTAAGCAACGAAACTATAACATGCTTCACATGTGACACAAATTTTGCGATTTGCAATGTCTAAAAGAGAGTTTTTAATTCAAAACTTATGGTGTTCTCCGTTTTATTTTTAGTATTTTGTATTGTCGCTTTTCAATTTAGAAAATTTAGATTGCCACTATTGACACCCACCAGAAAAAAAAATTATTCCTCGTTGTTCGGGCTCGCGAGAAACACCTCTTAAGAATCTATGCACGCGCGGGCCGACTCTTGTTTTCGTCGAAAAAAACGCAGGTGAGTTGTGAAATCCAATCGTTTGATTAAGCGACGCGCGAGTGTCCTGTCGCGTCACCTGTTACCAAATTTTCGAATAGTAAATTGCTATTCTAATAGTTGAATATTCGAATATATGCCCAGCCCTACTCAGTATCCAGTAATTATTGACTCGATTAATGTTATGTGAATAAACTTGCTTTTTATGCTTTATGCAAATTCTAACGTAAATCGTAACTTGGTTGATGGTTAAGTTTCGCAAAAACGTTTGCGGCCCGCAGTGAATTTCTGGCTTGTTGCGGACTCATTCAACGCTCCGCGGACTCATTTGAGACCGCGGACTCGGGTTGGGAAACACTGCTCTAGGCGATTTCGTCCTGGACATGATTTGACACATTTGTCTACGTCGTACTTTGTGTATGTAGTCTGGGTAATTCATTAACTGCAATGGACCTTAATTAAAATCAAAGTTGTGGAGTTGTTAATATCCAGAAACCTGGCAGGGTATAAGTTTAAGATAATTAAGAGCGCGAAATGTCACCGCCTAACACGTTATAGGGCTACTTGTAGAGCCCCATCATAAGTGACTGAGGTATTTAAAATCTACAATTTTTCCAATTACGGCACAATTGCATTACTACGGGAAAAGATAGGCACATAGTGTTTAATGACTAATCTTTACTGGCCTATTGTACGTGTATAATAAAACAAATTTCGAATTAAAATTGATATTTGAATGATTGGACGGAAGCGGTGCAGATTTAAGTAGAACTCTTTAAAATCGATCCTGTCGTTTGAAGTCCTCAATCCCGTTCGTGATCAACACCGATAAGCATAGATTTTGCTAAAATATCTGGGGACGAACATTCTATAGTGGTGGTAACATAAAAGTCATATTGGGGATGTCGAATTACGGTCGACATCTTGCTACCCACCTAACTGTTTTTTAAATTGTACTGCAGATACAATAACAGCATTATATACTAAAGATTCTATTCTTTTATTGTTCATCACTAATCAGTTCCCGTATTTGATTTTGTGAGCATGATAAAACGATACTCATATTCGATGATCACCTTCACCTCCTCGTCTGGTTCGTTTTCTTTTCCAAGAGTTTTTTTGATCTTCTTAGCTAATACATCAATTGGATCGACGATTGGTTTTTCTTTATCAATGAATATGTTATAATCGTTTATGGATCTTGCGTATGCTCTATATTTATCCAATGTATATTCACGCTCATGTCTGAAAGTAAGCCACTCTTTTGAAGTGTTATGTATTCGATCAAAAATATCTTGGTAACCGTCGTGTGCAATGTAATTGCGTTCGTGCGCGTTGATATCATCCAAAAATTCACGTAAGCATGTTCTAAATACGTGGGAGTTTGAACCCGGTTTCACTTTATCATCCGTCTCTACTAGATTTCGGACATCTTGAAAAGTTGATATGTAAATAGCGCAACATCCATTCGGCTTTAGAACTCGTTCACACTCCTCTTCAAACTTTTTTATATCGAGCCAATGTGCAGCAGCTCCACAAGTTACAAGATCAACACTGTCGTCGTCTACAGGAAATGTGTGACCATCAGAAAGTTTGAATATTATGTTATCACTTTCATTGATTTTCTTCGCTTGCTCAATCTGTGCTTCACTTATATCAATGCCTAAGATGGATTTGAAAAACGGTGAGAAAGCGTGTGTAGATCGACCAGTTCCGCATCCGACGTCTAACATATATTCGAACGTATTTCCATCTGTATTCGTATAAATTTTCCGTAAGTAGTTCATTATAGTTTCAGCTACTAAAGGTGGATATGCGTACCTATGCTTGGAGTAAATTTCTGCAATTTTTTCACCCTCATAGATTCGTATTAGATTTGAAGCCGCCATTGTATGAACTGATTTAAATTGCAAAACAAATTTCTTTTGGAAGTACTAACCTGATGCTCAAATTTTATATTTCGAATATGAATCTGAAACAAAGAAAAATACATGAAAAAAATACTGTACCTTAGCAACGACTGGCACCTTCTAAATTACCTATACAACGATGGCTTTTACACTGTTTACAATAGCACTCGTGATATATAAGGTATATCAAAATACTGCAATATTTCGAAACTAGGGCCGAATGTCTCGGAAACCAGTAAAAATATGATATTGGGCGACGTATGGTCCATTCAAATTCGCAACCCGTTTGCTCCCTGTATAACAGAAAAACAAAAACAACTTCACGGAGAAGCTATAAGACGACACTGTGTTTACTTCATAGACTTACTCAACTTGCCTGGCTGTGGCACAACTGCTATTTAAATGCTAAGTGAAGTCCATTATACTGTAAGAATGAAAAGAAAAACAATACAGTTCAGATTTTAATATGATGGTAACTGCATTTCTCTCTTATCCTGTAACAGTTCAATGATTTAAAACGACAGCACACTTTGTTACTAACGAAATACCCCTTAGTTGTGGGATCAAATATAGGCCACGAATGTTGATGAATCATGTTATTGATACCCGCTTTTCAGCTAACATTCATTTTGACCTAGGTATTTATTTTCTAATTTGCCGATAACGAATAAAAGTCTTCGATAACAGCAGTCTCTTATACAGATAAACATATATAGATGGGCATCAGCACCCGTGCAAGTATATCCACTTTGCGAATTACGCTTGAATAAATTTACTTCACCGACATGTGTTGCGAGCCAGCGGCTATCGATGGGCAGCAGACCAGCACGCGTGCAAGTATATCCACTTTGCGAATTACGGTCGATTGATTTCGCATTTTCGACGTGTGTTGCGGCTATCGGCTATTGTTTATATTTAGATTAAGTAAATATTGTATTTGCCGTGTCCATCGTGACGCCTGTACAGACCATTTGAGCGTTGAAAGTAAGTCACTTATGACACAAAATGAAAACTACTGTACTGATGATGCATTGATTGAAGCATTTCATTTATTGCAATTTGTATTGCTGTTTTGTATGTCCATGCCTCTGGTATAACACAGTCAAAGTATCAAACCTGAAGTCTAAATCTCCGTTGTAGCTTATATCTGATTCAGGGTTGAAAAAGTTTAACATCTTAGTAGTATAGGGTGACCTAAAACAGAACCCATGCCGTTTTTTTTGAACCCTGTAATATTCGCCAGAATTGAATTCATATTCATTCCTTTTATCGAGAGCAAGTGCTAAAGAGCGCACTGCGGCACTAAAGTTGATTGTCAACAGTCCTCCAAGGATGCACAAATACGGCAGTTGAGTTTCCTTTTCCTAAACCATTAAGCAATTACACCCTTCTTCAGTCGCTCAAAATTATTTTGAAAATAATTTCAGTCATATTTCGTTACTTACTAGCCGATATAAACTTGATTAAAATACTGATATGAGTCCAAATAGCCTAAACTTGTCGCAAAAGACGCATACAACAATACTTGTACTTACTTTTTTATCAAATCATTTTTTGCTGTTCAATTACAAATGACAAATCAATGAAATTCCGGTAAGATTCTGACAAAAAGAAGTAGACCATGTTGCCAATTACTTGCTTTTTTAATATTCCGACGAAATATATAGGTCTGATGCTTTGAATTTATCCGAAGTAATACGACAAATTGGACGACATAAAAATAACAATCAGAGAAACAATTTCGACTTATTCCTAGAAGCAAAAGTGATATAACTAAACCAATGAATGAATAAAAAATATGTTAGCAATTTGACAAAAATATACCACGAAAGAGAACATTAATTTCCGTGAATTGGAATCCCTTTTAATTTAACATAACGCAAAATACATTTTATTATCGTACCGATGCAAAGAGACGCATGTCAATATCAAATATTAGCTTTATACTCATCACAAACTATATGTGACTTGCATTTGAACTTTAGAATATATATATTTTCAGATTGGTCGGCCTCAGTTAGGACAACATTATTTGATGATGTGATATTTTACCTCATTGACCCGTTGTGCTCAGAATTATTTACAGCTAGTGGCTTACTTTATGGAGAGCACTAAATTCTGTTATATAAATTTTCAACATACGTGACAGACCATTTATGAAGTGACTCATAGTTTCATTTCTGACTTATATACACCACCACTGTTTATTTCCCTTATTGTAATTTCATTCGGTTATTGATTTGGTTTTAAATACATTAAAAAAGGCGATATAATAATGCATAGAAAAAATAATTTATAAAATGTGAAAGTTTAAAATGCGAAAAATGAGCTTTTATTGGGAAAACATACTTGAGAAATATTAAAGGAAACAATGCACAAGTTCATTAATATGAAGGGACATGCGTGGCTATACATTGGTATGGTAAAACTCGACTTAATCAATGGATTGGAAAATTTCAATTACTGAGCCCATCAGAACGTGGGTTGAACTTCCAGCTCATGGACTCTGGAAAAGCAGTGGTTTCGGTAGTTGAGAGAAAAATTTGCAAAACGAGACATGGATTCCTTTGTCTCCGGAATAACATCCCTTTGTGTCCGGAATAACATCCGGATAGTAGGGTTGAAATTCATACTAAGAAGTCAAATGAAAATTGCCAACACTGATATACAGATACCCATCCCGCCACAAAACGATACTTGTTTTTGAAACGCAGCAAATGAATTTGGATGGAATGAAATTACTCCTGCATTTAATAATTTGCGTGTATTTGGCTAGGGTGTAACCAAACTCCAAAAGTCAAAATTACTCTAAACTACTAAAAATTCAGTAGATTTATGAAGCGATGCAAAAATGTCATCTTCCTTCTTCCCACATTATATCTGTATTTTGTTGTAGTGGTTGAAACATTGGCATAATCCTTAGTATCCGCAATTATATTGATCACCGTCAGGAAATCCTTCGTTATTTGTTGGAGGAAAATAGAGAGAAGGCTTTCGTGGCCATTCTAACTCAATATCGTTCTCATATACCTGGAGACAAAATAGTGTTGAATAACGTAATTTCCAGTTGGATTTTAAATGCATTTTTATATTGTGATTCGTGAGTTTTACTTTAATTAAGAAACTTCACTCGAAACATTGTTGAAAACTGTCTCGACAGCCACTTGGTACGTAGTGGTATGATGGAGGTAAATTGATAGTAAATGGTCATTAAGGAAATACTAGTTCGTAACGAAACAAGAAAGCGATGTTCAAGTATATGGACACGGAGTAGTGCGGATATGCAGTCCGTCACAATAGCCTACTGGTGCCACAGTGTTCACGACTTCGTCGGAACACAAGATCGCGAAGCCGGAACCGCCACAAAGAGCGCAAATTTTAATTATGATGGCGTCATCGCACACAAAAACAAATCAATAACAACACAATAAAAAAAAACGATGCATAGGTCCATTCCGTGTGCAATAAGTAGACAAAAAGTTTTGACATTTCGTACTTAAACTAATTTTATCTCTCTCATTGATAATAAAATTATACAAACTTTGATTCGAGCTTCAGAATCTTTCCATTATTTATTTCACCTGTCATAATCTAACTACCCGAGTAATCTTACCTGAGGAGTGTACTTGCTTTCTTTTTTTGTTGACTTTTTCCCAGCTGCTTGTAAGCTGCCAGCTACAACAACGACAGCACCTGATGCCCAGCCCAAGTAGAATGAATATCCAAAATAGTTGAACGATACATCCGAATTATTGCCAGGATCGTCGTTAACCAAAGTTAATCCCGTAAAAGCGCCGCATCCAGAAAGTATTAAAATTCCTGGAATTGAAGACATTTTATTATATCATCAAAATTATTATGTCACTAAAATGTTACACGTCTATATTCTAAAAGTCATATATGTCGTTGCACAGTACGATCATTATCTACAGTTTCTGTTATAAGAAAGAACTGAAGTAATCTTTTCAGAAAGAGATTACGTGAATATATATATTTAGTATTTTTGTGGTAATAAAAGCGTAAAACAGATTATTTTTCATTATTCTTAACTGCAAAGCGACAAGCAATTAGCTTTTAGATAAATATTAATGACTGGCACGCTAGTCTGAGTTGGGCAAATATTGGTGCTTAAAAAACTGGCCGTTTTTTGACACATTCAAATTTGAAATAAGTATTTCAATAATATGAATATATGTGAAAATACATTAAATTAGGTCCAAACCGGAATTTTCTTATCTTTATCGGAGCCAATTGTTAAGTATAGGGCATTTAGTTCCCGATGCTTATACCCTATAGACGTGCCAATATCAAGCTGTTAATCAAGCTTGATTCGTCGCAAAATACGCGGTGATCAAAGTTCGGGAATACATTTGACAAAAAAAAATTCAACAATTCCGTATATGATACGTCATACAATACGTGTCAGTAATGCGTTTGTGACTTAGTTTTAAAAAGATTTGAAAAGATCAACAACTCTTTACTTTACGGAATCTACTAAATAAATGTAACTTAAAGTCCTTGACACACCTATTAGGATAGTATAGTTGCACTACAATCTCCTGTCAGGTATCGACCATAGAAACATTGCATTTTTGGGTGTGGGCATGGGAGAATTTTTATGTTTACTCATCAATGATCTACGACTTACCACACCCTCTATTTACGTAAGTCAGTAAACAATGTAATTATAAAGAAATGTGTCCACAGACAATGTCATAATGAATCGTATAAATCATAGCCAATCAGACCCTATTTTTGTAAACCAATTCATCGTGATAATTCACAGGATTGAGTTTGTTACACTCCAAGTTTGTGGTTATTTCTTAGATTGATTTATTCTAATTTTCAAAATTTATCTTATCTGATTTGTTTAACCAAAATCTTCTCAACGTTAATTAAAAGTTTTCTCAACGTTTATTTTTCGGGTAATAGCCAAGTATCAAATTTAAAATTAATTTCATGTAAAAATAATTGATAAACCCTGGTATACGACGAATGCAAAACGTATATGAACTTTTTTTCTTCCTATTCAAGTTATTGGTATGTCGTATATAATAAATAACCGCGATTCAACTATCATTGAGTCGCATAAAAAAATCATTACAATTGGATATAAAAATTTGACCGCGAGGTTAGGCATATTCAAACACTCTTCAAGCAAAGTATCCAAGACTCTTGTATAATCTGAAGAGCGATGTCATTCTAACGCACAAGTCATTCCACAAAGTTAAATATAGAATCTAAAACACACAGTTATTGCGATTGAATGCTTGTAAATTACGTTCTTCTGCGGCTGGGTCGGAAAATATAGTTCGCACAATACTTTTATATATATACTAGAAGTTGTATTCTGAATATCAAACCCAAGTAAATGATCTGGCTTTCAACAGCAGGCGCATTTTATGGACATGAAATTGCCAACTCGAAATCAGTGGTGAAGACTGTTTGTGATGGTGCAATTTGGGATGTAGCTACCCAAAGAAAACATAACATATAATATAAGTAATAGCATTTGCAAACAATTCGTGCAGTAATAAAAAGGGAAAAAAAATTTATAGATCCATTCCTGGAATCAAACAAAAAATCTCATTGCAGAGGAGGTTTTTGAGAAAGCCGAAATTGATACCACCCTCACTCAGTAGAACACAAACCATTGTTTTACCTGCTATAATATTGATTATGCCTTCTATCCGGATATCAGTGGCGCAACAAAATGCTGCCACACCAACTATCAGTCCGATCAATATGAAAAAGCAAGATGCCAGTAATATTGAACGAGTGATCACCAAAGTATTTCCCGCTTCTTCAACTGTCCATCCTGTAAAACAAATTTTGATTATCAAACTTTTCATTTTCAAGCCGGAGCATTGAATGGGTCATGGTAAAATTATGAGGGTAGACTATCCAAATACGCCACTGATGGAATCCCTTCAACCACGCACAGGTTGTAGGTTGGATCATCTTAGGAATTGAGTCTGAATTCAGGAAACGGCATTTTGTAAAAGCTCCCCCGCGAGTGGTTAAAACTATTTAACTTTATTTTTAATTCTATCGGGCCAAGACCTCGGGAGCAGCTCAAGTGACTGACGTCTGAACTAAGAACGACGATCACCAAAGTGTCTAAAATCAGGACGACAGTGTGAGAAAGGGCGTTATTCGGAAAAAATGGGGATAAATATCTTGTATACATTTAAGTTGTGGTTCACTGACCGTAAACAGATGAGAGCTCGCACTCACAGCTAAACGTGTACGGCAGTTCGGACGCCAATGGTATTCAATAATATTTGATATTCATTTTTTATTTCGGTCTAAATGAGTTACTGTACGGCAAAATGATCATCATTCCTAATACACAAAAGCAACATAGTAATACTACACACATGAACCTATTAGTGATTCCAATAGTGACGTAAGTACTCACGGGACAAAAAACATTAAGCAAATATATACGCTTTGCTGAAATGATGTTCGAATGAATTTGAAGAATGTACATACACAAACAAATTACCTGTTAACAACATGTACAGGAAATCATATTTTACTATTACTTACCTATATTTGAGCATTTAGTTGTGCAGTTTTGAAATAGGCCTTGACTTGAGTTAGTATCAGGTGTAATCCAATAATTTGTTCCCATACTTGCTCCCAATAAACCAGCACCAATCAGAGTTATTACGAAGCCACTTATTCCACATACATTGACTGAACTTTTCATTGCTCCAGATGTGTTTAAAATACGGTAATATATAATATCACTATAAATCAAAAAATCAAATCTGAACTTAGAACATTGTTGCATGGACAGCCGCATTGAAGTAGAAGGAAATATTTAACAACGCGTTTTATAAGAAACAGTTGAATCATGACCAAAATAACACCGACATCCCCAACTTCAACTTGCGATAGTAGCATGGAAGAACTAACTAACTTATGGATCCCATCAAGTTTCGTTGGCACCTCAACGCGCTTTTCCAAAACTAGGTGACCTTATTGGACACGCAGTGTACATATGCATCATTTTTTGGACACAAAGTAGACCTATGGATCGTTTTGTTATTATGTTGTTGTTCTTCTTGGTATTTTTCGCTAGAAGGCTATTACGCTTACTTATTTAGAAACTTTCAAAACGGAATTTTGTGATGACTTCGTCAAAATTAATAAAAATTATTTGTAGCGGTTTGTGACCTCTCTCTACTACTGCCTTTCTACGCGAAAGTCAGAAGTACCGTACAGTAAACTAAGTAAAGTAAGGCACTGTATAAGGTAAGGTAAACTACTACTTCGTTTTGACGTTCGTACCCATATAATTGAGCATAGCTCTCTTGTATTATACAATCTTTATTGTTACAATTCAGGCGTGTTTTTGTTGATTTATATTGAATCTATAGAGTGCTCATTATGTATCTGTTATCTGTAAGATCTCGACCGTATGTTCTCAAAGCAACAGAACTTGAGCTCAAAGTCACGCTGAATGCTCAAAGTCGCATGATCGTCTCTTCAACTTATAATATTCAACTCAAAAATAAAAATCCCTTATTTCGAAATTAGGCAAACTTTTTGTTCCAACATCTATACATGTGTGCTAAGCATACTCTAGCTACCCCATTCTCATATTTCCCATCGTTCCGATACTCAGTGATCAGTGTATATATAGGCGGCTAATGTCATCAGGACGTTACGCTTGCTTTTAATGTTATACAGAGCAAACACCTAAAGAAAAGTTACCTAGATACTCTCGTAATACCGTCAACGTATTTTGCGATTTTTGTACGGCGTTGGCTCATTGTCACGCCACGCATAGACCCTGACATAATGCTATCTTTGATTTACTTTGAAATCTATCAGTTTTTCTCGTTTTACGTTAGAGGGTTTCAAAGTAAACACATTACGCGAGCTTAACAAACTTTATATTCAACTCACACCAATGTATTGCAGTTGTTTGCTTTACCAACGAATGAATTGTTATATACATAGTTACTTAGTATTGCGTATAAGGTTGGGCTTACGTCAATTGTTCGACGCCAATTTATTAAAGTAAATAGTACGTGAATGGCGGAGTAATAGAAACTTAACTCGGTCAGAGAATATATTCAGATTACGAAAAATCATCTTAATTTATGAACATTCAAATTATATCATACTATTATAATAAAATTTACTAGAAATGCATATATTTGTGTCAGAATACCCAGATATTTTGCTCCATTTACAACTGACATGGGAAAACTACAACCCGCGGGCCAAATCCGGCTCATTGGGTAATTCAATCTGGCCCGCCTAATGCTGCCGCAAGAAAACTAAAACCAAATTTCGATGTTTTAACGAAAACATAGCTCGACGAATTTGTTGAGAGTGATATTAAATTTAATTTTGGCGCGAGGCCTATTGTTTTCCACTTGGCCCGTCAGTCTAGGTGGGAAAAATTTCGGTCCCTTGCCTAAAAGCCTTGCCCACCCCTGATATACAAGGTATTGCGTCTCATCGTTTACAGAACTCTTCCTGGCGTGGATGAGTTGAACCGCTTACGATTTTTGTCGATTAATTTGCAGACGCGACAGAGGGCGACAAAGAAGCACAAATTATGCAAAAAAATGCTCTCATCACTTTAATGACAAAATATATGTGATTTTAATTTCTTTGTAACAAATTTGTTTAAAAAGGAATTACTATCACAACGTCCATACTCTCTTGTATACGACTCCTAAATAGCATTTATTCATATCAATCAAATATACTTTGAGCCATTCGAAAAGCAAAATTGAAATTTGAAGTTATAAGATTTGGGAAGCTTAAATTTATTGTTTGATGCTAAAATACGCTTCTAAGTAGTTTAATTATTTTTAACCCAAAAATAATTTTTTCACCAAGTATTCCAAAGTATCACCTTTTTATTAAAGTTTTCATTACCGGAATGGTTAAATCAATGCACTCCGGCAATTCTCAAATATACTACTACTAATTATACTAATTACTCTTAAATTCACATTATCACCAGAAACGTCGCCGGTTAACCATGATTGTTTGACTGATATTAGTGTCAAACAAAGGTCGATATAGTCTGAAAAGGTTGTATGGAAAAAAACTGGTTACTACAAAAATCATGCAAAATAATGCAAGTTTCATATGTTATGATTTCGATTTAATTAAACTCAGTTTCAGACTAATTTTTGAAACTCAAATGACATTCTGAAATGTTTTCCTTCGATTATTCAGGCTTTCTTCGTCATTTTAATAAAATTTGAATTATGGTAATTGCAATTAAAATATCTAAGAAATCACATTTTGTGTAAATACTGACTATTTTGAGTGATTGAAATAATTAACAATTCTTAATTCCATCGAAGGTTATGTATCGAACCACGATATTGACGGATTCATATATATATATAGTTAGCTTAGTTATAGTAGATATCTACTCTATTTTTATTGTCGGGACCTTCCATCTGATAATTAGAAAAGGTCGGTTTAACTACAGCGCCACCGAGACTACCATAAAGATCAAAACTTATTTCATTAGACGAAATAAATAAAAACATTTCAATTTATTATATATTAGTGCAGTTGCTTATTGCAATTGTCAAGTCCTCATTTTTGAATCTAATAAAAGGCTTACAGTAAAATCATTTTATTTCATTTTGAAATTACCAATAATATAAGGATTAGATAAATAAATCACAATGTTTCAACCAGGTGCGTGTTAGAGCAGAAAATACTTTAGTTCCAAAATCTCAATTTCTTCTGAAAGCGGCCTACCTTTTTTTACAAAAGTACGAACTTCTCGAGTTCTCGTTTGACGTGGGTTTTTAATGCCTATTGTGGAATTCTTGGAGTAAAACCGCACATCACTTACCGTACGAGAAATGACAAAAATCTACCGCAAAGCTCCTTTGCTGAGTACCGAAACTCACAGGTATGATATTTACGGGTCATGGATGATGAAATATAATCCAAGATAAACATGTTTCCAGATTCTGAAAAATACTTTCACTTGGCCACAAAACATAATTACCGTGGAGATAACAATGACGTTGCATTTTTCATTAACAAAAGTCAGAAATTCTGACACACTTGATTCACATTTGGGCTACGGCTGCTAAATCCAAATCAAAATTAGTTCAAATTGTTTATCATATTTTATAATTTTCGTTCTCCCGTCAAGATCAGGGAAAAAACTATTTTAGCATGGTAGATTGGAAAACTCGAGAGGGCTTTTTGGTTGTTAGTGTTCGGAGTTTTTTTTTTTTATCTATACAGACTAGCGTGTACAATTGAGTAAGTTATGCCCAACTGCTCCTTTATCTAGTTGCTATTCTGGATATTGATTCAAAGGAAATATCGACCATAATTGTTGGTACATGTCATTTTTATACTATTTACCAGCTAGTCAAACTCGTTTTTTAGGTCTTTGCTATTTTGATGTCATAAACGACATGTTTTACAAAATCAACAAGATTGGCATTTCTACTTGTTATATGATATGATTTAACACCTTTGATTTCTTCACTTCCCATTGACTCTTGACCTATCACCCCTTTTTGCTGTTGAACCTCAACCCACAACTTCCGCCCCTAAAACCAATAAATAAGAAACCTGATCGTTGATAAAAAAAATCTACTCAGACTCGTTTAGTTATCATGTATAACGTCCCCGACTTCACTTGAAATTACTTTAGGTCATGGGCAAGACAAAAGCTATTCACGCCTTGAAATAACAGTTACATCAGTCTAATACCGACGCTAATAGAGAAGTCTCGAACATTTGCAATTATTTAGAATTTCCAGAAATTCCAGTGGTTTCAATTTCACTGTGGCGTAATGACACACCGTCAACCTTCTTCAGCCACAGCTGAGAGAATAACACCCTGCTCGAATGCTATGTTTTACATCAAGCTAACCGACAAATAACACCACTGTATTGAAGAAGAATAAAACAAATTCTACTTCATATTGCAGTTCTGTGATGAGTTACACAAAAATATTATTTCAATGCAATGACGTTTGTTTTTATTATCATATTTAAAAAAAAGAGCAGGAACATTGGTTCAAAACTTGGCAAACAGAACCCACTAACTTTGACAAAAATACATTTCGAATAAATGTTATGCCCATCTATTCACAGGCTTCAGTTCACATCTTTTTCACAACTGTAACTGCATATTTTAATTTCCAAGTCACAAAGTCCAAACAATAAAATGACAGTACAAGCTATTATACTTTTTATAACTTTCGTATATAACCATTTTATGTTAAACGATCATCAGTCTTTGACAACAACAATTATTATACTTAAGCCACTTATAAACCGTTAAAAATAATAAGAAAATGAAAAAATAATAAAACACAAAATCTTGAGTAAAATACAAGCAATAAATAAATATCAGTGGAGGTAATAATAAATTGAAGAAAAATGTTTTAAAAAGGGCAGTAATACTGCAAATTGTTTGTGTATATAAAGCTATACGTAGAATGGCACAATTGTAACAAGGAATACATTTTATTTCAAAAGAGCAAACTCGATTTTTATGGAAAGTTTTTGCAATTAAAATAACTAAGCAGTTCGGGCAATATTCTAAAAAATGCAATTGTTGAATGAATGAGCTTCTAATTGATTGAAAATTGGGGTTGAACTTATGTGAAGTGATTTGAATTGATCAGTATATATAGTAGGTACAGTTCAATGAAATCAAGATGCTTTAATTATTTTTTTTTCTACATAATTTTACGGGATGAAACTGCGTTCCATCGCAAGTAAAATAGCTGTAAGCTATTGCTTTCAACTTTGTCCGACAGAGCAATTTGCTTCAATGCTAGATATCACGCTATGAAATACATCCCAAGCATAGTAACGTAACGGAATGCTTATTATTGGACAAAAAAAGATTTTACATGCAGTATCGGCATATTTGAAAATATATAATACACCTATATTTGAAAACAAAAATGCGTTTATAGGATTTCAGACATGATCGTATATGCCTAATTTAAGTATGAAAAATGTTTTGAAATTTGTGTTTGTTGAGTGTTACTTCTTTAATTACATCTTCGTCACAATTCAGTTGGTGCTTCTTTATCTATCGGTGACGTCACTGGTGACGTAACCATTAGATCGCGCCTTTCTTCTGAAACTATTCGTCCTCTGTGCGCTCGTTCCCTTCTGAAATCGTTCATTCCAAAACACCACGTTTTACATTGAGAACAACACCCTGGTTCTGAAACCATTTTTATTTCGTCTGCATTGTCGTTCAACATCGCATCTCCGTTCTCGTTTCTCAGTCGTTGCGCTCTTGATCGTCTTTGTATCAACCATAAAAGTAGCAATAGGAGGATTATGAGAAGAATTACAGCCACTGCAGTGCCGATGTAAATTTGTGCACGGTGTGGCTCGTTTTTCGGCGTCGGATCACAGTTCAGTTCAGATACTACATCCAAAACGGGCATTGCGTAATGCTCTTCTGGGCCTTCGCATAGATACGAGTAAGCGTCTAGAACCTCGTCATAATGCTTTTTTATCCAGTTGACCAATGGGAGTAGATTACAATCGCATTCAAAGTTATTTCCAGTCAAATCAATTTCTTTTAACGTCGTCATTCCGTAAAACACAGCGGGGTTGATGTATGATATTTTATTATAACTGAGACCAAAGTGTTGCAATTTCGGAGCGACATCTACCAAGCTATTGTCGATTGATTCAATTTCGTTCTCTTCTATTTCCAGTATCTCTAACGCCGACATTTTTACGTTCGGAAATTCTGATATGTAGTTGTCGGTTAAATCAATTTTTTTGAGGGACGGCGTAGAGGCGAAAACATTATAGTTTATAACATCAATACTACAATGTGTCAGATGTAAAATTTGAAGATTTTTTGCGTTAAGCAATGAATCTGCCGCTATATGTTCAAAAACATTATAAGACATTTCAATTTCCTCGAGCTTCGGACCTCCAAGATCAGGAAATTCTGTTAGATTGTTATTTGACATGTCCAAGTACTGAAGAGAAGGAAATATGTGCGAATGGACCAACATTAGTTTGTTGCTTCCAAGATACAATTCCTTCAGTTTATCCAACCCTTTGAAAGACTCGTCAAATAAAACTTCTATATTGTTTTCTTCGAGATGTAAGATCTGAAAAGTAAATATGTCCTTGATTTTATGTAGACATTGAGTAAAATATTGGGTGTATATGAGCAAAATGAAAATCTTCCAAAATTTTCACGTTCTATATAATAAAATCGAACATGAAATGTGTTTACTTTAGTGATACAAAGACTATATTGTACTGAGTGTACAAACACACTTGAGTGGAACTTTGCGGAGACATCTTGTCTTTAAATTTATTGTTAGGGAGCCAACTAATTGATAATTTTTAATAAAATTCTCCACTAGTATTTGCAGAGCGATTGATTCACAGTTGTAAAACTATCCAATTTTTCAGGTTAAGGTTGACTTTATGTTCAGCAAACATTAAATTTGGTCAAAACGTAACTCCACCTTCCAAATTTTGTACAGCAGCTCACTTACGTTACCAAATATAATAATAAAAGTTATTACATTGATTGCAATATTATATCTCCAGGGTCAACTTCAAAGTAGCGAATGTATAATTCTTCGTGATCAAATTTGTATTTTTGACAAGGCTCATTCTCTTGGGGCCAACTCAACTCCAAACAAGCAATTAACGCCAATCGTACATAAGCCTATATATAAATTAACCGAACTAATCTTACCTCCAGATTTGGAGAATCAGTAAAAGTACCAGGGGAGACATCAATGACCAAATTGTCATTCATAAAAAGCTTTTTTAAATTGCCGAGACCTTGAAACATATCGGGTATCAAAGCTTCCATGAAATTATGTTGAAGATCGAGAATTTGAAGTTGTTCGTGTGATGCAAATGCGCCAGGTTTTATTTTTTTCAATAAATTTGAAGATAAATTTATTTCGTAGATAACAGATTTCGATTCTGCTGACTCTATATGTCGTTTTGCTCTAGGTGACATGGGACCGATATACAAAGCGTTCTCTTGCAAAATTTCAATTTTATTTTCTGATAAATCTAATTTACGTAATGCCGTCATATTGCTGAATGCGTAATCCCCAAGCCATTCTATTTTCCCGTTCCGTATATTTGCCTCCAGCACGTTGCTTAAGTCTTTTAAAATAATCCTTGTGAGATTCGAGATTTTTGTTTCACTCAGATTGAGCGTCAACAAAGAAGCGGGAAGACGTGGAGCGCCATCGAGTGGATTTCCAGATAAACAAATCTCAGATACATTCTGAAATTTCATGAATGCATCTCTTGCTATTGTTCGGATTTTAGAATGACATAAATCCAACTTTTGAATCTAAAATTGAAAAAAAAAAATTTAGTTTATACACTGTCAGAATCATTCTTTGGCCGCCATAAATCCTAAAGTTACAATAAACAAACTGGCAACAGATGGTATAATAACGCCACATATATTTTTGGACACGTAAGTGGACATAACGATCGTATCAATATTATGTTGTTGTTATTGTTATTCGTCATCATTACCATTTAAAAATCGCTTTTCTCTTCGAATACTGGACCAGTTGCATTGAAATTTTCAGTGAATAAAGATTGGATTTTTCTCCAGAACGCCATTACTTTTATTGTTTACAAACTTTTTGTGAATCCTATGAGATTTAATATTCCATCAAGAATTTCGCTGTATTACTTTTTTATCATGGAAACACGATTTATAATCCGCCAAGCGTGACGGCCAACTCTGAAAAATCTTGCTCACAAACTCGGAAGATTTTTGAGGTTACCGGTGCGCGTAATGTTGTGAACTACTGCTTCGCTTGCTGTCCATATATTTGTAGACGGCGGTATTTACTGTTATGGTACCGTAGTAACTCAAATCAGTTGGTATTTCAATTCACGTTGAAACGTCAAACGGAATCGTCACAGAACCTGGAAAATCCGTGTACCTGTAACAGTGCCGCTTTGCCGATATGGAAGCCCAAACAGTCTCTTGAAAGCGAGACTTGCAGTCACAGTTATAATCAATGTTTTTTAATATGGGGAACAGTCTCTAGAAAGCGGGCCTACAGTCACAATTGTAATTTATGTCTTTTAATATTGGGGCTTTTTTGGAAATAGGTGAACTTTGCCGTACTGGGTACGGGTACTAGTAAGTCACGTAACCATAGCCATGTAGCTGTTTCACTGTTCAGCTTCGTGTAGGATGGTTTTCGGTGAATAATGATAAATTATCTTACGTGTCCATATATTTGAGCATAGTTCTCTTGTTTAACTTATTGTAACTTTACATGGTGACTAAGTACGCTTGTACTTACCGACGATGTCTCATTGAAAAGATCGTTATCAATCGACGGAATATTTGTATATCCAAGTCTAAGTTCTGTTAAAGATGGTGGTAAACGTGTTCCTCCTGGTTTTATTGACATTCTAGGATTATTTGTCAGATCCAGGAGAGTCAGCTTCGGATTGTACCATATCCCTTCAGAAGGTTGGGATGTGACTGTGGTTATTGGAGCCGATGTTGTAAGTTCAGTTGTTTCCGGATTAGTTGATGTAACAAGTCCACTGTTTAACCAGTTGTCTGCTTCACAAAAAAAGTATTGCTTCAATATACAGCTTTTTATTTTTACGTATTTTAATCTACATGACACCGGGCACCGCCCGAGAAATCGTCTGACGAGAGTGAGGCTGCGATGACATCCGTTTTGGACCCCTTTAACGGGGGGTACAATTTCCAGCATTAAGATATGAATAAAATATAAGAGTGATGTTCGTTACGAAATAGGGATTAAATGACTGGACCGTGGTATCAATTACGAATAGTAATAACATGAAAAATTTAATATCCGAGTTTTCCATTGATATCAACTTGCCTCGACTGTTCTGATTTTGTGGTATATATAGTGGCTCAGCATGTTGGTAAAAAATATAAATTTTGTAAACCATTCAGTACTCCAATATGTACAATAAAATGAAGTAAACGGTTTGCAAGGCAACCGTATTTCGAAAATGTTGATGTGCGATTCTTATAGTAGGAAAGCAAGGATTCCAACACAATTGTAAACAGAATAATTTGAAAATGTATTTCCTATTTGATTTTTCATTGTAGAATAGGAAATAAATGTCTCATTAAAATGACTTACCGCCATGACCACTTTTATATCTAGCCATTATAGGAGGCTTAGTCAGCCAGCAATTGTTCATGACCAACGTTGTTAAATTTTGAAGGGCTTTGAAACTATTGCGAGACATTTTCTTGCAATAACATCGAGACAGATCAATATGTTTTAAAGATACAAGATTGTCAAAAACTCCTTCCTCGAATTTCAGTGATGATGACGCTCTATTGTCGTTCAACAAAAGTGTCGTCAACTCTACAAAACATGGATAGAATTAGTATTAATATGAAATTAAAAAGTAAAAATTGAGTGCTTTCAAATTTACAATGCCCGATATAATCGCCTATACTCTAATTAGTATTGAACAATCACCCACGCCTTTAGATGAATATGTCTTTAAATGTGAGTCGTCGTTTAGCACTATCCAGGCGAAATTTGTAGGATTATCGTACTTCACCAGCATATGTTTACAGACAGGCGCATTATGGCTTTCTATATATGGAAACGTAAACTATTCTTTTTCTGGACCATTAGGCAATGTCGATTTCCAATATTTACATGAAAACGTATTTTTTGTCTCAAAATATTTAAAACAGGATGTCACGCTGATTTTAAAGACATTTTTTACGAAAACAAATCAATATTAATTGAGTTCAATTAGAGATTAGGAAAAATGAAGGACATTGTATGGTTTACATTGATAAGGTTTACACATAAATTAAAAGAAAATCAATTTGACGTGTCGACAAGATAATTGTGGCGAATTATGATGCATGTTTTTACACTTATTCGTATTTATAGGTCAGAATTTATCATCATTGAATTGATTTATTGAATCGCTGATGAAAATAATGATGCGGTATTCAGCTTTTTTCTTGTCAAATTCCTCTAACGCCGCTGTCTTGATTTTATAATATATATAGTATATATAAGTAATACAAGGTTGGCAACGGTTGTACCACAAAAACCACAATACAATTTAAAGCTCACGTAAGTTATGGCTATGGCAATAGGAGGGGCGTTATTGAAATTTTTGTGTTTCAAAATTGTATATCATTGGCGCATAAAACGAAAACAACAGAAAACGAAGCAATTGATTGACAGTTGATGAGAACTTCAAAATATGTGAAATACAGTGCCGTTCCATTGCCTCATCTAAAACGTTGTTATGACAATACTTGTTAGTACTATGACGTAACTACTTTATTTATTTTTACTTTTAATTTTTTAGTCACCCTTAGCCAAAGTCTTTAACAACGCCATTGATCCATGTCAATGGTTTTTCGCTGTAACTTCTGTTCTGAATTGTGTTCATTTCACTTATAAGTGAATGCTACTTTGTGCGTCAGTTTATCAGATCAGTTATTCCAAGATTCATTATACAAAATGTTTGAAAATAGAATTTGCTGAGAAGACGGCCAAATGTGTTAAGTGAATGTGTTAAGCATTGTTTATAAAAACAAACGCTGTATTTCTGACATAATCTAATTCCATTGAAACGTCGAGCCCTTTCTACACCTATCAGATCACAAACGTTTAATTGTGTGATTGCTAAATCGAAATATGAAAACAATTATAACTGCTAATGTTGATATAAAATGTACTGAAATATTGCATCGATGCACCAAAATCTCCCAAATTGATTGAAATTGAAAAATTACAGTTAAAATATATTACTTGTCAGTCCGGTAAATGTGTCTCTTCTGAAATTCTTGATTCCAGTGTAATGCAGGTCCAGTTTCAATAAATTTTTTGAAAGTGAATCTATATTACAAACAAAAATTTGTATCTGACCACAAATATCACAGAAAACATTGCAATTTTACACCAACACTTTAAAACGTCGCTTTACCGAGTGTGGACTAAAACAAAAGGGCGCACAATGCTTGGCATATGCTCTACAGCAGGCCTGCCCAACCTTTTTCATCTCGCGGGCCACTTTTTCATGACGGAATTCGTTGCGGGCCGCAAACGTTTGTACCAAACTTTAATACCAGCCAATCCTGATTTCGTTATAATTTACATAATACATAAAGAGCAAGGTTATTACCATAAAATCAATCAGGTTAATAATTATTTACTGGTTACTTATTAGTGCTGGCGAAATATTCGAAGATTAAGTCGAATATTAGAATAGCAGTGTTAGCGAATTTAACACAAACATAACATAAACAAAAATACAAACATAAAAGAAAAAAAGTCCCGGAGCCAGCAGCAATGATATTGTTGACTATTTTGTTTTTATGATGGCGATAAAGACGGTCAGAGCCGACACGAAAGAAAGCAATCAGAATGAAACTAATTTGGAAATTTAGCTTTCAAATTCATTCCTATAATTTTGCTCAGCGTTCGTCACCTATAATCGCACAATATCTTTGGAGTTCGTCAAACAGAACGCACAGTTCTGCGAGAAAAAAAAAACTAACGTCGATGTCCATCAGTGCGCACGACTTGATACATACGTAAGGATAAAAATCGGCATTCGAGTCGCGGGTTGGGCACCCTTGCTCTACACACAGTCTACACATACTTGTGTGTAAATGTGGAAGTTACACACTTAGAAACCAAGTAAAAACCGCCATTCAACGGTTGGTAATAAGTGTCACCAACATTCTACTAAAATATTAGATTCATTTACGAAATAAAAAAAATTCTAACCGCATATACCATTAAAAAGATCAGTTACTCAGCCATTGAACTTAGCTCGGACGATTAATGATACGGGGAATTTTCATTTACTTGGCCGAAAGGAGCTTAAGTTAAATTCATAGAAACCGTATTCAAATATCCATTAAGCTTTCAGTTGTTTTCGAAGTGAATATTCTCATCCATTATACACATTATCCACTTGAAGTTGATAACATGTATTGAAAAGTTATCTTTAAAATGTCATTAAAATGTCATTATGTAGTAAATTACCAAACCTGGTGGCACGTCTGTGATGAATTTGTTATCTGATAAATCCAGATATTCGAGTCGTGTGAAGTTTTGTAATCCTAAAGGCATTCCCATCAGAGAATTCATAGATACGGATAATCGCTTCAAGTTTTTAGATAAAGTTTTCATGTTGGATTCCGGTATAGATGAAATTCTGTTTTTTGAAATATCCAGAACTTCTAACCTGAAATGTATAGAAAAATTCTCACAAATATAAATAAAATACTTCAAGGCCATGCTTTCTTGTGGGCAAAAACTATCGTATTTATATTAAGCCGGAAATCGGATATAAATCCGGCCTACGTGTGTTGGACCATATTTGTGTAAAGTTTTTTTTATTCAATTACAAATACATTAATTCAATCATAAAGACACATTAGATATTCTAAAAAAGGGAAATTAGTCATAGTCAAAGGGAGAATGTCACGAATGGATAGTTGAATATAAAAAATTCCAATTTAAAACATGATAAAATAACTGTGGCTAATGCTCATGTTAAAGAGCTGTCAATGGCCAAAGACATCCATAAGTAGTTAAATTCTTATTGAATGTATGAATTGCGCTTCATTCTTCGCTTTCTGTCCGCTATTCATTTTTTAATGTATGTATCCAACAAATCAAGGATTTTTGGGACAAATTTCGTATTCAGATAAATATTTTCTTGTATGGTTTTTGTCATTCAACAAGAAAATGAAAAAGGATATTTACTTTACAAGTCCGTCAAAAGCGCTTTCTTCAATCGTGTCAATTCCATTTACTTGAATATGTAATTCTTTCAACTTATTAAACAAAGAAAAATCTCCTGTTCTCAGCCTTGTGATTCTGTTATACTGTAGATACAGTACATTGACCTAAAAGAATGTGAATATAGTAATCGTTTTTTTTTCTAGGTGAAATGTGGAATCTTTTCTCCCCTCAATTGTTGTGCAATCTTGCCTCATGTCATGAACTCATGTGATAAACAATAACTAAAATTTTAATATATTACACTATATACATTAGGGTATACAAGTAGCTGCTTATGCTTATTGAACTAAAAAGTTGGGAATTTTTTTTATCGTTTATGCATTTTCATGGTCTAACTCTAAGCTATAAACAAATCAACGTTCTCGGAAATAAAATTCTTTACCTGTTTTTGTTTTGGTTCTGGCTGAGGAACCTCTGTGAAATTTCTACCGGTACAGTTAGCAATCACGAGGTCTTGGCGAATTTCACAAGCACAATTTTCAATGCAATCGTATTTGCAATAGGAAACTTGAACACAGCAAATCTGCAAAAAAATATGTTCCCAGATTTATATGATTTACCCAACAACTAAAATATGTTTAAAAAATATAACTCACCGTAACGAGTAACAAATGCAACCGATTCATTTTTCAAATATTTTCGAAAAACAAAAATATATGGCTACATTAAAGTAAGTTGTTCGTCTAAAAATACCAAAAAATAAAATCATTAAAATTAGACAATTTTTTTCTATGAATTACGACTGAGATGTTCAAATTAAATAAAATTGAGAGGTGCGAGTGGCAACTCATATCGCTTCACTAGTTTTCAGGCTTTTGCCACGCACAATTATTTCTGCAATATCCTTATTCAACTATGCCCCATCGTATCAACATCGTTGCATTTCGCACAGATCAATGGTATACAGGTAAATTGCGTTGCTAATGTGTCACATTATGACACCTGGTTATGTTAAAGTGCTGTTGCTGGTATTGAACATTCGTATCGCCATTATCTTAACTTTCTTATCTTACTATGTTACAAACCAATACATCTGTTCTGTGTGAGAGTAATCTAACATCTGGTGGACACTGCTAAAAGGCTTGCGGATAAATTAACTTCCATAGCAGTTCCGGAAATGACCTAACAAAGCTCATTATGTGTCTATAATAGCATTAAGCCCTTTATATAAAGGTGCGAGGCTGCAAAACACGAATATATTTTCAAGATATCAACAATATTATTTGTCTTCCGCTGCATCAAAATTCATCAAGTATCTTGTTACATTAAAATACATATTTCTAATCTTTAGTTAAATACAGTGTGTTGGATTTGATCCCCAACCATGTTTAAGACCCAAACAAAATTCAATATTTAATTGTATTTTCCGCTACCTTGCTTCAGCACAATTTAATCTTCAGTAAATAATATTATCTAGTTTTGTAAATAGCCAAATACTCTGTGAGAAACTACCAACTTCAGAAGCTACTAACGCCCTCGTACTATTTATTACGCATTCCTCAGAATATCGACAGTGTTATAGCACACGGGTACAGATGGCCAACCCCTTTTTCGGTCAGTTGAATTATGCGTTTTTTTTCCTCAAACATGGCTGACTGACATATACTCTATATTTGAATAAAAATAAATAAAATTTGTGATATGTGAAGCCCATTGATTTGACATTCTTATTCATTCAATGTGTGCGCAAAATCATTCGTCGATCACTAGACCGTGAGAAGATATGCAATAAAATGTTATAATTCTAAATATTACTACTACTTTTTGTTTGCAAATCTTGTTAGACGGAAATTTTTTTATTTGTTTGACAATTATTGGAACACCGAACATAGAAATTCATTCTTCTTATATGACTGACATAAATAAGTATTCCACACCCACTATTTGGGGAATGAAAGCTTATAACTGGCGCCGATTCGAGTATTTTAATCCCGCTTGACCACTAGAAAGGACGACGCCTGTATACGGTCAGTGTACTTCAGCATCAATTACATACCAATGACCATTTAAGCTCCTTATAATATATGAAATATATAAAAACAGTTTCATTGAAGTATGATTCGTTTGAAAAAATGAACTTCACTAACATAGGGGGAACTGACACATGGTTACCAAATAATATTTGCCATTCAGTCAAAAACAAAATGATGCATCTGTATTAGAAATGCCGTAGAAGGGAAGCAAGGAAACTCCCACAACAAGAAGGTCACATGAACTTTTTCCTTGAACGCTTGGGGTGAAATGTAAGCGGTCCCTAATCCGATTCTAAATAAACTTATCCTAAGTCTATAGAAAGATTTCACGAGTTTTCAAATAATTCCCAGTAGCCTATAACATAAAATGCCTATTTCTACTGTTTGTAAAATGCCCTTTTAAACTGCCTAAAACTTTTAAATATCCAGGTAACTGATCCTCAAAGACTAAAAATACGAAGAAGCGTCGAAATATTATAAGTTGATTCGATCATACCAACCCGTTGTATTTTGGTTCTATAGGCATAAATCCCTGACAATATATCCACCGTTAGCAATGCCTGTTAGAACTTCCAACAAAGGCATTTTAACGAAATTCCGTTCTATTCAACACGCTTTTCAGTGAGTTACGATTCAAATTTGTCAATGAATATTTTTCTCAAACTTTTTATTACTTAATTTATTCGTTTTCGTATAAAAGCTATATTTCGGCCACAGAATCCTCCGTTGAACATTCAAATCGTACGTTGCTACTAAGAGCTGATATAAAAAATATTTTTCAGGTCGTATTTTCTCGAATTTGTAATTGCCATACTGAGTTTGTTTTGTAAACATAATTCTTTCGACATTGTTGTTTCGTCATCAAACAGTAATATTTTGTGTCACCCAATACTTTCGAAGAAATCGATGGTTTTTGAAAAGGAGAAATGACCCAGAGAAAGAGCTCTAGACTAGATCATAGCCACAGCACGCGACATGCTGTTAAAATAATATCCAGAGGTTGTATACGCTTTGCCCTGGTCGCACCTGCTGCATTGAGAGAAAATCCATTGTTCAAAGTTTTTCTATTTTTTTAACAACGACGTTAGCTAATGAATGCATCACATTTCTAGGTAGTTTCATCGTGAAAATATGCCCAATCCACAATACTACGTCTTACTTGATCGTTGAGTCTCGTGATTGGACCACACCCATGACATGCCAGTACATTAAGCATAGTCTCTTCTGTGCCATACTTATATAAGCGGTTACTTAACAGCTCCTAAAAACCGTTAGTAGCAGAGTAACTAAATAATACTACTGCTCTATCATAAATTTTTTTAAACTAAAATTACAAAAAAAAAACGAAATAATTTATTACACATACAAATTTGATCCTGCACCTCACAAAAGAAATTGTTAATACTTTGCCATTTGATATCTGTTCAAAGTCAAATTAAGTCATTACTTCACAATATATTGAGACACTATATGAACGTGTGGCCAACAAAAAATAACTTCACATTGTCGCGTCGAATTCCAATGCAATCCACACCCATGAAATCAATTTCACAGTATATCAGTGTTATCACGGTCAAAAACCACTGTAAACTTGCAATTTCGTCCGCGCCAGGAGATTTTAACAATAAATATTAGTTAAAATGGTTGGGGTTATATATAAAAACACAGTGTATCTTCGGAGTTTATCGTTACAACTGTTCTTAAAATACTCCAAAATGCTGTTACATCTTACATCTTCCAACTAATAGTGTACATTACTTTACTTCGAAGTAAATTGTCACAGAGCAAACAAAATAAAAATATATTAAATTTTAATCTATTGTTGTACACCATTTCAAAGAGAAAGCGACGAAACTAATCCCCGGCATTTTAGATTTACGCGGGAAACGATTTTTAGCTGATGATTGCTACGTCTGAGCACGGATACAATTCACTCTAAATAAATAAATATACTCTTCCAGGATAACGATTTTTGAAATTGTATATCTGACTATGTATTAAATTCATGAAAATGCGTATTTGCCGTTAAAACACTTATAATAATAAAGTAAAGATATTGAATTAAATTGTGTTGAAACTTCACCTGTATGTCAAGGCGACTGGGGCAATAAAATTGCAACCGTTAGTGTCAGGATTTTTATGGATTAATGAAATACAATTGTTGAGAAAACGGTGCCGGCGCCAGAGCTTGTGACCCATGTTACCTTTTATTATTATTTTGAAATTTTGAGAAAAAAAAACTCAAAAAAAATTTGAAATATTTATTTAAAGTATTATACATCTTACTTGAGCCTTTAAAAGGTTTATAGATTTCTCTCAATTGAAATACTGACGCACTGAAAATACAGGATTTATATATATATCTTTTTTTCTAAATGACTCCCATTCCTTTCACAAATCCGTCATAAAACCCACTTTATTCCGATATTTCAAAGAATATATTGTCGAACCAAACTTTTGCATACGTTATTTTCATTTTTGCCACTTGCTTGATTAATAAATATTCTTCCACTCCCAAATTTCTGTGGTCTATTATTTGGTCTTGACATTTTTGTGAAAATAAATCGAATTCAAAAATGTTTTTTTTGTGGCCATTTAAGTGGGGTATTAAAATTAAATATTTTTTAAGTTACGAATAAAATTTTTCGCTCCCAGCAAAACTTTTCAAAAAATAAAAGGTTTTTTTGTACGAACACCTCATTTTTATAGCGCCCATACATGATTGTATATAATCAATAGACATTTCGTATTTGAAATTCGGCTCCCCAAAAGAAGCACGATAATTGGATAAAGCAAGTTTTAAAATCAAGCCATAAAAATCTTCAAATAAATGGTGCAGCACCTGGCACGGTTTCAAATCGTAAATTGCCTTTGCCCAGGTTTTTCACTTCTGCATAAGCCAGGGATATTCGAACGATTATAAACGTATCCCACGTATTAGAGGCAATATACCTTTTCTAATAGAAAGATGGTGTTTAGTATAACTCTCGCTTTGAACGCATAACCACAAATCTGTGAGTTAGTAACCTTGAACTGTGTTCAGCGCGATTTGACAGAATCCTAAAATCGTGTTACCCTTGTTTATGGTAAATTTATACGATTTTCGTCAGGCTGGGTTTAACGCCGTCTGTTAATTACATAATTCATCCATGGGCCATCGATGGGTCAGATTCAGATAGTCAAATTTATAACCATAAACATAAATCCCATTTTGCAAAGAAATACCATGAATGGCGGTTGTATAAGTCGGTGTTTACAACTCAAGAATATAAATAACACGAATGGTAACAACGATACCTTGAAATAATAAATTATACCATTGGCATGTTTACACTTTCTGTGGTATTATCGTTGACTGATAACTTATAATGGACAGCAAATGTACTGTTGAAAAAAACAAAACACATTATCTAAATATCGATGTTACGCGATTTTTCCGCTTCCATAGCAATAAATACTTCGTTTTGAGCATTTTTGGGCGATGAGAAATTTCAACAAAATAGTATTTATTTTATCCATGAAAGCTGCAAATAATCTAAAAATCATTTTATACCTTCTGAAAAATACCCAGGCTATGTACGATTGTACGAACGGACCACCTGGACTTGATCTCATAATCTCTTGCAAACTCCATAAAATGAATTGTATCATGAGACAACATGATATGTGAGTTTCTCTCTGAAATTCTCGTGATATTCTCAAGTAATTATGAACTTTAACACCTG